CAGGATGACGAGCGCTGCTACTACCACCTCTACCACCTCTGCTGCTGCTGCTTCTTCTGCCCAAGCACGCTCCTCCTCCTTCGTGCCCTCCCTTGGCTGCGAGCCTACCACGCGCGGTCCCCCCTCGAACCCACGCTTCAGCTTCTCCAAGCAGCTGCAGCCCGACTCTGCAAAAGACGAGGCCCGCGATGGCCCCGTTTCCTACGACTTTCTGCCCTCGGTCAACTTTGACGATTTTGCAAATAGCTTATCCTACGAGCCTACGCTGAGCGACTTCCCTGCCCCGGGCTCCTTCACGGCCGCCGGCGGACCTGCTGACAACTCCGCTTCCACCTCTCACCACCACAATAACAATAACAACAACACCCCTAGCAACAACACCAATAATACAAACACCATCCCCACATTCACTGGCATCCCCACCGAAACACGCCCTGCACGCAGCAGCTCCTTTGCCCGCCGCTTCAGCCAATCTGCAGCCAGAAAAGTCAGCGCTGGCATGTCTGCCTCTAGCTCCAACACGCCCGCAGTGCCCCATCCCCCTAGCAACATGACGATTCGCACACGCCGTCAGAGCCAGTTCTCTTCACAAGCGCCACCCAACCCGGCTGCACGGCCACCGCGAAAGAGTGTTGGCCCTGGAATGATGCCAACGAGCAGCTTCGACCGCGATGACCTGGCCGGTATGCCAACCCTGAATAACATGACTTCTGGAGTACCAAAGCTTGCAAGCAACACGCGGAACGCAAAAGCAAAGTCTCTGCAGCCTCCTTCAAGACAGCAGTCGGGCCATCTAACGGTGTCGTCCATGACTCCAGACCCAAGCTCCATGTCTCAAGTTACCACTCGCTCACCAGGTAGAAGTGCTGCTGCGCAACGGTCTCATACACCTTCCTCGTCTGCCAACAAGCGACAATCCACCGCACCCCACATATCTGGTCTGGGAGCCAGGACTATCAGCCCCACTGATGCCCGGAGGCTTCGACGCCTATCTATAAATCCCAACCAGCCTCCAGGAGGACCGGTTGGACCCCCTACCCCCCAGGGAGACGCAACATTTGACGAGCGTGCTTTTAGTCAGTCTCCAGCCATGAGGCTGGGAGGCAGCATGACACCTTCGTCGGCGCGCGCAACACCTGAGCAAAAGCGCAAGTCTTATGCCTCTGGCGTTTCGCTCTCGTCTAATTCAAGCTTGAATTCGCTCAAGGTCGGCCCTCCTTCGTCAATACCTCTGCGCTCTAATCCTGCTCCGTCCAGTCTCCGCCTGCCTACAGCAAAGCCGCGAAACCAACAAAATACAGGTGGTGGAGAGCAAGAAGAGGTTCCTCCTGTGCCAGCCATCCCGAAAGCTTTTGAGTCACCCAAGGATCCCGAACAAAGCACCTTTGGCTTTGCAGCACAGCCATCAAAGTCGGGTGCGCCTCAATCAGTGTCTCATGAATCTGTGTCAACACCAGAGGCGCAGTCAACTAGTTCTGGCCAGAACGACGCGCTAGAGTCGCCCTTCTTAAAGTCAAGTGCAGGGTCTCTCAGGCACAGGAGAGGATTGACCGTTGGGAATACCCCAGAACCTGACAAAGCGGCCACGGTACAGCAGTCCAGCAAGAAGAATCTGCAGCCAATTAGGCTTCCACCCCTCAACTTGCTACCCCTCGGCACCCCGTTCAACAATCGTATGTCGTCCCTCCCTACATCCGCAGATGATACGGATCCGGGCAATGTCACGCCGCCGCCAAAGCGTCAAGTCACCAAAACACCTAGTACGCCCATGACAGCATCCAAGGCCAGTTTCTTCTCGAGGCACAACTATCAAGATGAATACCACAAACACCTGCGCAGCAGTAGCTCTGCATTCAACTTGCGCGCCACCGAGTCACCACTTGACTCACAAGCAAATATTAACATGATGCCTGTTCCGACCCGGAATCCAACAAGACAAGCCTCTACCACTCCGTTTTCATCCAACCCGTTGCCAAAGGGAAGTGGTGAATTCACTCATTTGCAGCCACGTAAAAGTGGTGAATACAAGTCCCCAGTCAAAGATGTCGAGATGCAGAGCATGGTTGCAGGTCCACGACCTCTCCAGAAGAAAAATACCTCAGAGTCAGTGCAGACGTCTACGTCCACAGAGCCTGAAACTCCATCATCTGCTTCTTCTCTGCGGCGCAAATTGAGCTTGAGTGGCTGGAGACGAGCATCGTCCAAAGCCGCAAATCACCCGTCTCAATCCGCGCAACTGCGAAAGCCAGGGCCCAAGACCGAAGACACGAGACAGCAGCCGCAACCGCCGAAACACAGCGGTATGCCTCCACCCAAGATGCCTGCGTCTGCCAACTGGAATGGCGCCGCCCCTCCAAGTCCGTCACCTGCCCACGCTCGCACTCGACCATCTCTTGACTTTGGACGTCGCAAAGCCTCCAATGCAGCCATTGCGAGCGACACTGAGGCTGAGAAGGCCGCCGCTCGCAAGGCTGCGGGTAATGGTGCAAGCCGTGCTGTGTCTGGAAACACCGATCAAGCTGCTGCCCAGCCGACACAGAAGTCTTCATCCATCCTGACTCCAATGCAACGAATGCTGGGCACAAAAAGCTCCTCAAATATGCTCAAAGCGCGTAATCTGGACCCTAACCTTGATCGAGATGACCTGCTGGCCGATGAAGAGATGAAGAAGCTTGCTTCCAAGCGCAAGGACTTTGAGCATGCTGCACGTGACGTGGACGAGCTCCGTAAGCGCGCTACGGCCAAAGAACGTGTCACGCCAGCGGATGCCGTGCGTATGGCCAACTTGAACATTTTCGAAAGAGGCGAGATTATCGACTACAAAGAGGTATATTTCTGTGGCACTAAGAATGCTAAGAAACACGTTGGCGATTTGAATGCCCAAACAGCAAACTTTGGCTATGATGACGACCGTGGCGATTACAACATTGTCCTGGGAGATCATCTGGCTTACCGGTATGAAGTAGTCGATGTTCTGGGTAAGGGCAGTTTCGGCCAGGTTGTGCGTTGTGTAGACCACAAAACGGGAGGTCTAGAGGCCATCAAGATCATTCGTAACAAGAAACGGTTCCACCAACAAGCTTTGGTCGAGGTCAACATTCTTCAAAAGTTACGCGAATGGGTAAGTGAGCACTGCCCGGGCACACTGAATGTCACTAACAATCTTCTAGGATCCTGACAACAAGCACAGCATGATCAACTTTACACAAAGCTTCTACTTCCGCGGCCATCTTTGCATCTCTACAGAACTTCTCGGTATGAACCTGTACGAGTTTATCAAAGCACATGAGTTCAAGGGCTTCTCACTACGCCTGATCCGCCGTTTCTGTAAGCAGATGTTGTCCTCTCTGGTTCTTCTGAAAGCCAAAAAGGTCATCCACTGCGACTTGAAACCTGAGAACATTTTGTTGGCGCACCCCCTGCACTCGGAGATTAAAGTTATCGATTTCGGGTCCAGCTGCTTTGAATCGGAGAAGGTTTACACCTACATCCAGTCTCGCTTCTACCGATCCCCTGAGGTCATTCTGGGCATGAGCTATGGTTTACCCATTGATATGTGGAGCTTGGGCTGCATTCTTGCTGAGCTCTACACGGGCTATCCCATATTCCCAGGAGAGAATGAGCAAGAGCAGCTTGCGTGCATCATGGAAATCTTCGGTCCTCCTGAGAAGCATTTGATCGAGAAGAGCAGCAGGAAGAAGTTATTCTTTGACTCGCTTGGCAAGCCAAGGGTCACGGTATCTTCCAAGGGCCGCAGGCGCAGACCAAGCTCCAAGACCCTGCAGCAAGCCCTCAAGTGTGACGATGAAGCCTTCTTAGATTTCATCTCCAGGTGCTTACGGTGGGATCCTGAGCGACGAATGAAGCCTGATGAAGCATTGCATCATGAGTTCATTACAGGGGTCCGCAAAGCTCCTCAGCAACGTCGAGCTTACAACGCTCCTACGAGCGTCTCCTCTCCAGCCAGGCGCGCGCAAGCCCCGCTAGCGGCCAATGCACGCGCTCGACCACTTCCTGAACCGCCAGCTCCTAGCTTCCGGAACGGAACCGCTGCCAGTGCACAGCGTGATATATCAAACAGCCAGTCTCCAGTGAAAGCATCTGCTCCACAACGACGTCACTCCACTAATCAAGGGCTTGCGCCTGGCGGCTCTGGCACTAAGCGTGCTGCGAATGGAGCTCCACTCAATACCAACACTGCAAGTGGCCTGCCGCGGGCGGCGCAGCGAAGTGTGTCGGGCAAGCCTGATCTCGCCTCGGCGGCGGCAATTGCAAGTCTCGTAAGCAAATCTTATTATCGGCACGGTCTTTACAGCGGCTAACAGTGTTGCAGAAATCGCGTTAATAGCCTAACGAAACTGGGAAATACTCTCCTTATAGATCAATGACCGTCTCGGTGTTCGCAAGGCGCTTCTCCATTGTTTATTTTTTTTTAGGGGTAATCGCCTACTGTTGCTACCAGAAAAAGAGGTTTTTGTGTGACAGTTGTGTGCAGATGTGGTTGCCAACATTCATGTTTTTTCCCATTCAGCGACGTTTATACCCCCCCGAAAAAGTCTCAGCCTTGAGCATGTTTTCACCGGTGTATGATGGGCATTTTGGATAGGGATGGTCACGACAGATCCCTGATATGACGAGCATCTTAAGGCGTTTCACAAGGTAGACGTATTTAGCTAGGAATTCTAATAGTACGGCAATTGGTGGTTGATTACTCGCCAACAGTCAAGATTAGTTAATTTCCTTGTCCTGCAAAGTCATTTGCGCGAGAAGGGACCGGTTCCTTACTCGTGATCATGGTTGTCACGAACAATTAATTTGCGTAAGATTACAATTCATTCAGGGGCTCATTGCTGCCATGGGGGGGGGGGGGGGGCAACACACATGGATGACAGACTAGGTTGTCGTAGAGACGTAGATCATTTTAGTGATGTCAGCGCGTTATCGATAAGCCCTGTCGCGAATTTGATAATCGGCCGACGATTGCACCACGAGTTCTGCTCGGCAACCACCCCTCGTTGATACCCCACCCTTTGTTTCCTCTGGGTGCAGTGTACATCATGCCACGCGATCCGCTCATAGGTCTTGTAGGCAAGCCTTCGTCTGGCAAGTCGACTACCCTAAACAGGTGCGCAAATGCCCCTCCACGGCCCCTCCTCCTTCATAGGAACTTTTCTAAGATTTGTTTTACGGCAGCTTGACAGATGCTACCTCCAAAGTCGGTCGGTAATCGCAAAATGTCAATGTGGGAGACTTTTTAGGCTGATACGAAGTAGGCAACTTTCCGTAAGTCTTTTTCTCATGCTACACGGACGCTCTCGTAGCATGATACCCTGACAGACTTTTGTTTAGATTCACCACAATCGATCCTCAACGTGCGATCGGATATCTTCAAATATCATGCCCATGCGCCCGTCTCAACGTCTCTGACCGATGCAAACCCAACTATGGCTCTTGTGTTGAGGGAAGGCGATCAGTGCCCATAGAACTACTTGACGTCGCTGGACTCGTTCCTGGTGCGCATATGGGCAAAGGTCTTGGAAACAGGTTCTTGGACGACCTGCGACACGCCGATGCGCTGGTGCACGTGGTCGATGTCAGTGGGACGACAGATGCCGAGGGCAAGGCAACAAGAGGATACGACCCAAGTCAGGATATCGTATGGCTGAGAAGCGAAATTGTGCGATGGATTCAAGGCAATCTAATGGAGAAGTGGGGTAGCATTAAAAGGAGGCATGTGGCTGTTAAGGCAACAGCCGTCGAAACACTGCAAAACCAGTTCTCAGGTTACGGGTCGACTTCGAGCGTGGTGGCGCGCTGTCTCGACCGGCTTGCTCTGAAAGAGCCCCTTCAGGACTGGTCGGACGAAACTATTGAGCGCGTGGTGAACGCCTTTACCGACGAAAAGTTCCCTACGGTCATCGCACTCAACAAAATCGACCATCCGGATGCGGATAAGAACATTGCAAAAATCGCAAAGGTGCAAGACCCGAAAAGCATAGTCCTCTGTAGCGCAATATCAGAGGTCTTCTTAAGGAAGTTGGCGAAGCAGGGCTTTGTCAAATATACAGAGGGCAGCGAGTTTGTGGACACGAGGGAAGATTTGATTGAGCAAGGTGATCCAGAGGGTGGCGGATTGAAGGAACTCGACGAGAAACTCAAGACGCGCATCGAAAATCTCAAAGACATGGTTCTATATCGCTTTGGTAGTACTGGCGTCGTGCAAGTGCTATCGAGAGCAGCAGAGCTTCTTGGCTTGGTACCAGTTTTCCCCGTCAGGAACATACACACGTACACGAGTGGCTCAGCAAGTTCAACGGCAGTATTCCGTGACTGCGTATTAGTCAAGAAGGGAAGCACGGTGGGCGATGTGTACAGGAAAGTCATGGGCGATGCACCCATGGCCTACGTAGAAACCGAGGGCGGGAGGAGAGTTGCAGAGGACGATGTTGTCGCTGTAGGGAAGAATGATGTGAGTATCTTCAATTCCTTTGTCGCTAGATATCCATGTGGTGGTGTACTGACATGAAACAGATCCTCAGCTTCAAAGTCGGACGCGCATAGCCAAACTGCTGTCGATAGTCACTAGGTGCATGAATGCTTTTTTTTCCGGTGAGCATAGCTGCACGCCCAACAGATGGTTGTGGCTCTTGATTGTCAACTTGCAGTAGTGTTTAGGCAATCGCACGATGGATTTTCCATATTTAGGCCCATGTGCCTTGGTCTGCGCGATTTCCTGGTGATGACTTGTCTTTGTGGTCTCGATAGTAGTGCATATGTATGTACTTGGCCGTGGTGCTGTTGTATGCGGTTCCTGATCTGCAACCTTAGCCTACTGCAACAGCTGCTGCAGCTGCTGCACTAGCGTCGGCGAATAGACGGAGACAAAATAATAGCCACGCCAAGCATCTACGATAAGATTCACAGTCTGTATTGTGTGCTCATCGAACGAGGCAAAGAAGGGCCGTCGTCATCGTCGTCATCGTCGTCGTCGTTGAATACGCATGCAGCATGTCACTCTTCGCTCACCACCTCCAGGATTTAGCCCGCGTGCATACTCTCCCACCCGTCCTGGAACGGCGCAATCGCCGATTTCCGTGGAGAACGGGTAGTATGCAGGGCTCACACGGCCTAGCGTGGTCGACTTAACAAACCTAGTAGGCGGCCGTCGGCCAGCCGTGCTACCTCCACTTATAGCAGAACCACTGAATCCATGTGTGAATTGATTGCTAATGTCTCCCCCCCCCCTTCCCCCAAAAGGTGGCGCCCACGCAAGCAGATTGCGGGGAGTATTCGGAGCGAGAAATTCTCTTGATGAGCAATTACTGAGCATCGCGTGCTTTCTGTCTAGTTCTAGATGCCTGCCCCCCGGCTCTCCTCTCCATTCACTCATTAGGTGCTCTCGCTCACAAGCCCGCGGCCGAAAGGGCAAATATAATCCTTTCGTTCCTGCTTCTCACGCCACATTTGCCCTTGTTTTTTTTTGACACCCACTTTATTACATACATACTTTTCTGCTACATACTGTGTCTTATAGCTGTTGGCCCGCCTGGCTTGAACCTCGTTTAAGTTTTTTTTTGAACTGGTTCCTAGGTCGGTTACTATACAAGGCTCTTCCCTTGAAACTCAAAAAAAATCACCAGTCTGGAAAAGCCGTTAGGGTCCCCTAAGTTCCGAAACCCCCTTCCACCGAAAGCCGGGCTGGGAGGAATTTCCCTTTTGTCCATACGCGAACCCCTTCTTAGTCGCGCCCACCCATTTTCTCTTTCTTTTCTTCTCCCCGCCCCAGCGTTCCTGTTCTCCAGATTCTTCTTGCCCTCTTGCTATGAATCCGGTATAGGCTCTTTTTCTCGGTATTTAGCTTGTTATCTGGGGTAAACGCTTTCGTGTGGCAATAATCGTTTTAGGGGTCCCACTTGGTCCAGTCTTGTTAGAGACCTCCGACAGTCGAACCTCCGACAGTCGAACCTCCAAATTCAGGACCCAGCCTTTCACAAACCCAACTTTTCCAAGGTTGCAAAACTCGAGAAACTCACTCCACATACACACCCAACAAATACCGACGACAATGCTTCCACAACTACCAAAATTAAGTGACTACGACGTCTCGGCTCGAAATGGCTTCTTGCCTGATGAGGTACCGCTCGACGTCTTGCCCGATCGCTACTACCAACCCTGGGAGACCGTTGTGCGCAACTTTCAGAGCTTGATACTTGCCAAGCGACTTCGTCGGATAGTGGATGCGCTGCCTGTTCTCGGGACTGAACTTCTTCTCACTGAGGCCGAATGGCGGCGAGCATATTCTATTCTTAGCTTCATCGCGCATGGGTACATCTGGGGAGGCGACAAGCCGGCCGATGTGAGTTTTGGCAGTCTCTATGTTTACAAAGTTGCGCACGACTAATAGGCATGCATAGATTGTACCTCCATCCATTTCGATACCATTTCTACAAACATGCAAGCATCTAGAGCTACCACCGGTCGCTACCTTTGCAGCCGTCTGTTTGTGGAATTGGCGGCCACTATTCGATGGTGAGGCTACAGATACTCTGGACAATCTTGCAACACAGATGACCTTTACCGGTTCGCTGGACGAATCATGGTTCTACCTTGTCTCAGTGGCAATCGAAGCCAGAGCCGGCCCCATCATCCCGATGATGATTGAAGCTATTGCAGCAGCTAGGCGCAACGACAGTGACACTGTGGTACAGTGCCTGAGATCATTTTCAGAGAGGCTGGACGAGATTGGCTCACTCCTCGAGCGCATGTACGAGAGCTGCGATCCTCACGTATTCTATCACCGAATCCGACCGTTCCTGGCGGGAAGCAAGAACATGGCAGATGCCGGACTTCCCAACGGAGTCATGTTCGACGACGGTACGGGTCAACAGCCCTATGTGCAGTTCAGTGGCGGCAGCAACGCGCAAAGCTCCATCATCCAGTTCTTCGATGTCGTCCTCGGCGTCGAGCACCGACCCACTGGCGAGAAGCGAACAGAGCCAGGGAGCCCAGCTCCAGTCGGACCGTCTCATGGCTTCATCCAAGACATGCGCAACTACATGCCCGGTCCCCATCGCCGCTTCCTCGAGCACATGGAGAGCATCGCCAACATCCGCGAATACGTCACGTCGAACCGGAGAAACAGCGCTTTGACAACGGCGTACGATGCGTGCTTGGCTATGCTACGCACCCTGCGAGACAAGCACATCCAACTCGTCTCTCGCTACATCATTATCAAGTCTCGCGAGTCGCGATCACACTCCCGGTCTCTATCGCCCAAACAAGCACCTACTCAGCGTGTCAACCTCGCTAATACCATGGCTCGTACCGGCAGCAAGAAGCTTCGCGGTACAGGCGGTACGGCTCTGATTCCCTTTCTCAAGCAGGCAAGAGATGAAACGGGTGAGCCGGCAATCGATGCCTGGGCCAAGCGCTTGCTCAACAATGGGCCGGCCGAGTTTGGTACACCATCTGGTGCTGCTTTCGATGGCGTCGTACGGCTGGGCAAGGTGGCAGAGGGATTTGGTGGAGAGGTCGAGGTCGTCGGTCTTGCTGGTACCTGGAGTGTGGACGATAGTGAAGGAGGTATCTGCCATTGGTGAAATGATGGGGGGAGGATAACATGAATGATGATGATTATGATTATGTTACAAAACAAAAACAGGGCATTTTTCTGGTGTTTTGGGTCTTTCTTGGGGGATAATAATTGATATCCAGTTTCATTTTTGTTTTCAATAGTATTGCGAGTTGGAGAGAAATAACACATTTATATCTCTTAGTGCATTTAGCCTTTCTGGGGGGCTGAACTCGTTCAACTGCGAAAACAATGTTCTGGAAAGTACTCTGTGCCTAACCTTGAATGAATGTCGCAAAACAAAACATCTAAACTCCCTATCGTGATGGTGTGTGTGCTAGATGGTGAAAGGACTGCTGTGGTACAACAGCCTGGAAGCTGCCGACACGGCCAGAAACTATTGCATCACCTACCTATTCGCGGCAACACGAATGATGTTACGAAAAAAATTCTCAGGGATGCCACGCATGTCTCTCTCGCTTCCCACTCGGACGGGAAAGTGCCACTGTCGTCAGAGTTGCTGCGGCTGACCTTGCTCCCGGGTGTGTTTTTGCAGGGTCGTGGGTTTGCGATTTGCGATCGTATTGCAGTGGGGGGGCGGCGTGACGTCATACTTGACATGCGCCCCTCCCCTTTCGTCGCGTCTTCCCCAAACAAAATAGAAAAGGTAGGATATATAAACCCAGTCTTCCCTTTCCAAATGTTCAGAGAAAACCACGAAATACATACCTAAAGCATTTCTTGAAACGCTCTTCTTCAAGTTCCTTTGACGCGCAACATCAAAACCTACTATCAAACCTGATTAACATCAAGTAAATCATCATGTCTACCAACGAGACTTCTACCGGTCAGTCCTACCTGGACAAGGCTGTAGGCGCTGTTCAGAGCGGTATCGGCTCTCTGACTGGTAACACTGCCGACAAGGTAAGTCATTCGCATCCAGCCCAAAAGAAGAAGAAAAAAACACCCCTCCAATCCTAACACGTCTCTTCTAGGCCCAAGGCGAAGCCCGCAAAGACGTCGCAGACTCCAAGCACGACCTCTCGCACACAGCCGCTAAAGCGGGTCCCTTCTCCGTAACCGCCGAAGGCGGCGTCGCCAAAGACTCATCCGATCGCACGACAGGCGCGTGGAACCAAAACATGGGCGCGGCCAAAGAAGCGCTGGGCGGCTTCATCGGCGCAGAGGGCCTCAAGCAAGAAGGCATCCGCCAGAACAAAGAGGGCAAAGGCCAGGAGGCCGCCGGCCAGGTGAATGATCTCGGAAAGGGCATTGGGGATCGTGTTGGAGGCAATATCGGCGCTGCCGTTGCGGGGCTGACGGGGAACGAGGCGCAGAAGGAGGAGGCGAGGCGCCAGCATGATGAGGGCAAGGCGAGGCAGAGGGGCGTCGAGGCGGATCTGCAGAAGCAGGCTGAGGCTGAGAAGGCGTGAGTTGGGTGGGGGAGTTTTTTTGAGAGAAAGAGAGGAGGGTTTGTTTATGAGTTTATGAGATTATACCCGCAGAGATTATTGAATATACCCTGATTAATTTCTGTTTTTTTGCCGCGGCTTTCTTGAGGCGTGGTGTGAGGTGGTTGATTTGGTGATTTGATGATTTGGTAGTTCTCAAGGCTTCTCGTGTGCGTAAAGTGTGCAGATACAGCGGAGCCTTTCGCTTTTCACTTTTTGGTCGCATTGTATTTGGCTATACCACTGTAAAAATACGTGTCATGCGTATAGTCTTATCGTTCGGCCTTTCCTAGTAGATCGTCGCCTCAATAATAAATTGCAGGTCAGATTCAATTATCAGCAAACGTTAAGACAAGATTGACAATGCGCCAAGACCGCCCGGCTGTGATCTTTTTGCTCATACAGCATGCTTGCGTCGGTACATATAGTTAGTATGTAAATGACGAACAAGGTGATCATTCAAGGCATGAGGAAAAAAACCCAGCCACAGCCAAGTTATGCCTTGAATTCCTAAAACCTGGCGGCGGTGGCTCCCAAGCCATTTGCCGAGCAACCCGAGATTTCCCCAGAGTTTTTTTCAGCCACAGACCCACTATGAATACATAGAACGACACTGCCACAGGATGAGGCGTTGGACATGAAGATTTGTTGCCGGTGATGCGAAAAAAAAGCTTGGCCAGCAAACGTTGTCATAGGCGCTTGCGTGTCTGCTGTGGCGCGTGCACAGTTGTGGCTTAGCAGTCTAGTTATTAGTAAGTTTTTTTTGATCCGTATGACAACAGAAGAGGGCTTCGAGGTGACGTCGGAGAGACTTTTTTGTTACATGCGGATACGCATTCGTCCGTGGTGAGGGCCTCCATGCATGCGGCTTACTGTGCTTACATACATACCCAAATCTCTAAGGTGGTTTGTGCAAGTAGAGGGCGGGGGCCTACTGTTTGCCGTGCTCTCCGTTCGCAGCGTGGCATGCGTCACTTCGTACGATAGAGTGTTGGTTGTGGCGCCAAAAACCGGGAGCGCGGCATCGATCACATCCCTGTCAACCATCATCTGTTACGTCATACTTGTGTGGTCATGAGCCTACTCCCATCAGTCTTCCATAAATATTTCGCTGCATGCCACTGTTGCTTGCGCGTCAACCACACCCTCAAGTTCCATTCAAGTTACTTGTACAGCCCTTGGACACCACCAAACAGCAACTTCTTCTTACCGACAAACCCACCAACAACCACCACCATGCCTTTCACCGCTAGGTATGTTCAGCCTTACCCACTGGGCTCTCTCTTTCTGCTTTTGTTGGCGACACGATGCTAACTAGACACCAGCGACATTTGCAAGATCCTCCTTGCCATCATCCTCCCACCTATCGGTGTCTTCCTCGAGCGCGGCTGCGGAGCCGACTTCCTCATCAACATCCTGTTGACCATCCTTGGTTACATTCCGGTGAGTTCCGCTTGTCCAATACATTAGCCGATTACAATGCAGCTAATCGAGTCATCCCAGGGTATCATTCACGCCCTCTACATTATATTCAAATTCTAGCCGGACCGCGGACGAATATTTACGATGCCGCGTTAACGGTTATGACGTTGTTGTCAAATCATCACGATACCCATCTTTTTCTCTTTTGTTTAGCACCATCACCACCGCCACTACTACTACCACCAAAGCCTCATTCGCCTCCGCCCGGCTTCTAAATATCTATCGATGCATCCATGCTGGAACCTCCTACTCGGCATGGAGTTAGTCGGATGAATGCGAGTCGAGATGGTAGCACCGGTTGGGCTTTGAGCATACGATAATGACCTGCTTTTGTATCACGGCGTCCTTTATTTCCTGGGTTACTTTTAGGTTTGCTTTTGGTGCATCCTGGAGCATTCCGAGGAGCGTAGCATAATAGGAATTCAATTGGACACTTTGCAAGCTTTATCTTGATTGTGTTTGTGAATTGTGACTGAATGATTGAAGTAATTAACGTTGCAGTTAAAGTATGGCGCGCGTCGAGAACTGTTCGCGCCTCTGACAACAGGCGTTTGTGTAATACGAACTAATCATTTACCCCCAACACATTGCTTTTTTTTTTAAAAAAAACCCAATGCCTATGATTCAATGATTGTCGCCCAAATGTCACACGGACAAATTGCCTCCTCTTCGTATGGCTAGTCTTGTGGGCGGAGCACGATGCTTGGCACGTGCCACTCGTTCTTTCCAAAGGTTACGTGTTGCGCAGCATCGCCAATACCACCACCACCCACGGCCATGACACCTTGCCCATTTCGAACCTATGTATTCCCTTCGGCGATCAACGTCTCACTCGCAACATTCCTATCACTCGAAGCGCAAGCCGCGATATAAATGCCGCCCGATATGAGCTATCTCACTGCTACCCTTACCCACGCAGAAATCAACCTTATCAGCAATCCAAACAGACCAAGCTACGATACGATTCGCGACTTGGAGATAGCTTCCCAAGGGATACGCAGCAATGCAGACCAGTTTGAGGAATCGCTGAGGATCAAGAATACGCTCGATGCCTTCGCACGTAGAGCTGCTGCCGAGCCGAGTTTGGAAGTGCTCGCAGCCATTTTGAACTGCGAGTACAAACTCTGGAAGATGAATGAGGGCATATCAATGCGATTTAAGCCTTTCTTGTCGCATTGGATTGAATCGCTTATGGTCATTGAGGGGGAGCTCGCTGCTTTGCAGCTGGACACGGTCACGGATAGCCACATGAAGAATACGGTCACGACGGACGAGATTTTGCGGATCAGAGCAAGATGTATCAAGGGTTTGCTGGTGGACAAGCCGATACCTCCAAAGGAACCGACCTGGCGGGCGTACCAGCGAATGCTCGAGAACGAGGCTACGCTGCCAGACTTCGACATCGTACCGTATATGCAGATGCTTGTGGAAACACAGATCTGGGACAGGTTACCGGAGGAACAGGTGCAACCTGTGGAGAAGCATGCGCAGAATGGGACGGAAAAGAACGGATTGCGCAAGGCCAAGAAACAGAGAGTCAATGGGTCAGAGTCTTGGGAAGAGTGTATGTTGCGAAAGCTCAGGGACGCACCCGAAGTAGCTGCCGATGAACTCGCGCGTCTCCCTCTTGAGATTTCGTCGCTCGATTTTCTTACCAGACTTCTTGTTGATGATACCTTCAAGCAGTTTGATGTCGACGGTCCGAACATCATCCTCCGTTTTATACAGCACGCATTACGGCTCGTCGAGGCCATGGAGGCTCCCCCACCAACTTTGGAGCTGACTACAAACGGTATACCGATTGTCGAATACGGGAAAGAAGCGCAGACCCGTGCTATCAGCATCCTGCTGTTGTTTATCAAGAATTCTATGAGCAAGGGCAAGTTGGATGCTGGAATGCTTATTTTTGAAATCCAGGAGATATGCATCAGGTACCTGTGGATGAAGGAAGTTCGTGAGTTTCGGGCTTGGATAGAGCAAGGACCTTGGGATGATTGAAGGATGTGTTAATACGCAATCGGTCGACAAGAAGATAGGAACAGGACGAACTAGAGCTACAACTTGGTGCATCGCTAGTACTGTTGGCTATCATGTTAGGAAGGCGGTGTGTCGAAACAGTGTATCACAACGTTTGCTGCATAGTGAGACTACTACGAGGGTACAGGAGACTCGCAAACGTCTGTGGAAATTGCAGTGTTCTCCCAGAAAACGAAGAGTCAATGAGCATATCTTCTCTGCCGTCATTGACGCGAATACCGAAATATCGGAGAAGGCCATGGCACGGCATTACGGAATCCAGAAACTCTGGCTTGCTGCATGACATCTCACAGCCGTACGTGTCGAAACTGCCATCGCCAACCTTGCTTAGATGGAAGAGTGCTTTCCGGAGTATGGGTGACGCGTTGAAACCATGTTGTTGCCATATTCGGGGGGTGGCTTTGGATGTTTCGAAAATAATCGGGGTTGACAATCACTGTTACGCGAAAAAGTAAACTACGTACGCTAGTCCATGACCGAGTCCAAACTTTAGAGTTTCAACACTCAATAACTGAAACAACCATTAACTTTATTGCAGCGCCGGCTTCATGACCAATCGCTCAGTACCGGAAGTCTCTGAGTAAACGATACTTCTTGCGGGATATTATCATCTTTGCTTTGTCGGTGTATACTCTCAGGGCTTTCGAATCGGCCTTGGGAGACCGGGATTCTTACGACACAGTAACTGGACCGCAAGAACAAGGCTGTCTACATCGAAACTTTGTTCCAGCATGTGTGTTTGAATCGCCAAGTCTGGCACAAAACATGCCTGGTGATACGAATATGCCAAACATCAATGCATTCGGTACCGAGGCAACACGACTACCTCTGGTCGTCTGCCTGTATACGGAACATGCTTGCCCCGATCTTCTGGCGAAGATCGTCCCGCAGTGGAGTATCTCTTCGGGTGCTTGGCTGTAGTGGAGTAATCCGCGCCCATCGTTCGACCTACACCGTCTCAGTTCATGGTCCAGCGTCTGTGCCCCCTGGGTATCACGACGTCAGTCCGACTCCATTACCGTTGTGAGACACGGCACCAAGTGTGGATTCGATTTTCCCGTCCAACAAACAGGCGTCTGGTCACACCGGAAACTAGGATGGAGCCTCCCGAAGTGCTTGTGTGCAGTAAGCTTCTGAGCATGGACGCCATTACTGTTTTACACAACAGAAGGGCAAGAAAGGTAGAGAATCAAAGTGTATATAAGACACTGTGTTCCTGCCCCCAAGTCAAAATCATTATCATTCAAACCATTAAACCAACCAGACTCGCTTTCTTCTTCTTTATTAATTCTCTCTTATCCATTCCATCCTTCTAATTTCTACTTGCGCCGGACGCTTGCTCTATTCATCCTCTTATTACGCTCAACAAATCATTCTATTATATCTCTCTTACCAATTTACTTTTGTAAATACCCCCTAGTCAACCTTACATACCACCACCATCAATATGCGTTACTCCATCGTCTTCACTGCTGCCCTCGCAGCCTCCGTCCAGGCCCACGGTGTCATCACCGCCGTCCAGGGTGCCAACGGTGTCACCATGCCCGGTCTCTCCGTCGCGGATGGTACTCCTCGTGACTCTGGTAACCCACTTTCCGGTGCTGAGGCTGATACTTCCATCATCCGTGCTAAGGAGATGGGTGGCAAGGCGTCTGCTCTTGGACGTACCGCCAGTGGTCCTGTAGATGCTGGTGCGGCTATTGCTAAGTTCATGGGTACTGGTGCCGCTGGTGCTGCCGGTGGCGCTAAGGCTGCCGGTGCTAAGGCTGCCGGTGCAGGTGCCGCAAAAGCTGCAGGTGCTGCTGGCGGTGCCGGTGGCGCTGCTGGAGGTCTCGCTGCTCTCCTTGGTGGCCTCGGTGGCAACAAAGGTGGCAACAAACGTGGTCTCCTCGATTCCCTCCTCGGCGGTGCTGGCGGTGCCGGTGCCGGTGCTGGTACAAAGACACCCAAGGGCACCACCGAACAGGGTGTCGCTGCCGCTGCTGGCACTGGTGCGTCCACTGGTCTCCCCACCACTTCCGACGACGGCACAATCACCATGACCTTCCACCAAGTTAACCAGGATGGTGCCGGTCCCCTCACTGCAGCAATCGACGCCACCTCCGGTGGAACCGACCCCGCTGCTTTCCAGAAGGCTCAGGTTACCCAAAACGTTCCCGGTATTGGTATCGGTGGTCTGTCTGCTGCTTCCAGCACCGACTTCCCCGTCAAGGTCCAGATGCCCGCTGGCATGACCTGCCAGGGTACCTCCGGAGGTGTCTCCAACGTCTGCGTCGTCCGCCTGCAAAACGCAGCTCTCGCCGGTCCTTTTGGTGGCTCCGGTGCCTTCACCCAGAGTGCTGCGGCCAAGAAGAGGGCTATCGAGTACAACCTCCGCAAGCGCCACATGGCCCGTGGTATCCTCGGAAAGCCTGAGTAAACTCATCAAGTTATTCAATCCATTGGACAAAAGAGGTGGTGTGGTGTATATGTCAGACAAAGAGGGAGAGAGAGAGAGATTCTTAATATAATGGGAAGAGGATGGAGAGAGAACGGGGAACAGAAGAAGAGACGAAAAAAAGAGATGGAACGATCAACCCTTTTGGTTGTTGAATTTTGCAGGGCAATTTTCAATAATCAAGATGATCAGGTAATTGGGTGTGGTGCATGATTTTCCCATCTTTTATTTACATCAAGATTCTCAACGGTTCTTGGTTGTATATAACTGACCTATCATACGCTCGCTTTTATTTACTTGAGTTGATTGTTTGTTATAATCTCTCTTTTTTTTAATAACTCTTTTCCTTTGTTTCTTGTTTGGATTTAATTGGAGGGATGGAGGAGAAAGTTGTATGAAGGGGGTGGCTGCTCTGGGTTTCTCTGAGCTGCCCCTGGCCGTGAACACATTTTTTAATAAGAGAGAACCAGTTGTATATAGAAGAATGAATAGTGAGTCTGGTTTAAAAATCTTTACCTTTTTTTGGTTGTGTGATGTTTGTTTAGTGAACGTGAGTGGAAGAAGAGAGTCGTCTCTGGGCCAGAGTGGGATTTGAACTGAGCACCTGGATGAAGTTAATGGACGCGTTTGGTTGCTGAAGTGGCTGTGTGTCGAAAGAGGGAGAGGCCGTGTGTAGTGTAGCATCGAAACTAGATGGGATTGGCACAAGTAAGGAATACACGCAAAATTGATAATTACTTGCCTCTTTGCAAACTTGCATCTTCTAAGAATACATGTGTCATTCAGGGAGGAACGCGTTGTGAGCGACCTAGTGTTTGGCACCTTGTTGACAGGATGGGATGATCCATCAAGAATGAGTTGTCACAAAGCTATGTAAAGGAGATATAGTTAGTTCAGATTACGTTAACAGGGGGCATTTGCTATTCCTTCTTGTCTCTTTCATCCCAGATATTGATCTTGAATGATGTATGAGCGTGATTCTAAGTAGCCAAAAGTTGCAGAAATTACTGACAAATCTGTAGGCGTTTGTGATTCTGTTGCTGATGCCTAATCTAGCAGAATGAGCGTGAGAATGGCATAATATGCTAATAGTACAGAACTGCTTTGTTGTACTACTTATGTTGAGGCATGTGCTAAGAATGTCACAGTTTTGCACACAGGAAACACAAAATTGAAAAAAGATGCAGCAAATGAAAATATGCAGCCATACACGAGATATACTAGATGAAGATTTGATGGTACTTTCTGACTGATGGCTGCACAGAATGGTGCAGTGTTCCTAGCCGGATACTCTGAAACCTCGCAAATGTTGCTCCACCAAACGATTCCTGGACAGGCAAAATGATTTATCTCGAAATGGACCGACAGGCATAATCAGGTGCAACCGTCAGATGATGACGGGTAAGAAAATGCCACTGCGTCGTCTACGGCGGTATGTAAAATCAAAAGGGGAATAAGACCGCATGAAGATGAGCACAACCAAATGTCATGGTCGTTGAATCCGGCGCTGTGCATTTGTCGATCGGAGGAAGTCAAGCCAGTGCAATACATGGCTCTCCATGCGTCTTCCTTGCTCGTCTTATAATATCCGTGGAGCCCAACAAAGGCGCATTGCCAGCGCCACGGCAACTCATCATCATCAAACGCATACTCATTCCCCACAATAAACAAAAAATGAATAAGAAAACTTTGCGACATAGATGAGGTGTGTGGTTAAGATCAACTTGCTATGATGATTAGACGGCCCTTTTTTCCTCGTCTAAGCGGTCCGATTGCGAAGGGCCGACCACAATGACCAATCTTGAAATTTGGCTGTGGCATGTCGCGTTTGACGTCAGGATGGTATGGGGAATGTGCGAGAGATCGAAGATGACCTGTGCGATGATAAATTCTAGCAGGTTGTTGTTGACTTTTCAAGGAATATAGCCGGAGCATGGGCTGCCGGTGGTCCGGTCCACTTGATTCGCTGTTTCCGGCAGGTACCTAGGTATCATGCCATGTTACCAGAGATCAGGTCTTGCTCACGATTTTATTGAGTTAGATCTTGATTTCTTGAGCATGAAGTCGGACAGAGAGGCTGTGCACTCCGCAGCCGAGGTAAGCTTATGCAAAAACGCGTGTTCACACTTTCTGTAACTTTTTTGCGCAATAGCGTGAGCAAGAGGTTCGGCAATTGCAAGAATCTCACCTCAATGGCTCGACTTGTTGATATTCATCTGTACAGAACATGCCACGAGCTGCGCCAAATCACAGTGTTCATTACAAAGGACAGCCTACTCGAGTCCTGGTAGTGAGAGGTGATGAGCGTTGCGGGGGTTGTGACCGGACCAACCAGGCAAGGGTGCACTGTGTGCCGATAAAATGTAGATGAGCCGCTATGCAACTAATCGACGCCCCGGCGGATACCAAGAGCGTGTCCATGCCACGCTGCATACGCAAGCAGTTTCGGAGGACAACGAGGTGTATGTAGGTGTACACTACTACAATGTTTTGCAGATCTTGTAATGGAGAGGACGGCTGTGCATTGATCAGGAGTGTAGGGCATTGGATGGGACACCATGTCGGTGAGGGCAGACTAGTCCCTACGCCTCCAGTCATGATATGCGCATCAATCGCGGGGTGCCAGGTGGTGCAAATGTGGAGATGCGAAAGTCAGTCTTCGATACGCGTCCGCGGCCGTTTAGTGTGGAGACAAACATCCCAGGACGACCACGAGGCCATTGCTGGTCCACAGTGATCACGGGAAAGCTGTCGAACTTGTATGGGTGAGTCGAGGATTAGTGAGCGGCATGGCGGGGTTGTGTGCAGTAGAGAGGTTGCGCTTGGCACGAGGGCAGATGGACAAGTTTACCATGTCTTTTTTCTGATTCATGCCGTATCCTTCACCACATTTCGGAACGGCTAGCCCAAACGAGTTTAGAGGCGCACAGACGCTCCCGCACACCCTTGTGATCGATGAACAACGCCTTCTGACGTATGTCGTTCCCCTCCAGAGTCGTCATCTTGACTTTTCCATCTCAGCATCCCGCTGCTTACACACTGACTACACACGCGACATGTGGGGAGAGATTGTCGCTTTTGAAACAGCCTATTGAGCGCCTAGAGGAGAAAAAAGACATGCTACTGGCGACAAGCCATCGGCGAACGCAAATGTGTGGAACACACTCTCATTTCCTTGATTGCAAGGAATCCATCCAGCAGCAGGCATTGCCAGCATTGCGCTGCAGTGGCGCCATGAGCCGCTCTGATAGAGCACACTGAGCGGTAAGATCTCTCAAGCACGAGCGGTGAGAGGACAGAGACGGCAAATGAACGGCTCCATGCATGGTGTTTGCAATTTAGCAACATGCAGCACGCGGCTCAAGTCGCTAGCGTATGCTAAACTAGGCGTCGAACTGCGGAAGAGATGGGACGGAAGGTTGAGACGAGTAGTCGGCGACAGGCGGCCGGTCACTGAGCGGCATGTACACCCACCCAGGGTGCCTACAAGGTCATTGCCGAAGTACCATGCTCTAATCCATTCGAGCGAAGCTCGCAAACTTGCCGTATCCAGCCACGAAGCAATCGCAACATCAGACCGCAGCGTTTACGACTCAGCAAGCCCCGTACGCACAACAGGGTCATTGTTGGCAGTTCTCCCGTCGACTAAATCCTCAACATGTGTGGCGAATGAACGAGGAGCACACCAAAGGGAACCGCGATAAGATCTCCATGACCCTGATCTTCAACCTAGTCATTGAAATCCGGCTCGGCATCTCACGGACACGACCATCAGATATGTTGATCTTGGGATGCTTGGGTTACGACTCGTTGACGGAACATGTGATGCAGCATATTCCTCGTCTATCAAGACGAAATTGCCTCGATTCCATCCAAGTGTCTTGGTAGACGGTCTTATCCTGCCTATCAAGCGCTGCGACACCGGAATTCATCTCACCCTGCATTTCAACTGTGGCGCACAAGCCAACCTCCCCACATCCATGGCATTCTTCGGCACCCCTGTTCCGTGACGGAAGGGAGGGGGCGAACAACACATCAGGGCAACGCTGGTACCAACAACGACAGCACGGCTAACCAATCGGGCTATGTTGTTATCAAGGCACACACCATCAAAAGATGCAGGGACGGGCGGTTGCCAGATATCTTGCGAGAAAAGGAACGCGTCCGTTGATCCTTTATCATTGGTCCTCGAGATTGCCTGTGCATCGCATGTGCAAAGACAGACCAACTGTATCTGTATGACTCAAAAGGGGAAATCGGAGCAATGGTTTGGTCCCTTAATCATACGAGGATACAGAGGACACATGTCCGCGCCGTTCTATGCCCATGTTTGCGAATGCTCGGAACTGTCCTATCGCTCTTGGACAAGACATCATGCACAACGACATCGTTGTGCATTCCGCCTACCCCTCCCCTTTCATCGGGCGAATCAAGCAAGCGTATCCATGCCACACGTATCTTTTGCGGTTCGAATCCCATCCGGCGCCATTTGTGGTTTGTTTTCATATCGGGCGAATACGTACATACCACGTACCGTTCGAAGCCCCCACACGTACGACTTCTCCCTGTCATGTCCAAAAGCAGTGAACACGGCATGGATATCTCTTGCATAGCAGGCTATATTCCAACCGTGATATGGAACGGGGGGGTCAAAGAGTGAAATTGCGTGAAATTCGGTCAACGGCCCTTTTCCCCCCGTTTGGCCTTTGATATTCCCGCTTTAGCAGTGGAATCGGCGCACGATTGGTGGCTGTCCAGCTCGCTCCGTAACTTGTCTGTTTGCAAAAAAAAAAACAATTCACACTGAATAAACACAACAAGACTTTGACAATAAGATAAACAGAGACGATGTGAGCAGAGGTGAGCAAATCAGACAGGAGTAACACAAGCACTGCACGTATTACCGCTATACGCGAGACTAGAGTGCGCACCGTGCATACCTGCATCCCCCTACTGTACGCGATCGTGAAGCGTAACAAAGGGAAAAAACTCCTTCAGGGTCCGCTCTAATCCCCATTCTTTTTGTCCTCCTGCTCGTGCACGTCATTCATTTCATTTCCCTTTTCTCTCCTCCGTCGCGCTCTATACGAACGGAGGCAAGGGGATGAATCTGTGTGAAAGGAAACATTGAAACTTAAACGCGTTACCCGCTCCCTCATCACAAAGTTCAACTTACGTGCGTATCTAGTCCGTAACAATCACGTTTTATAAAACACACACACACACACGCACGGAGATTGCAGAACAGAAAGCCGAACACACACCACACGTGCCACAAACTATCTTCAAAACTAGCCTTTCGAACACGGACAAGCGGTAATAAATCCACAAAACCCATAACGTAGAATACATACCAACCAAACGAAATCATGATTTTACCCAACCCACCTTAAATTTACCCACACACTCTTTCATTTCGGCCAAGCACCACCCGCAACGGCGGCGCACACACCCCTCTACTTCGGCTCCCAAGGATCCCCGTAGGATTTTCAGCACGAGCCCAGCTTATCACCTGCAACTGCGGATTCGGTGTGTGTGTTGCGCCCTGCAAAGCAACCCTCCTCCTTTTCTTCTTACTTTCCACTCCAAACTTACTCTACACGCTGTATATAAATGTGCGTCTGCGAGAGAAAAAAAGGGCAGTTTGGGAAGCGTGATACTTGTTCATTTTTAAAGTGGGGAGAAAGAGAGAGAGAGCATCGGCAGAGTGAGAGAGTGAGGGAAACAAAGCTACCAAGGCAAGTCTAGCAAAAGGAAAAAAAGGGACTAGTAGGAGACAAGGTCCTTGGAGTGGATACTCTTACCTGCTGATCGGGATAAAATGGGTAGGGATGTTTGCACATGGGCGGTGCGGGTGTGCGGACGCAAAGTAATGCAGGCGGGTTTTTGACTCAGATGTTTTGGTGCGGGTAATTTTTGCTCTTTAGACTACTTGTTACTCCTTATTTTCCTCGTTGCGGCGCGTGCTTTCGTGCTGATGCTGGGAGGTTGGCCTAAGAAGTGGATACAAGAGAGAGAGACATGGGCTGAAGGTGTGGGGAGGGGGAAGGCGCAAGGGGGGGGGGGTGGAAGATGGGGCCCGGAAACGGGTAGCGCGGCAAGGCGATTCACGTGGGTGGGACTTGTTTTCGAGGTGGGTGGTTGGGTGGTGTGCATGGGTGCCGAGACAAGGTTTGAAGACATTTTGGGATGTGAGCGCGAGTGTGATGTGTGGCGAATAATGTTTGTTGAGTGTGACTGGACATGTATGTTTCACTGTGGATAGATTAGTTTGGGACATGGAAGCAACACATCTGGAAATGACATTTCTATCATCGAGTTCTTGTTTTGAAGTGTGCAAGTTTTGTATTCACTGGCTATGTATGTATAGAGAAGAAATAAAATAAAAAAAGACCCGTCATCTGTCCAGCTCGACACTGATGATAGTGGAGCGCTTGCGGAGTGAAGCTAAGGACAGGCGAGATGCCGTACATGCCTTGGGGTTAAAAAAAAATAGTAACATTGGTTTGGGTATTCGACAAAAGGAAAAGCGACCGATGCCACGCTCCAGCACTTGGAGGTGATGAGACAAGGAGAATTTCTGCGCGCAACCATGCCCTAAAAGAATGAGACCGTTTCCACAACATGCTTTCCGTGGTGCTGTTGTATCTGACGTGGTTCCTTGTTATTTTTGTCTTGTTTTGGTGGATGAGTGTGGGTGATGAACGCCGTGAATGCTCCTTGCCATGGCCGTATGAGAACAGTAAAAAAAAACTCCAGGTGTGTAACCAAAGGAAAGGCGTGTAGGGTAATGGCTTGTTTCGTGTTGATGCATAGGCAGCCTTTGTATCAAAAGTGCAGGTTGGTGATTGTAAAATCATCTGCCGCCAACGGAGGTAGTCCTACCGGGAGAGTACTCGCCTCGACGACGAGCCTCCTCACGAATGAACTTTTCAACGTGCTGGTCAGCCTCGGCTCGGCTTACACCGGCTGTGAGGTAGCCGCCGACCTCATCCTCGAGCTCTAGGGGTGTGACGGCTCCAGGGCTAGCTAGGGGCTCGAGACGGGGGCTGGTTGGCCTGGGGCCAAAGCCCTTGTGCTGACGGCTGGTGTTGGCGAGAAGCTGCTGCTGGTAGAGGTACATTTGTCTTTGGACCTCAAATTGCCTGTTGGTTGATCGAGGAGAGGCAGGCGAGTGCGGGCTGTCGGGACCAGTGATTGGTGTGTTTGCTTGGCTGGAGTGGTTGGAGCTCTGGGAAGAGGCATAGTTGGCAGGATGGAAGCGAGGCAGCGAGGGGAGCCTCAGATGGGCAGCAGGGCCATGGTTGCTAGACTGGCGTGGGTTCAGAGCTGGTCGGCGTCGAGCCTGGGAAGGGATGTCGAGAGGTTGGGACCTGGGGGACAGAGGAGAGCTGATGGCAGGCATGGTGCGGTCAGAGGATCGTTGCATGTTCTGGTGGTGGTGATGGGAGTGGTGAGAGGTGGTGTCGGATCTGAAGATGACTCGCGAAAGAGAGGGCGATGCTGGCGGCGATCTCATATGATGGGGTGGCGAGAGGAGCTCGTCTGGCCTTATTGAGCAAAGGAGACGGGCTGGCTAAGATTGATATACCAACGGTCTTCCCAAATGGTGGTAGTGGTAGTGGTGGTTGTGGAGGAAGGTAGCGCAGTGCCGAGGGGAGACGAGGCACAGGCAGCGGCGGTGACCAATATATGTAGGCATATGGATGTATTTGGTAGTGGGAGGGTCCAACAGGCGTCGGGGATGGTAGCCGATGTTAATGGCATAGTAGGGCGGTGATCTTCCGCTTGGAGGCGCCGTCGTGCGGTAATCGTGCCTGAGAGGGCAGCAGGGTACAGGGCCGCCGTGTGGAGCCCGTTTCAATAATGGTGGCTCGCACCCGCCAAGGGAGGTGGTGCTGGGGCTGCTGGGGACGGCCAATCTCAGCGAGTGGGAAGGGAACAGGACCCGGCGTGTTGGCGGTGCGTGGATAGCTATGGCTATGGCTACGGCTACGTGGGCATGACTATCTCGTCATGCAGAATGGGTGGCCCTGGTTTGCCGATGTGCATGGCCATGGGGGAGGGCGGGGCGTTTTTTTCCGTCGGTGGTGGTGAATGTTCCTTGCCTTGTGCACCATGGGCCTTGATGACGCAGTGCAACGAGAATACCGGTTGCCCTCTCCATCCCCATTGCCAGCCCCGGCGCTAAACGCGTTGTGCGAAGACGCCATGGCCAAACCTGAATTCCAATTTGCCCTGCAGCGCGGGGGGCCCTGCGTGTGCGAGCCCGTTGCAGACTTGCCCGTCGCGGGCTGCTGTGCGGTGCAGTGCGCTGTGCTGTGCTGTTCTGCTGTGCTCTGCCGTGCCGTGTCGTGGCGCATATCGGCGTGCTGTGGTGGTGGTGGTGTATGTACATACATCTGTGCTATGTACATAGTAGACGGAGACGACGCCCGCAAGGCACAACACCACACTACCACACTACCACACCACCACACCACACCACTGCCAGTTCACCACCGTGACCCTAGGCACACGCGTCGGTGTAGGCGCTGTAGGTGTAGTGCTGTGTAGTGTCGTGTAGTGCCGTGTGCCAGCGACGCCACCCACCTTGGACCCAATTCGCGGCAACCATCGATCGAGATCCAAGACGCGTCTTTCCCCTCAAGCCCCCGAACTTCACCCCGTACTTCACCGAGTGGCAAGCCATCCGTCTTCATGTCCAGCATCCAGGCGCGCCTCGACGGGTAGTCGGTTCTAGACAAAACTCCATGGACCTTCTAGCACTGTCCCTAGCTGCTCGCTATGACGATGAACCAAAATCCTCCCTGCTGTGTTGTTGGGTCACCACCACCCACAGAAATATCGCGGCTTCTCGGTCCGCCCCCAGATGCCGTCATCAACTTCACTCAAACTCACAGCATACACTCCTTCCATGTACCTACACACGTGCAAGACACCGACATTCCATGCAGGGACATGCAGTTTAGCTCGAAGTCCGCTCACCTGTAGGCTGTACCACTGTATCCAGCAACGGCTAACGTTCCGCTGCCTGCTTGTGCTCACTTCCCGCACTGCTCCTGGCGACCCGAACCACCCTACAGAGTCCGCCCACCGCCTCTCTACTAGCTAAAACTACTGTGGCATGACGCCTCCGGTGACGTTGGAAGGGCTAATTACCCCACGTTCCCAAACACCCTACACGACAACAATGACGGCTGCAGGGTGCGGGAGATGACACGCCAATTTTGACAAGACACATGACCGTCTCACTGCATGCAAGAAGAAAAAAAGCAACAAAGGTTTCCCGTCCAACGTGCGTGTCAGCCATTGTGCCGTGAATTTGTTGGATTTGTTCGTGTGCAACTGCGTCTTCACTATCCCCTCGCCCCGAGCTTCTCTAGAGCACGTACACCCTGCTCTTCCCACTCTGCCTTTGTTATCCACATGTTTTCCTTGTCTGCCATGATGTTTGCCAGCACAGCACCACCCAAGAAGACCATGTGCCTTCGCCGAGGCGGGTCCTCGATGCGCACCTTGAATTTCTGCAAAAGTGTTAGTGCCAGTGACCACGGCAGCCAGTCGGTTACTCACGTTGAGTCGCTCTGGGTTTCCGCCTAGAACCTTGGTGAGCCACAGCTGCTTCAGCTCCTTCTCCAACCGACTAGGCAGACCCGGGTACATGCTGCTTCCACCACTCAGCACAATGGCTTTGTATAGACTGCTTCGCACATCCACGTCGGCCGACTGGATTGTGTTGAACAGGAACTCAGCGATACCGGGCTGTTCCACATCCACAAGGTGAGGCTGGAACAGACATTCGGGGGCCTCGAAACGCTCACTGCCCACCCGGATCACTCGACCGTCCGGAAGAGTGTACGACTCCACCAGCACTGTTGTGTCTTCGCTCAGGCGCTGGTCCAACTCGAGATCGTATGATACGTAGCAGAGCTTCTCTTTGATTTGTCGCACCGTTTCGAAGTCGGCGGTTCGGTTCAGGGCGTATCCCCTCCGTAGAAGGAGCGCGATGAGATTGCGGGTCACATCACGTCCGGCGACATCAAGACGTCGAGTGAGGTGGTTGAGCACGGTGCTTTCGTAGACGGGAACAATATGTGTAACACCATCTCCTGAATCGACGACTACACCAGATGAGAGACCCTGTGCGTATAGAGCCAACACAGCCTGGATAGCCACGTAGACACCCCCAAAATTGTAACGCTCAAACATGACTTCGCACATGGTCTCGCGGTTCTTGAGAGGGTTCATGGGTGGCTCAGTGAGCAGGATCTTGCGGCCAGTTGGGTCAATCTTCATCTTCTCGTAGAAAGTATAGTCCCACAGTTGTTGCATATCGTCCCAGCGCTTCACGATACCATTCTCCATCTGCACGCCGAGTGGTCAGTATCCAATTCTGTGCAACCATTCCCTTGCATGACCACATACGGGGTAGGTAATCTGAAGCATTGAGCGCGCCTCGGCAGCCTCGTCACCGCACATGATGTCCTTGAGCTGAATATCACCCGTGTTTTGCTCTTCGGTTCGCAGGATGGGCCGACCGACTATCGAAGGGTACTGGTGATCCGGGAAGTTCTGTAGTAGCCATGGTCAGCTTTGCAGGTTTCGTTGGGTGCTCCAGTCGATACTCACCTGTCCGGCATAACCCGCCTTAAGGAAACCAGTACCGCCATCGAGAACTAATTGGTAGGGTAAGCAGAGCCTTGAGAATTGCCAAAAGCGCATTGCTTACCAATAGGAGCTTCAGCCATCTTGTAAAAAGCTCTGGAGAGTTGGTGGGGTGAGGGAGGTGGATGTTGAGAGCTGGCTGTAGCTCGGTGCCTACGTGCCTTGAGGTTGACGACGTTGGCGGCGGGGCGCTGATGGCTGGCCGGGGGTCCGTGAGCACTCAAACGGGCAAAGCAGATGGTCGAGCTACAACTTGAAATGTACCAGCTACTTCTGATTAAACCAAAACCAGCATTCTAATTGCACGCTGAGAACTGTTACAGGGATGCAATGTGTTGCATTGCTTGGTTCCAGCACGGATTTCTTCCAGTTGGGCACCCAAGAGAGACTGCTTACGTGCTGCCCAAGGATCATGTTATGTGTGCAATCAATGCCAAAAAGAGCCATACTCAAGAGTTGGCATCTAACCTAGGGCTTCATACCAATGGCACATGTAGTGGTCAAGTCTTGCTCCCAATACTCGTGGTCACCCATCAGGAGCTTGCTTGCTTGCGTGGTCACCCACCTTGAAAGTTGCGGCTTGTACATCGTTAAGCGACATGGTCCGAGCGCCCACTCCAATATTCGGGCGTCTTGCACCACCATCCTCGAACTTTCTCCCCTCAGCCGAATCTACTAACAGCAGCCGGTCAAGATGCCTTTCGTAAGTACACCTTGAATTGCTCTCGCAACAGAACCCCCTCCATCCTACCGCCGTCATGGCAACCCCGCTTCGACGGTTCGTCGAGTGGAGTCTTTGCGAGATGCTTCGAATGCGGGTTTGAAGCGCAAATCGCTGACTCTGGGAAAAGTCCAAGCTCCAGAAGAACGACGCCTACTTCTCGCGGTACCAAGTCAAGTACAAGCGCCGCCGACAGGGAAAGAGTACGTACTAGATAAATTGCCTTGTTTGCGACCGCATCTAACAGTTGGCAGCCGACTACTATGCCCGTAAGAGGTTGATCACCCAGGCCAAGAACAAGTACAATGCGCCCAAGTACCGCCTCGTCGTTCGCTTCACCAACAAGGACATCATCTGCCAAATCGTCCACTCCGAGATTGGCGGAGACAAGGTCTTCATGGCTGCTTAGTACGTTGCACGCGACTTGGACTGAACATGAATTGTGGCTAACGAGTGCACAGCGCTCACGAGCTGAAGGCCTATGGCATCACCCACGGTCTTACCAACTGGGCTGCTGCCTACGCCACCGGTCTTCTCCTTGCCCGCCGTGTTCTCAAGAAGCTCAAGATTGACGAGGACTTCGTCGGTGTTGAGGAGGCCGATGGTGAGTTCACCCTCACCGAGGCCGCTGAGGTTGACGGTGAGGAGCGCCGCCCATTCAAGGTCTTCCTTGATGTCGGTCTCACCCGCACCTCCACCGGTGCCCGTGTCTTCGGTGCCATGAAGGGTTGCTCTGACGGTGGTGTCTTCGTCCCCCACTCCGAGAACCGTTTCCCTGGATACGACATCGAGGCCAAGGAGCTCGACGCCGAGGTCCTCCGCAAGTACATCTTCGGTGGTCACGTTGCTGAGTACATGGAGACCCTCGCCGATGACGATGAGGAGCGCTACAAGTCTCAGTTCAGCGGCTACATTGAGGACGACATTGAGGCTGATGGCCTTGAGGAGCTCTACCAGGATGCCCACAAGCAGATCCGCGAGGACCCCTGGAAGAAGGTTGAGGGTTCGGGACCCAAGAAGACCAAGGAGGAGTGGGCTGCGGAGTCGAAGAAGTACAAGACCAAGAAGCTCACCAAGGCGGAGAAGGAGGCGCGTGTCAAGGCCAAGATTGCCGAGCTTACTTCTGCTTAAGCGGTAGCCTTTTCTTCTTCATACTCTGTTCTATTATGAAAAAAGTACGGCTCTGGCGTCTGGGGATGACATGGCAAGGATGCTTGTCATGACAGGATACATGTTCTGTACTTAGCCTTTCACGACCTCAATGAGAAGATACGACGACGGGCCACGCAGTTGGCTGTCGCAAACAAGATACCCCCTTTTCATACTAGTGTGCCCATTCGCTATGCTTAGGTGAAACGTGGTGAAATGGGACGACATGGCCCATGTGACTTGCGCGTTGATGGCAGTAAGCAGTATGCGTGTAGACAATATTGGCTTTGAATTTGCCCCTGGCGGCTCGGTTCTAGATAGTCTTGGCTTTGTGCGCGTGTGTAGGTATTGGTTTGCGAGTGTCAGGTGTTTGAGTTCACGAGGGCGCACATGACCCCGGATACGGATGATGGGAGGGCCCGGCAATGATTGCATCACGCTCGCGGCTGGTCACGACGGGCGGGATGCCAACATGCATGTATGTGGTAGTACTTACCCAGATACGTAGTAAGCAGTATGTACATCCGTGCTAGTAGGGCGTATATTTACTACAGTGCTGGCGGAGAGAGAGCTGAGGAGGAGCCGAAGCAAGTAGCCGAGAGCGTCTTTCGTCATCGCCCCGGCCCCAATATACATACGTGCTAAGCACCGTCGCGCACGTTCGCCATCACCTCGCTGCTCGCCATCTGCCGAAGATCGCACAGGGCAGCTTTTTGAATTTGGGCGCAAGTTCTGACGTGAGCACCACAGGTCGACTGGTATAGTCTTCGGCTCCTTGCATTTCCAATCAACGCGTGGCGTGGGCTGATTACGCCGAACTCAGCTCAGTCAAACCCCGCAGATTCCCGACTCCCTCACCAAGGGTATTAGCAGCCCTGACGCATGGCGCCCCTGGATAATACACAATGACAACCATCCAGACATCGACCGATGCTGCGTCTGCCATGGAGGACATACATGGTGTAGATGTATCGTGGCTGCATCACTCGACTAGAGGTAAGGCCCGCTTACCCTGGGTGGAGACTGCTCGGCCTTGCGGCGCGACCCTGGATTACTGTCTCTGTCTCGTGTGATAGAGCACTGCTAACGCTGCACCCTTTACCACAGACCATCACCATCGCCAACAGGCCCCGTCGTCGCCAGGCCTGAGTAGAGATGCGCCACCCAAAACCTCATCTCATGGCGGAATACCTGTTCGGCCCCACCATGACGAACAGCAAACCCAGAAGCCGACACCGGCCACCAACAGACCCGCATCTCCCCCTCGACCGTCTCCTGTCGCAGCTGCACCTGCACCTGCATCACCTGTGACCGCGACTCCTCCCATCAAAGCACCGCCGAAGCGACCGACACTGCTCAGCCGAGGCAGTTCTGAAAAGAATGTCAACGGAACCACACCACCAGACTCGAGACTTACGTCGCGGCGCAACTCATGGATGAGCACCATCAGTTCCAAATTCTCCTCGCAGAACTCGCCGGCGCAAACTACCCATGCCCAAGCACAGGGATCGCACGCATCCCCTTATGGGGCCAACAACGCCTCTCCCTCTGCCAACGGTGCCCTGAATGGCATACAGGCAGCTTCGACCGGCCACAATGGCGCATCCGATCCCTATGTCCCGCAACAGCCCAAGACTTCATTCGTCGGCAATGTCCTTCGGCGCCTGTCTTCAGGGTCGCAAGTCAGTGCTGTGGGCAAGGTCTACCCCAACGGAGGCGTGTGTCCACGCAAAGTCATGAACATTGACCCAAACCGAGAACGATGCTTAGTGCCCGAGCTCGACCAGCATAAACTGCGCAAAGTTGCATTCTGTGTCGACGTTGAGATTGCCGGAGGGCCCAAGTACAAGGACGAAGCGGTTACAGACGAGAAGCAGCCAAAGCAAAAAGAAAAGAAGATGAAGGAGCGCGGTGAAGGCGAGGCACTCAAGAACCCGGATACTGTGGCTGAGCAAAAGGACAAAGCAGGCGTTGTCACGGTCGCGCAAGAGGCAGTCGGAAACGAGAATGAGCCCAACCCTGAAGGCACAGTTGTAGAAGACAAGCAGGAGACAACCAAGAAAAAAGAAAAGAAAAAGCGATCAGAAGCGGAAAGAAAGGAAAGGAAAGAGAAGAAGCGCAGAAAAGCCGAAGAGAACGGCACAATACCTCTAGAGTTGACCAGAGACGACGACAGCGGTAGTGCTGAAGGTGTATCTGCTGCGTCAAAGACAACGGCAGCTCCTCGCGCCCAGGATCGGCCAACGATTGACCCGCTGCGTATCTACAGACGATGTTGCCAACTGCGCGAATCTCCTATCCTCAAACGTATCAGTGACCAATTGGCAGCGCCGCGCGCATGCGCCGTTGTCCAACCCGGCGTCATCACCTGTCTGGATTTGACTGGATCGCGATTACAGCTAGCAGATTTTCTGACTTTATCCGATTGGCTGGCTATCGTGCCTGTAAAGAAGTTATTCTTGGAGGACGCAGATCTGACTGACGAAAAGATACGCCTTGTTCTCACCGGCTTGCTCGCTGCCAAGGTTCCAGATCCACCAAAACGTCGTAGCCAGTCCAGCGATGGTCCGCAGGATGGGCTTTGCCAGCCAGGTTCTTCGGCAGTGAAAAAGCTGGTTCTAAAGAACAACCCCAAGATCACATCCGAGGGCTGGAAACACATTGCGCTCTTCCTATACATGTGCAAATCCATCATGGCTGTCGACATCTCGATGATTCCATTTCCAAACTCTCAACCACAGGTGGACTCCCCATCTACAGATAGCACACCAGTTCTGTCGCCTACCAAAGACCCCAAGTCAGCAGACATTGCGGATATCTTCTCGAAAGCCATTTCCGAACGCTTGGGTGGTTCCGAGCTACAAGAATTAGTCATGGCCGAGTGTAACCTGAATTCCGCAAGCATCCGCAAAATCATCGATGGCTGTATCATTAGTGGTATCCAGCGTCTCAGTCTTGCAACGAATGACATAGATAGTGAAGGGCTTGAACACGTGTTACGATACTTGCGTTCCGGGGTCTGTCAAGGTCTCGATATCGGAGGCAATGATCTCAGATCTTGGATAGGCCAGCTTGGTGAAAGCATAAGGCACTGCGAAAACAGTCCACTTTGGGCTTTATGCTTACAAGACACCGGTCTTACTCCTGAATCGCTCAAGGCACTATTTCCAGTCCTTGTATCTTTACCATCCTTCAGATTCTTGGATCTTTCGCATAACAGGGGACTCTTCATGGGCCAGACTTCGCTATGTCTGCTAAGGAAATACATGCCCCAGTTCAAGGAACTGAAACGGATACATCTTGTAAACGTGGACATGAAGCTTGAAGATGCGATAGCCATTGCTGAAATTCTTCCCGACTGTCCGCAAATTGCGCACATCAACATTCTTGGAAACCCTGAAATCACACGCGTGGCAACTTCGACAGATGAGGAAACCCAAGAAGACGCTGCTGCGCTGTACGCATCTCTCACACTTGCGGCCAAATTGTCAAAATCCCTTATATGCGTCGACGTTGACATACCAGCTCCTGAACAGAGCGAAGTCGTCAAGGCACTCGCCAAACAAGTTGTGGCGTACTGTTTGCGTAACATCGAATCCATCAACGAAGTGCCTGAACTTCGTGCTGCACCAAAACAAGTCGAAGTACCGCGCATCTTGATGCGTCTTGTGGGGCCAGGCGACGAAGTTGATAAAGAGAATGACAATGCATCGTCAGCCGATGATGACTATATTGTTGGGGGCACGGGTATTGCTAAAGCCATGAGCTACTGCTTGTCTCACAAGGAGTCGGATCTCAGTAGAGTGTCAGTTCCAAGCGGCACATCCACTCCAAGGAGTAGAAGCCTAGTTCCAGTACTGGAAGAGCCAAGCAAGGCAAGAGCAATGTCTAAAGACTTGCTTGATACGGCGCGTACCACACTATCAAGGATACAACCGGCATTGATTCGAGAGGCGAAGAGTGGGAATGATATCAACTACCGTATGTCATGTCAACTCCGCATTTCTAACATACAGCTAACATGCAAAGGCCGTTTATTGTTCTTGGACCAAACCCTCCAGGGTATGATCCAGCGCTTTGAAGACGAATATCCAGAAACCCGCCTCCAGCCTTCAGAAGCTGCCTCTACTTCTAGCTCCTTACCAAGTGCTTCACCAACTGCTTCTTCAGCTCCTGCCCTCGAAAACAGCGTCTTAACAGACACGACAGCCCCTGAATCCGATGAAGACGAACCCCCTACTACACTCCGCTCGCGCCACAACTCCGATGTCTCTCTCGCATCTCGTAACATGTCCCTTGAAGAAGGTCGTCTGCATCGCTTTGGCCACCGCGTGCGCACTGGTCTTCTCAACTCCCGCCCAAGCACGCCTGATGATTCTGAGAACCAGTCTTCATTCCTTTCGAGCACGGAAGACGATCAAGGATTCCCTGAGCACATTGAATCGTTGCGCGAATACTTCATGAGTCACAGTGGTGATGATGAGTTGAGGCATATGATCGAGGGCAAAGGATGGGAAGAAGCTTTTGACAGCGTAGTGAAGAACGCCGAGGAGTTGAAGAACTTGGAGAGAGAAGACCCAACCCATTTCAAGATCTTCAAGGAAAGTCAAATTGCTGCCTTGAAGAATCGCAATCCAGATCTGTTTGCTCCAGGAGAAAAGCACGCCAAGAGCGACGGAGATGGCGATGATTTTGCTGTTGAAGACTAAACTAAAAACTGTTTAATACCGCGATTCGGGGGGGATGGGTAATGTAAAGTAAGCGTTGGACATTCACTATGGACTTGAGATACCAGAAGATACCCGGAGCGTCTTGATTCGTGTAGTTTTGTACTCTTTTTAAAACTTCAGCACGTAACCAACACACCTCCTGTAACGAGGTGGTTGAAGTAATGATATTTTGATGTTATATGAGCACGCATACTACCCTTGTGAATGTTCTTCAGCGACGCAATTTGTGACAACTGTGAACGAGATGAATGCAGCCAGAGAAATCTCGCAAATATGAAATGATGGAGAGCTGATTTGAGAATGCCCAAAGTCGCCTCATACTCACGCCACCACGGACCACTCTTGGGATGCACACTAATGCTGCTTCGTGCATGCTCCAATCACAAAGGTTCATATACAATCAACTATCTCTAAAGACTGGGCATTCCCAAGCCTTCGAGATGCCCAGTATCACCACCGCCTCCTTCTACTTACTCTTAGTCCTTGCCATATCAATTCAATATTTTCTTCCATCTCCTAAAACAAACATGACATCCCTCAGCACCCCATGGGCCGATACTCCATGTGAACTAATCACGACACCACAACATGCGACGGGAAAGGTAGTTTATTCTGAAAACCAAAAATCCTTCTTTTTCTACAAAACTCTACTGACTGATTTTCTCTCAGACTGACATTTTCACCGTCGGCGCCACACACATGGCGCACATCCACAACGCCATCCTCCGCGGCTACAACTCCATCTACCTCCAAGCACCCCACGTCAAAGACGCAGACAAAGCAGCATTCGTAGGATACGCACTAACCTGGTTCCGCTTCGTAAAATCCCACCACGACGACGAGGAAGCCGAGTTATTCCCCGCTGTAGAACAAGTTCTAAACGACAAGAACATATGGGGTGAAACGCATAAAGAGCACGGTAAATCCCACCCTTTCGCCGTCTTCTGTAAACAAGAAAAGATTTAAACGAACGAGGGGGGGTTGACAAACATTACAGAATCCTTCCTACAAGGCCTATCCGAATACTCAACGTACCTCTCCACCCTTCCCTCTCCCACAGCTCTAAACGGCACCCACCTCCAATCCCTCATGTCCTCCTTCCAACCCGCCTTCTCGCACCATTTCCACAGCGAAATCAGCACCATTGCCGCTCTCGCCACGCACCCTTTTGCCCCCGCGCCTAACACCCCCGAGGCAGACGCCGCAGCAACAGTCTTTAAATCATGGGGCAAGAAAACAGTCATGAAGGCGGGGACCCTGGATGTTGTTCCTTTTTTCCTGATGAACCTGGATGCCGCGTTTGAAGAGGGGAAGTGGGCGGATTGGCCGCCCATGCCCCGGCTGGTGCGCTGGGGGCTCGTGAATGCCGCGGGCAGTGTGTATGGGGCGTGGTGGAAGTTTGCGAGTTGTGATGCCAGTGGGAGGCCGAGGGATTTGTGGGCGTTGCAGCAGGAGCAAGGAGGGGTGAAGGAGTAGATTTGGGGGTTTGTGATTATGTGTTCTGGGGGGTTTTTTTTTTTCATTTTGGCATCGTATTCATTACGTACTTGCAGTTTGGAGTTGATTTCTGTTTTTTTAGAGGTAATCGCTGTTAGTTATGTATAGGCAATGACTAATGTAGTCTGGGTTTGTGAGAGCGGATGGACCTTCCATTTGCTTTCGATCAGATATGTATATATCTGCACCTTCTCTGCTCTCTAGATGTTCTTTCATTGCAACCTTGATATCGAAATAAACAAAAGAACAACATCCTTATCACCCTCTCACTATATCATCTACACTCCATTTGTGATTTCTTCTCCTCGTCTACAATGTCTTGCGAAGCCACAAAAGCCCCTTCTCCCTCCACTGCCGAAACCCTCAAATCCCTCCAAAAACGCATTACAGCCCTATGTATAAGAATCGCCACGGCCCGCGCCAACTACCGGGAAAAGCTGCCCCTCAATCACACCACCTGGACGCGAGAAGACGCGGTGTCCACCGATCTCAACCAACTACAGATAGATCTAGAGGATGAGTGGATCAATATCCAGGGCGAGTCTCTGGAGCTCAAGATGGTGTGGGTGGACTTTGTGGAAGCGGTATATGCTGATTTGAGTACGTTCTATGAGGGGGGGTGTTGAAAGAGATTCAGACTCATTTGAAAGAGAGAGAAGGCAAAGAGGGGGAAGGGGAGGATATTGGTAAGTAAAATGTTTTCATTGCCATTGCACCAGTCCATCGATGTAAACTTTCAGTGCGATATCATCGCCACATAAACCAGCGCTAATGCTTATGTTGATAGCCAAGTCGCTGTCTCCGACGAGAAACATGTCGCTTCGCACGTCGTTGCCGCGCAGCGGGTCGTACACGTAGTCTGGGATGCGCGTTTTGACAGCTTGAGGCCACGTTCCGATTGAGTAGCCGTTCTGCGATTGTTGTGGTACGGAGACGGCTTTGCACCAGTAGTGGCTGGTTGCGCGGTTGAAGCCAAAGGCGACTGGGTAGTTGAGGGAATGCGCATATGTGGCTGACTGGACGCGGAGGAGGAGGGCGCCCCAGAACTCGGTGACGTTTTCGGGGATGCGGAGTTCGTGAGAAGCCTCGTCCCAGGCAGCGCGGGGTGTGACGCTGATTATGCGGACTGCTGGTGTGATTTGATTTGATATGCGACGTTGGATGTGGAAGCTTTTGAAGTCTGTGGTTGTGAAACTTGGGGGGATGGAGAGTTTCTGTCGTATGTAGATGGTCTTTAGTTGGCCTGTTGGCCAGTCATCGATTGCAGTGAGGGTTCCAGCATCAACACGTGCGTATTGCATGCCGTCATCCAGACATTTCAATGTGATGGCTAAGCGCTGGCTCATTGAATTGCTTGACCGGATCATAGCCAGTACACGGCTCTTGTCATTTGCATCAGGTAGGAACTCAAGCTGGACACAGAGACCTATGGGTGTCGAGGCGATGGGAAAGGTGGACATGACGCTCTCACGCTCGATAGAATGACAGTGCTGGAACTCAGACGGACTCCGTGCAAGCAAGCCCCGGTATGTGGACTGTCGTGACTCATTTGCGCGCCACGAGAACAGCGAGTAGTCGTCGGTCGTTTTGAGTACCTCTTCCTGTAGCCGAATGAAGGCCTTTTCGCCTTCCCCGTACAAAAGCGGCATGTGGATACCGAAGATACCAAGTAAGCTATATGCTACGTCCTCGATGCGCGTGCTCTGACGATGCGCAGCCCAAGACATCCTTTCTGCCACTGAGACTTCACAAAGTGATCTGGAATCCTCAAGAATATGGATCGGTATGTTAGTCACATCCGAAAGCTCTTTCAAAAACTCGACCTTCTCCCCCATCAATGTCCAATCCTGGAGGTAGAAGCGGCATACAACAGGCGCTATGAGCTCTTGAAGAGTCCATCCGCGTTGCGTCCATCTGCTATTCGCAAAAGCACATCTCGCGATTTCTGAGGCGGTCCTGAAGTCGCCGTGGTTTTTGGCAATGTCGCTAAGATACACGATGCACACTTCTGCGTCCCTATACCAGCGATACATGGAATTTATGGCTTCTTGCAGTTCAGCGCTTGACGTTTTGTCTATGCAGCATGTATCTACCCAAAGATAGTTGCAGCCCTGGCCTCGCGCTTGCTCGGCTGCATTGATGATTTTGCTGTAGCCTACACGCTTCATGAGATCGCTTTCCGATATGGTACCTGACAACGCCCCAGAGTTTCCTCGGATCATCATTTCCAGGGCCAACATGAGATATGTTTGCTCGTTCTGCGATAAAGAGGCTGGCAACGATGATGCTGAGAGTGCGCGGGCTCTGTTGATCCAAACATATTCTTGGTGGCTGACTTCGTCCGGACCCCACGTGTGGGAGAGAATCGCGTAGGTAGGGATCTCATTGTCATTGAACCATCCGAGCTCGAGTGTTCTTGTGTCTATGAGACGCATGACAGGTGCTCCGCAACGTGCCGTTGTCGAAAGTCATTGGACTGGTGGGGTCAGTCCGATCCGAAAACGATTTGTGCAAGCCGCCCGAAACACGCGCCTTCCGCTTCAGTCATCATCATCGCTCGGATCTGGAGTTGCCATATATCCTTCTCCATCACTTTTAAAAAAGGTGTACCTGGGACAACACTTAGGAATATTTTTAAGATATACTCAGCCCAATCAGCTGCTCACGACATGAGGGCGATTTTAAGAAAAGATTGGAATCGACAATCCGTGTCCTCAACCCCAAACCCCAGCACCGCAGATATATTCTTGTATCCAATATACAAAAGAGCGTTTTACCGCCATTGATGCATTTCAAGTCTAAATAGGATCATAAAATATAGTTATAGTGAGTATCAAGAAAAAGGCATTGTTACCTTATCTGAGCTAAATACCTAAGAGAGAAGTAAAGAGAAGAAAAGACGGGATGAAATGCCGACGATAGGAATATGAAACATATATATGAACTACCAATGTTTGAAAAAGTACCCAATCATCATGATCGCTGTGTTGAATAGAAAAATTACTCGCTCGCTCCCCGAGAAGTCCCGACCTGCTTGGATGGAGCTTTATCATCACATGCAAGCCCATCCGCGATAGACTTCAGATATCGTTCTTAGAAACAGCTAAAGTCAAAGTCCGTTTTCCAATTTCGACATGGGAACCTCGACCTTCAGAAAGAATGCAGAGGTAGCAGGTTAGACCCGACTAGCAGCATCGTGGCACGAAACGTTGAAGTCGCGGTCGACCCTGATTTCGTTGCTATTCATGCTCTTATGAACAGGTACGGTAGGAGTAAGAGGAATGCTCTCAACGTCCTTGCTCTTTGTATCAGACCACACACTCATCTGACGACTCTTATCGCACACAGTAGAGCCCCCGACCATGGTAGCGCTAGACCCAGAATTGAAGTAATCGTTCCTGATAAGACGTTGATGAGCATCAGGCCCTCTAGAAGCAAGGTCCTGGTCGTTCACAACTCCCGCCCAGATTGCTGATAGTGGAAGGAAGATGCAGACGACTGTGAGAACATGAGTGACAATCTCAGGAAGGAATGCTGCAAATTGTAGCGAAGAAAAGATTGCTGTAGGCATGTCAGTTAAGTCTTGATGCTAGGACACACGTCATAAATGTACCTGGAACCAACATGGTCTGACAACCCATGATGAAGACGACCTGAATTGGTCCAAATTGAGGCATGTTGAGACGACGCCTCTGCAAAATCGCAAAACCGAGCTTCCAGGTGAATACGCAACTGAAGAGCCAGATTGCAACTGTCTGAAGCATGTAGGAGATTGACACCAGGTACTCAATTGAGTCTGTGGGTTGATAGGCCAGTGTCAACTTGGTGTTGTAATACACGGCAGCGACTCTGTACCCAAAAGAGACGCCGGCCATGATGATAGTAACAGTCATGATGATGCTTCGCTGTAGAGGTGGTGTGGTGACGCAGACGGTCCACACTTGAAGGCTGAGTGAGGTGAAGACCAGAGCGTTGACCACGATTCCGAAGATATTGATGGCGATATGATTGGCAAAATCTCCGTCAGTGATGCGTCTCCAGTCCTGGCTGAGAACGGAATAGGGATTGTAGAATTCGCCCGTGAGCCAGGTGCTGAACAGCAGACAACGGATGCAATTGGTGAAAACACAAGCGGCATTGAGCAGGAAGAGGGAGGACTTTCGTCGATCGGCCTTGGTCGTGATTAGGAGAACCAGAAAAAGGAGTAAACATGCTCCGAATCCGGCCCCGTAGCTGATTGCAAGGCGAAATCCAAAATAACGATATTGATCAAGGTCCTGCATGTTTCTCGTCACAATAACCCATCCGCCTTGGCCATCGGAGACTGTGATATTCAAGTTCTGACTCCAGGGGTCAAAGTCGGGCGGAACTTGGACATGCTCCATTGGAACATCCATGATGCTTGACAATGGTGAGTGTTGTCGTTTGAGAGCGGTCGCGTTAGGCTTCTCGAGGCAATGTCTTGAGACAAGTGCTGAGGCGTACGAGAATAAGTATAAGAACAAGACAAGGCAGTCACACAATCACTAAACGCGGGTTTGTGTAACTTGGTTCGTGGTGTTGAAGTTGGGACCTTGTGTGGCTCAGAAGAATGATAGTAGAGGCAGGCGGCGGCTGAAAAGAGTGAGAGGATCCCGCAACAACGAGAGATATACACTGTGCGAAGCAGCATGTATAATAGCTACAAGGCAACAATTTTTTCTTGATGAATGTTGTCGCTAAACATTGTAGTTGATGGGGTGATTGGATGAAGCGCGTTCAGTTCCCGAGTGGATAATAGCAACTGCAGTGACAGCATGGGAGTGATCGGCCACCTCGACTCACCATTCTAAGTTTTAGAGTCAAGGTGAAAATTTGGTCTTGGATATTTCGATACTCTTACTATTGTTCGTGGTCCCGGCGGCTGTGTGCATCGAGTTACTGACTGTGACAAGTCCCCGTTCGGTGACGCAGAGCCAATGTTCTGCTGTTGTTCTTCTCCTGTCTCACTGCAAGTCGCAAGGTCGCTTAAGAATTTATTAGAAGCCATCAATTTTGCTGTTTGAGGCGCAGATGGAAGTGGTGATAAGGTAGCGTAGAATTCCTTAGTATTGTTCTTCGACTCAGGCCCCGCCAATGCTCTGAGACCCATCGGATCCCGGAGCACTGGTGACAAGTGACATCGAGGTCGGCAGTGACTGCACCACATATCTTGCATGTACTAGGCATGGTGCTAATAGCTTTGTGATCGAGACGCCGAATGCATATATGGTCTTTGCAGCATCCATATGAGAGGATGAGCATACGGTTCTTCGAGACACAGGGATGATACGCACAATGCTACCATGAACCAATCAGAGCATGCGCCACCCACTTGTCCTGCACGTCATCGCTAGCTTAAGTGTTCTGAACTTCACAAACGTGACCGCGCGTTCTATCTAATCTCGCCACGACGCGTCCAACGACTCCGACAATGTGGACGCTGGTCTCGTCGAGCACTACTGTTGCGCCTGGATCAAACGAATTCAATTTGCCGAATGAAGGCATCACTCACATAGTTGTGAGTGCGAACTCCAATCATGCTGAAGTGGTGCGCGTTTTGGATCCACGCATGCAACGGGAGCTTGGCCGCATCGGTATGTTCTTCCATCTTCAGTTTCCATGCGCACGCGCTTACATTGCTAGTTGCTGGGCCATTTGGAGTCAAGTTGGAAGCTGTCGACGAAAAGTTAACTATTACACCTGGTCAATCACATGCGCCATCTCCGTCATCCGCCAAGTTTGAGTTACAGCCACGCACTGACAACCACTCGGAAGCGATCTTTCTCCGCCATGGCGACATACTGCATTTGCCCTCCTTAGAGTCAAGTTTCACCTGCCAATGGACCGACTCCGAGGTTCAAGTCGACTCATCAGCAGTTCCTAATGCTCGTCGCGTAGCTGAAACTCCAGAAGATGAAAGCGAAGATGAATGTTTGACTGAGTCTAAGCCTGTCACCAGAACTGAAAATCGTCATTTCCCGCTTCGGGCGACTCCACAGCTTCCACAACAGCAATCTTTCGTGGTCCAGGAGACCCCAACAGCAGCTCGAGTCAATAGCGTATCAGCTTCATTAGCTGCAGATATCAACCCACCCGACTTTGCTGATGGTACGAGCGGGCCAGTAAAAGAAACGCGACCTTCGTCACGGGAACATGAGCCAGAAACAGAGCCAGTATCAGAGAACTTTTCTACAGCTCCAACAGGTGAACCGCAGAACGCGGATGTTCTTCAATCAACCGAAATGCCAGCTGTCGGTCCAGTTACGAACAGAACCAGGCCTTCACTTCATACGGCTGACAAAAGTTCTCCGCAAGTGCAGATTCCTCCAAAATCTACCAAAAAGCGCAACACCTCTGCTGTGCAGGAGATTTCGAATTTCGAACAAGAAGCACTCGCAGTGGGGGTCAAACGTGCAAAGACGAACAACAATGCAGATGCAGGAGATGCTCGACTGAGTAGCGTTGACACAGCATCCCAAAAGTCTAGCAAGAAAGGAAAGAAGCGTCCGACGAGTACATCTCGCACGGAAGCACTTGATGAGGCAGAAGAAGCGGATTTGATACGATCTCCCCAGAGCACGCAAGAGTCGACATGCGCTACAACGGAAGTTTACAATGGGCATCCACCAAGGGTAGCTTCTAGTAACTCTACGATCACGAAATCAAGTCAGGCAGTCAAATTGCTCAAGAAGCAAGGAGGAGCTTATGTAGAAAAACTGGCTGACGACTTCAACATACTATGGTAAGTTCAAGTGCAGCTTGGAGTGTGGAGTTTACTGATTGCTTGTAGCGTCAGAGACGGCGACCTTCAGAAGAAGACGAAAGTATTATATGCTATTGCCCGTGGGATTCCCATTGTGACGGATGCGTGGCTTTTAGACTCGGCAAAGGAGGGCCACTTGCTCTCCTTGTCTGCCTATAAGCCTTCCACTTCCAAGCAAGAAGAGGATTGGGGATTCAGCTTTGACGATGTGTTTGGCCAACCGCAAACGCCTTTTGAAGGCTACACCATTCATTTTACAAAGAATCTCAGGGGCGTGTACGAGTCGTTCTCTGAAGTCGTAGCAGTGTGCAAAGCTGCAGGTGCGAAAAATGTTACATCTACCAGGATGAATACAACAGGAGACAACATTGTGCTCGCAAACAACTACGAAGATGATCCAGAAGCGCAGAAATTGATAAAGGACGGCATAACATGCTATACGAAAGATCTCTTTACTATCAGCATCTTTCGTGGCCATCTCGATCTTGGGAGCGACGAGTTCAAGATAAAAGCACCCAACGCAGATAGCACGCCATCAAAAGAGAAGAAGAAGAGAGGCAGAAAGACCATGTAGAACATGGTATACATGCTTCCGACCCAGACAGAATATGGATGTCGAGGTTGGAGCATTTTTGAATATCTTTTGCTGAACAGCAAGCGAATATACAGCTTGGTTGAACACAACCAACGTGACTTGACGCGCGCCCCCCTCTATACCCAGGTACCCCTACTCTTGTATCTACAGCGATGAGAAGTAGCGATACAATTCAGGCTAATGTCATATTGAGATACCGCAAGGTGTTCTGAGGTGTCTTATGCTCCGTGTAAGCGAGCTAGACCCACTTCCTACCCCCGCTCTACCCATTGAAAACTTGCACAGCACCTTTGCGCGTCCACCCTTGTATTTCTTCTTTCATTACTGGGCTATAGAAATGTTACACTTTGCCTTCATATCATCAATCACATGACAATAAGCCACGAGCAACAGCAGCTCAACATCCTCCGTGGCGCAATTGGCTAGCGCGTCTGACTGTTACAGCACTATGTAGCTTATCAGGAGGTTGGAAGTTCGAGCCTTCCCGGGGGAGCAGCTTTTTTTGTCGCAGAGTCGTTCAAAGAAATAGTGCAACTTTGTTTTTTGTAAGAAGGAGAATGCGGTCGAGACGAGTTGGGTGTTAGTGCGTCATTAGCGTCGGGTTTTCATTTCGGAACTTGAGATGGGAAAAGAGAGTCGGCTGTACACGACCAAATCAATCAATCAATCATGATCAGAATTGATGACATCATTTATTATCCAAATGTGATGAACGCTCTGGTCTATGAGATTCACAGTCATCAAAGTCTCGGTTATCTCGTTCACAGCCTATTGCTCCGCTACCTTCTTGCGCCAGATGTCCCCCAATTGCAGTGGTACGTCTTCGTTACTGTACAGTACCCACCTAGAACAATTTCCTTACATTTACTTTATTGTGCCTAACTTTTCTTACATGATTTGTCTCTGGTTGATCCATCTTTCAACTTTACCTACAGTGCAGTTTTTTTTGAAAATGTAGCCACACACCTGCGCCACTTCCTTCGGACTATGGTTCAACCATGTGCCTGATCTTTGGGTTGCTCTGACAAGGGTCTATCTTAAGAACCTAGAAGCCGCAAGACCTTGGCCCTAATCAGGCAGTAAGCATGGCCAAGACGTGCGGCTGAAGGCACGGCGCCCATCGCCGTGAGGCTAAGCCAAGCGACGTAGCGAAACACTGACCTTCCGAAAAGTAGCCACGCCAACCTATTGGACAAAAACCCTATCATGCATAAGCTGCCGTCTTACTCGATGAACTACGCCTAACACATGGGCTTATTAGCGAAGTCTTTTTAGGTTAATTTGCAAGGCTGAGTTTGCTTGACAACTACTTACCTCGGAAATATTTGCGGAGGACCGCGCGCAGGTGCAAACATGCACTTTTGATGCTTCATGAGGAAGTAGTCATGCGGTAAAAATGTCTCTGCCGTATATCTTGTGAGACTAGACAATGGCGTGTACGGCCTAAGAGCGTATATAAGAGATAGGGACAGTATGGAGAAAGGAGACATTATCAGCATATTATCACACCCACCACAGCCCATTTAGAGAAGCAAAAACCATTGGACTTTCGTTTTACCAATATTTCACACCAAGATATGATTCCTTCCGTCTTCGCATCACCTCTGGGACCTGCACAAGCAGCCGCCCAAGCCCAGGCACAGGGCCAGGCAAGAAATCAATCCTCGTCTCAGACTCAGTCTTCATCACAGTCTAGCACATCGCAGTCCTCCAAAGTACACTTTCCATCTTAGCTCTAGCGCCCGGACTCTAGCTGACAAGTGCAGTAACCCGGATTGCAATTCCTACTCTTTCCTTCTGTAACATCAAATTTGAATCCAACAGAATCCGACGTACATAACTGCACAAGATTCCTTGCCGATACTTCCAGGCTCATCACCAAGGAGACACTGACAAGAAAGACTGGACAATGATGGAGATAATAGAAATTCTGGACTTGGAAAGGGGCTGATTTACGGGGAGAGTTTCTGTATTAATTTCTTGTTACTTTTTTCTTTGGGTTAAAATATAGAAGGCTATAGAATAAGACACTGAGATATTGGACAACAGGCCTGCGAGTGCTCACTTCACCCTACCACTAATCCGTACCCCTCGAAGGTAAACATGAATACATCGAGGGGGCCACTTCACTCTCCTTTTTCTCTTTGATCACAACAACGACCCCAAAATTCCGCAGTCATTGTGCCCAAATGCACTCAAAAGTAATCACTCCAGTTACCCAAACGTCACGTGCCAGCGCAACAACGCTAACCCCACCCACAACGCGACGCGTCAAACCCTCAAACCAGCATCACCGCCACCCGTTGTCCCTGCCCCTCACAGACAAAACACCCCCCAATTCCCTCCTCTCCCACGCCCGCCAACCCTCCGATCCCACTCGTCAGACTTTCTATAGCACAAAAACTAAAATGGACCACCCCCAAACCCCCCGCATCCTCGCCCCGCACCTCTCCAACTTTCAACACCGCATCGTACGCATACTGGGCAAAGTCGTGCAATTACGCGGCGAAACGGCGGTGATCGATGCTGGAGGTCAGATTGATGTTATTTTGACTCGGGTACGCATACGCACCTTTTTGTGGAGCTGGGAATGGAAGTGGACGAGAGAAGACGAGGCAAAAGAGAGAAAGAGGGAAGAGAAGAATATTAGATAAATGGAGTGCTGACACAAATTGATAGGATTCGCATCTCACTGTTGGTCACGCAGTAGAGATTATCGGCAAGGTGGATCAGAATTTGCACGTCAAGGTGCAGGCTGCGACGGATTTTGGGACGGGCATTGGTATGTAGTTTCTTTCCATCCTTTCTATGATTTGTTTCGGTGTAATCACCATACAACATGTTGGTATCGGATAAGAATTATATCGTATCTGTGAGGAAGGAGAGGCTAATGTGAAATGTAAAAACAGATTTCAACGCAGCGAATGCAGTAGTGGACGCTACACATCGGTACAAGGAGATTTTCTACGACGACAACTAATGACTCATCGTTCGGACTTGGGGAGGTTTTTGTAAGCAGAAGAGATAAGAACGAAAAATGAGGGTGAGGTATAGCTCGATACCACAGTAGAAATGCTGCCCTAACCTCAGAAGCGCTCACGACGAAGAACCAACGGGTTGTTTCACAGCACAGAATATTAGGAGACATAGAAGCAATGTCTAAACCATGACAAGATTACACTTTTATTCATGAAGAGATAATGCCATACAAGTCCATGGTATCTCGTGTCAACGCTGCCCTCCCTACCCACATCAAGTAAAAACTCCCCATGTCCAAAACCCCCAAAATGCTGAAAATCTCTATATACAACACGCTAGAATCCATCCTAAAATATAAGAAAAAAAAACGAAGAAATGATTTACAGCTTACTCTTCACTACCTCAAGTCTAAACTTGACATCCTTCAACTGCTTGCCGGTAGGTTTCCACTTTTCGAACAAGCCAAGTAAGCTCTCGACCTCATGCCCAAGCTCCTTCTTCACAACATCCTCCTCAAGCAAGCCTCTCATAGCCCAAGGCAGAAAAAAGGGGTTTGGATTCGTCGAACTGCCGCTTGGTTCGTACTCTTGTACTCGAAGCTTGAGCACATCTTCCTTCTTACCCGTGCTCAGCTTCTCCCCGATAATAGGGATATTGATGCCTTGGAAACTTCCTGCAGTTGAAGGGCGCTCCTTGCTTGAAGGGATGGGGAGGGATGTTGTTTCGAGGGCGTGTTGGACGGCGAGGGCGTATACGGCCGGGTCTTCGTAGACGCGGGAGTGACCTTCGCCGCCATACAGAGAACCGGCTAGTGCAGGTGAGAGTTCGCGGATGAGCCCGTGGTCAGGAAGCCCCAAGTTACGTAGTTTGAGTGTGAAGCCGACGAGGTGGGTGAGGAAGTCGGGGGCGTGAATGCGGCCGTCTACGAAGACGGCGCGATAGATGTATGGATGTGAAAGAGTTGAGAATGTGGATGACTGAAAGGGGTGTTGAATTAGCATTTGGCTTCTCACAGGGGATAGGGGTATATCATACTTCGAGTGATACCAGTTGGTCGTCGATGCTACCAACATACAGTATACGCACTCCGGATCTCAGAACCTCATCCAGAGCAGCGAGGTACATCTGGCTGACGAGACTCTTAGGATTGGTGAACTCAAAGAGCTCTGCAGCCGTGGGGCCAAAGTATTTGGTTTTATACTCAATAAAAGGGCCCATGTTAATACCAGCCATGGCACATACTCCGATTCTTGTAGCATTGACACAGCCAAACTGAATCAACTTGGCCACAAGCATCATTGCAACTGGCACGCCCTGGGAGTGGCATGCTACAAGAATGAAGTCTGCTTGTTTGATGTGGTCAATCCAGTTGAGTAGGAGCTTCCACAAAGAGTTGACTCGTTCAGCGATGAAGCCTTCGCCCTCCAACGCAATCTGCTCAATCTCTGGTGTGTACCCACGCGCCTCGGTCCAGTCTTTGATCGCTGCTGCCGCGGCATTTGCGAACCGGATCGATGTACCGGTGGGCTGACCCAGCACTTTTTGGATAATGGGTGCAGGGAAGAAACCATGGACACCAATGGCTACAGCCTTCTTGATCCTTGGCGGTGCAGGGTTAATGTGCAGATGAGGGGCTCCAACCTCGCCTCCAAGAAAGTATTGGCGAATTTGTTTCCAGAAATTCGGTTGCTGCACCATCTGGTAGGTGTTTCTAAACTCTGGCAACAAGAGATTTGGCGATTCTTGTTTGCCTTTGCCTGCTTGTTTCGGGGCAGGTTGGGAAGCGGGGCCTGTCTGGGCCTTTGTAGGCTCACGCACTGGAGATGTCTTGGTTGGAGTATTTGCTTTGCTGGAACTAGGAGTATCTGTCGGCGTGTCTTTCGCTACAGCCTTTGTCTTTGGGCGGCCTCGTAGCGATGGAAATGATTTCCTAGGTATAGGTTTCTCCTCTGGCGCTTTTTGCGGTTCTTTAGGAGGTTCTTGGTCAGACTGTGACTGTTCCTGCTCGTTGAATTGTGCAGCCTCGGGGTGTGATTGCGAAGGGGTATCGAAGACAGCTACCTCTCCTACATGCTTTTGTGGTCCAGAATCGCCCAGTTTCTTCTCATCTTCTGGCTTACCCCTATACCAAAATGCCCAAGCTGACGCTTTCGAGGGTTTTGACGCTTGTGTGGTAGAGCTTGCACCATTGGGCGCAGCAGGCTCGGCAGTAACAGGCCCGGCAGTAACAGGCTCGGCAGCAGCAGGTGTCTCTTGAGCAGATTTTTGCTGGGTAGGTTCCGTTTCAGTCGTCTTGGCCGGTTGAGATATCTCGGTCGCTGCTTGAGGGGCTGGCTGAGAGGTTTGGTCTGGGATTTGTGAGCTGGCTTCTTGAGATGGCGGCTCAACAAGAGGCGAATTGGCCTGAGCATTCTGTGCACTACTCCACATCCAGAACCAAGATCCAGAAGTAGCCTTTGCTAAGCGTTTGGCAGTAGAGGGCGGGGCCTCGGTTTGTGCTTCCTGGGTACATGGTGGTTCGGGAGCATCCTTCATTTCAGTATCTCCATTCTCATCAGTCTTTGCTGGTGTTTCAATAGCGTCCAAGCCCTTGGTCTGAGCATCTGGCTCCTCTGAGGGGGTAGGTCCAGGTAATGGGGTGGTAGAGGCCACTTCGACGGTCGCCTTTGCCTCAGTGGTGGCTTTCCCAGCTTCAGTATATCCGTCTGGCCGCGACCACCAACTTCTCCATCCCCATGTGCTTGCAGCAGCAGCAGTCTGTGACGCGGACGGTTCGGGAGGCAATGGAGGCTCGTCGACGGTCGTGGGTGTAGGTGGTTCTTCGACGCTCTCTGGCTTCGGGGTTGGTTTCGGCATGTCTTCGACTAGACCGTCTGAAGAGACGTTGACCTGTGTAATGGCGGCAGGTATGACGTTGCTCTTGCTCGAATTGCGCTTGGTGAGAAACTTCTTAGGCGACTCATCCTGGGGCTGCTTCGCTTCCTCGCCCGGCAGCTCGTTGGTTGCGCCCCCGCTGACACCGATGCTCTCCTTTGCAGTTTGGACTATGGCTGGTGCCTTGGACCGCCAGCTACCCGACCCTGATAGCCATCTGCTGCCGCGGGGGGTTAGTGAGCCGGTAGAGGTAGGAGTCGTTGTACCGACTGAAGATGTCGAGTCGGCTACATGCTGGTCTGAGGTAGTATCGGCAGGGGCCTGTGTACTTGGCTTAGACTTCTTGCGTGGAATCATGCCTGCAGCACGGGAGAAAAAGCCTGGTAGGCGGAGAGGCCTCTATCTTTTGTTATGAACACAGACACGACATGTGCAGCTGGCGGTTTACCTTCATCCTCATGCGGTGGCCCAGGCACGCGTCGAACTGGCTGGCTGGCCGGCCGGGTGGCCATGACGCATGCTACATGTCCCGTGCACTACACGTACTAGCGTGCTTTACTCTGCCCTAGTGTGCTTCAGACTGCGCGCATGAGATTCTGCCACCGCCCGACAATAGCGCCGCGCATCCCAAAATTTACTTTGGCGAACTTTTTGCCCGTGCCATCACGACAACCCCAAACCGCAGCCATGGCGATCCAAAAGAAGGTGTGCAAGGAATGAAATGGCATATGAAGCGCACAATGGCTAACATGTAACCAGCATGGAAAAGGTCGTCTCGACAAGTGGTACAAGCTCGCCAAAGAAAAGGGCTACCGCGCGCGTGCTGCCTTCAAGTTGATCCAACTGAATAAAAAGTATAACTTTTTAGAAAAGAGCAAGGTCTTGATTGATCTTTGCGCCGCGCCAGGATCATGGTGTCAAGTCGCTTCCGAGGTATGATTTTTTCTTTCTTAAGAAGCCATGCGCCAGACTTCGTACTGATACCTCCAGGTGATGCCCGCAAATTCCCTCATTGTCGGTGTCGATCTCGCCCCAATCAAGCCTATCCCGCGATGCATCACCTTCCAGAGCGATATCACAACAGACAAGTGCCGAGCGACGCTGCGCCAGCACCTTAAGCATCTCAAGTGCGATACAGTCCTTCACGACGGTGCGCCCAATGTCGGAACTGCGTGGGTCCAGGATGCCTTTACCCAGGCCGAACTTGTGCTGCAATCCATGAAACTGGCGACTGAGTTTTTGGTTGAAGGCGGAACTTTTGTTACCAAGGTCTTCAGATCAAAAGACTACAACTCGCTGCTCTGGGTCTTCAACCAGCTCTTCACCAAGGTCGAGGCAACGAAGCCGCCATCTTCCCGAAATGTCTCAGCCGAAATCTTCGTCGTCTGCCGTGGCTACAAGGCCCCAAAGCATCTCGACCCCAAGTTCCTCGACGCCCGCAGCGTTTTCGCCGAGCTCGCAGACCCCACGCCCAACAACGAAGCAAAGGTGTTCAAACCCGAAGTTAAGAAGAGGAAGCGTGAGGGTTACGAGGAAGGAGATTGGACACAGTTCAAGGAGGCGCCGGTATCCGACTTCATCCAAACCACCGATCCCATTGCTATGCTCGGTGGCCTGAATAAGCTGAGTTTCGAACAAAAGCCCAACGGTGATATTGCCATCGCCACCATCGACAAGCTTCCAGAAACTACAAAGGAAATCAGAGACTGCTGCGCAGATCTCAAAGTCTTGGGACGAGCCGACTTCAAGCGCCTTCTCCGCTGGCGACTTAAAGTGCGCGAGATATTTGGCTTTGCGTCAAAGAAGGACAAGGCCGATGAGGCCAAGGCCAAAGAAGCGCAAGAGGGCGAGGAGGTTGCTGAAATCGAGTCCATGGACGAAGAGATGCAAATCCAGGAAGAGTTGGAACGCCTCAAAGAGAAGGATACAAAGGCGAAAAAGAAACAGCGTCGTGCAGAAAATGAGCGAAGGCAGAAGGAAATTACTCGACTACAAATGAACATGGCCACACCGTTTGACATTGGTTTGGAGCAGGTTGGACCTATCGGTGAAGACGCCATGTTTGGTTTGAAAGCCGTCGATAAGGCTGGTGCTCTTAACAAGATTGCCAAAGGAAAGATGGTGCAGATTGTCGAGAAAGAGAAGCCGGAGGAGATTGAGGAAGAACTTGAAACCGACGAAGAAGAAGACTATCTTGAACGAGACCTTGATGCTATGTATGGCGAGTACGTCGAGCAAAGATCTGCTCGCGATGCCAAGTACCGGGCAAAACGCGCCAGGAAACAGGACGATGACGGAGAGTGGAACGGCTTCTCTGACGAGGACAAGGAACAAAGTGACGACGAAGAGCTTGTGCAAGATGCCGACAGTGACTGGAGCAGCGACGAAGAAGAAGGACCTAAAGAGCTAATCACTGATCTCGATCGCGACGGACAATCCAAGCGAGGTCTTACCAAGCGTGCCGAGCGTTTCTTTGATCAAGACATTTTCAAGGGAATCGATGGACTCGATGACCTTGAGGAAGATGACGACAGTGGCATCGATGTTGAAGGCGATACTGAAATGAAGGAGGAGTCGGCTATGCCACCTTCTGCATCAGAAAAGGCATTGTCAATCCGAACAAGCAAGAAGAGTGCCTCTCCTGCAGTAGCTTTCGATGACGAGTCCTCTGATGAGGACGATGACAAAATCGAAGAAGTTGCGCGCGACGAAACACAGTGGGAACAAGATTCCATGCCTATGAAAAACGGCAAACCAGACATCGACATCATCACAGCAGAAGCCATGACCCTCGCCCATCAGATGGCTACCGGCCAGAAAACAAAACATGACCTCCTGGATGAATCATTCAACCGTTACTCACATCGTGACGTGGATGGTCTTCCCGACTGGTTCCTCGACGACGAAAACAAACATTCCAAGATACAGCGCCCAACTTCAGCAGCTGCAGCCGCAGCTATCAAAGAGAAGCTCCGCGCGCTGAACGCTCGCCCTATTAAGAAGGTCCGTGAAGCACAGGCCCGCAAGAAGTTCAAGGCTGCCCAGCGCTTGGAGAAGCTCAAGAAGAAGTCTGCTCTCTTGGCAGACGAGGAGGGTATGACAGAGAAGGAAAAGGCCCAGAGTATTGCCCGATTAATGTCGAGAGCGGCAAAGAAGAAGCCCAAGCAGAAGGTCAGTGTCGTTGTGGCCAGAGGAGGTAACAAGGGTATCAAGAACAGACCAAAGGGCACCAAGGGCAAATACAAGATGGTTGACGCTAGGTTGAAGAAGGATGTTAGGGGCGAAAAGAGGGCAGCGAAGAGGAACAAAAAGAGGTAGAGAGGCATAATTCACATTATTTTTCGTCCCCAGGTGTGGCTCCAGAGAAGCTCCTGGCTGGTCCGCTCAGCAGTCGATACCACTTTTTGAAAAAGCTTTGAACATCTTATTTTCTGACACATCTTACCTACTCTCGAGGAAAATTGATACACATTCCGGCAGAAGTGCTCGTTCCTAGCTGTATGGGGCGGCAGCCACAATACCTTTGCTTGCGTAATTACCTATAACGACTTTCGCATGATGAAGGCAGTTTGCGGTGATTTCGAACAAGGTCAAACCAGGCAGTGGCACCAAATTCAACGGCTCACAACCACCTGTAACAGAGGACAGGGTATCTGTGTTGCTGGCCTCGGGTTTGTGAGGCATTGCTAAGTGTGTTTGACATGCATTATGGTTATCGCGCATTGTTTTCACTACAAGTTTGTACACCAAGACAACATTTGCTAGTTGTCTTTTGGGTGGCTATGTGACAAACGAAGTAGTCCACAATATCTCGTTGAGAACCTTGTATATAGGTAAGTTATTTTTACTCTCTGTGGTTCATCACGGAGAACTTCCAATACCTCATACCATCTTTCCAAGTTACTTCTGCATTCAGATCACACATACATTTTCCATCTTGATTTAAAACCTACATATTGGGTACCCTCGGCTTCGAAACAATGAGCGATTTCGAACGTCTGACGGAACCGTCCCTGCGTCGGCACATGAATGACGACCCTTGTGTCATTTGCGGTACCAGCGGTCATGATGCATACGATGGTGCTTGTCCAAAACTCAATGTGCCCACTGCAATGGATTCGCCTCTCGCTAGGATCTATGGTCCAGGTAAAGCCAATGCTGCTCGCCAGACTATTGTCAAGTTCCGCAAGTCGAAGAAGCCGCGATATCAGGATCCGGCGGCAGAAGCAACAACAGATGCGAATGCGGAAGCCTTAGCACAGATGCAATTGGATGACCAGACCCAGAATACAACTGAAGGCCCGGCCAAGGCCGCAACCATAGATGCAGCAAAGGACACAGTCAAGGACAAAGTTACAGATGAAGACGCCATGCTGAACGGAATCCTTCGGTCAGTCGGTTGCTCAACTGAAGGTCTGACAGCGGTTCGCGACATCACGCAGACAGATCCTGTAGAGACATGCGCACCGAAATTCGTCCATGTACCGGATAAAGACCCAGTTGGCCCAGGCAATGCGTTCCAACCAGAGCTTGCCCTGAGTAAGGCGAATAAAGCAGAGTTTCCCCTCCGCAAAGCATTCGCTCAAGCATCGTCGGATGTTCTCACAAATCATTTTGAAGTTCGCTTCAAGCCCAATACCCGCTTCTTTGTCTACGAAATTCTTAAGATTCCTGGTGGGAAGAGCAAGCGCAAGGCCAAGTACATCTTCAAGACTGCCGAAGAAGCATGGAGTGTGCTTAGAGACAACAAGCAATACTATGCCACAGATCATTTCAAGACAATTGTTTCATGGAAAAACCTCCACGAGACGATTGGGTATCAGCCCGTTATCCCCGGAGATGACGGTACTCAAGCTGGCGCTATATGGCAGCCAGAGGCTATCGCAGATGGAAGTGAGAGAGTGCAGCTCTTCCTCAAACTCCACCGCGAACTTGATCTTGATGGGTTGTATCGCTATATGGATGCAAGTCACAAAGAGAGTGATCCAGAGTTCAACTTCAACCCCATAATCAGCGCGCTCAACCTTGCGATTGCCAAAAGCATGACTTCAGATGTCTTCCAGCAATCCAGTAACAAGTTCTTTGTCAAGGGTGGTTATGAGGCCTTGCTCGGAAAGCGCTCTCTGAAATCCCTGTGTGCGATTCGAGGTTACTATTTTACCATCAAACCCGGAATGCAGAAGATTTTCCTCAACGTTAACCCTGCTACCAGCGCATTCTTTAGACCCATTACGGTTGGCGAGTTTCTGGCTGATGAAACCTTCTCTGAGGATGAGCGAGTACGGCTCCTCAAAACACTGCGTGTGTATATTGAATATGACCGCTTGCCGAACAAAGACAATCAGGAACAGACCGATCGCCTCAACAAGCCCCAGAACCGCGTCAAATGCGTCTTTGAACTGGGCAGGAAATTCAGTGATCCAAGCATGAAGTTTCTAGATTCAACAGATCCTAAGAAACATACGCGTGTTGAGAAGCACTTGAGGAATGTGTTTGGCAAGGACTTCAACAATGACCTTGCGGCTATCAACGTTGGCAATGAGAGGGAGCCAGTCTATTACCCTCGTGAATATCTGCGAATTCTGCCGTACCAGATTTATAAGAAACTTCTTCCAGAGGAACTGATCGACAGTATGCTGAAACTGGCGGCGCATGTACCCTATACCAGCCGACGTCTTATCGAGATCGAGGGCATGAATAGTCTCGGACTCAATCCTCGTAATGGAGAACAGCCGCTCGTAAGTGCCGTTTTCATGATTACTTTTGAAAGCACTGAAATTAACAGATGTATTCTTCTAGCCTGGCTGTTCGCACCTCCTTATCAAGCCAACAATGCTCAAGATACCATCCGCGCAACTGAGAGCTCTCACCATTTCGTACGGCTCCGGAACCCCTGACGCAAGACCGAATGACAAAGCTCAATGGAATCTTGGAAAACTCAAGAACTTTTTCGATTCTCCTGGTTATTCTACCAAGAAGCGAATCAACTACCTTTTGCTCGTCGAGGCCAGCTTACGACATGACAAAGACACGGTAATCACCTACCAAAATACATTCAACCATCTCCTGAATCGATATAACATCTGTGACGGTGCGAACTGCTTGAGTTCGGCGTTAATCCAAGGCCTTCGAGGGGTACCTTACGACTCCATCAAGGCGACGATCCAGGAATCTATCCAGAGCATGAAGAAGGGTCATCCTAGAACTGACTTTGTTATTATGCTCTTGAAGAACAAGAGTATCCCAATTTACTCTGCTTTCAAAGACGTCGTGGATCGTTATGAGGCTCTGCAGTCTCTCTGCATGACTCAAGCCCCAAATGTAAAGCGAGGGACCTTCAATAAGGACATCACCCAGTACATGGCCAACATCATGATGAAGGCGAATCTCAAGTTTGGCGGAAGCAATCATATTGTTCATTTTGACAATACAGGTATCAAGGTTTCGTTGCAAGACACTCTGGTTCTTGGAGCAGATGTCACCCACCCCGGCAGTGGCTCACTGGTTGGATGTCCCTCGATCGCTGCCGTCGTTGGCTCCATCGATTTCAACGCAGCCAAATTCCGAGGCTCCATGAGACTCCAGAGGACTTGCAAGAAAGAGGTAAGCCTCAGATGCTATTGAAGATCTCCAGGCACTGGCTAACTAGTATTGACAGATCATCGACGACCTCGAACCCATGGTCTCCGAGCGCCTCATGGCCTACTTCCGCGCAACCAAGTCCCTTCCCAAGAATATCCTCTACTATCGTGACGGCGTCAGTACGGGGCAATTCGCCCAAGTCCGCGACGAAGAGCTACCACAAATCCGCTCCGCCTGCAAAGCCAAAGGCATCGCCAATATCAAAATCACCGTCGTCGTCGCCGTAAAGCGCCACTCAACCCGCTTCTTCCCCACCTCGGTCGCTTCCGCAAACGGAAACTGTAGACCAGGCACGCTCGTCGACCGCGCAATTACCTTGCCGCACTACTCAGATTTCTACCTGCAATCGCACCACGGCCTCAAGGGCACAGCGATCCCAACGCACTACATGGTCATCGCGAATGAAATCGGAATCAAAGATACAGAGCTCCAGGAACTCACGTACAAGCTTTGCTACACGTACGCGCGGGCTACGCTCGGTGTGTCGTATCCGCCTCCAGCATACTATGCGGATCGACTATGCGATCGCGGTCGCGCATACTTGCGCAACTGGTTCAGTCCCGACAGAGGCAGTGCAGAGTACAAGTCTTATGCGAATCTTGTGAGTACTATCAAGCACAAGGAGCAGGGCCGTTTGGCGCGGAGGAAGGTGAATCTGGTGCCACAGGTGCTGCAGCCGGGGAAGGGTGCACAAAGGAAGTCGCCCGATGAGATTGCGGTCGAAAGGGAGCATGAGAAGTTTGTGGAGTGCGAGATTGAGAAGGCGGTGTTGAATCGTGCGGTTTTGGAATGGAATCGCGCGCGTTCGGGGGGTCCGGGGCCTTGGGCGAAGGAGCTGGATGATACTATGTTTTGGATGTGAGTTTTCTACATCTAAATTGCAGGCCGGGTCAGGCGCATTTTGGATGACTGGACTATGAAGGCTCTTCTTCTTATTCTTCGTTTTCCCATACTGTTAGGTTGCCTTGTTCTCTTGCCTAGCTTAGACTACTTTCTCTCTTTCCTGTTGATCATAGACTGTTGTTCATCTCTTTTTCGTCTGTAGACTACTATTTATAAGCTCAATGAAATCCCTACTCGAAATTTTCTCGCTTCTTTCGATCACAATTGTTTGACGATAACACAGGCGATTTGACATCTGGAGATGGCTGGAATACCATATTTCCCTCAAACGAGCAGATGAATATTGTAAGTAATATCATTGGCCGCTCAAGTACATTCACATGCAAATTTATGTAAGAACTGTAATTTGCAACAAACGGAGAAGATGGGACCGGAATCTACGAGATGCGCATGTTGTATCGCATGGAAGACGTGCAAATGACGCAGCAAATCTGGTCTCACCATATTCGGTGATTCTATACTGCCAACACTATGGCTACCCCATTCTCGTGACGTGTGTATGTATTCCCAAACATGCGCCGCGGAGCAGCTTCACGGCTGCAACAGTGCGCTTCGATAACCTGGCGTGGTATAGTCAGATGCATCCAATCAATTTGAGGGTGATGCAAATCAAAATCTGTCAAAGCCGATTCGCCAGCTGCAACAGCTCCTCCACTTTACCCAATAATGTGTCTTGTCAAGAAATCCCATGTTGTGTATCAACGGTGGAGTAGCAGTGTCAATGGTGTTGTAGTGACGTTCAAGTGATGCCGTCCAATAGGCACCGTTCCAATTTGAGGCACGGTAAGCGTGCTCCTAGCCCCAGATCTCCACTACGTCAAGCAACCATCAACTCACTCACCCGATAGACAAACGGCGTTCACCCCCTCACCAATCACCAAGGCCCCATTACTGCGCAGATGAAGACGTTACGATACAATGACGCACAAAGTACACACTTCTCTTCTTACAAAATAAAAGCGCCAATGGAAGAAGCCAAGCAGGAGAGCCCTGTCAGATAGCACACTCACCCCTCCCCCTTGCTCACTCTCAACCAACCAACATATTAAAAGCCCATCTCTGTGCCTCCAATCTGCTACTTTTCTCCCCTTCATAATGTCCTTCCAACGAACTTTTGTATCCTCCATCTCCAGAGCCGCTATCAGACCTCAGATCAGCCGTGTCACAGTAAACAACCAATTCGCCTCATTCCGTGCCTGTATCGCAGCCATGTCGACGATTTCAGACGTCATTATCAAGGACCACCGTGAGCTCGAGTCGTACTACAACGAAGTCATCAACTCAGACGATGTCGACCACAAGACGCGATTCGGAAACCAGTTTACTTGGGAGCTTGCCCGACACTCTGTAGCTGAGGAATTACTCATTTACCCTGCCATGGAGAAATACATTGGCAAGGAGGGTCACGAACATGCCGAGAAAGACCGTCAGCAGCACCACCAGGTTTGTCTACTTCTTTTTGTCCAAATCTCCATCTGTAGGATACTAACAGAACACCAGGTAAAGGAGCTTCTCAAAGAATTCCAAAACATGAAAGCCACCGACTCCGCCTACGTCCCCAAGCTCAAGGAACTCTGGGCTGTCCTCGGCCAGCACATCAAGGAGGAGGAAACTGACGACCTGCCTGCTCTTGAGAACGCACTGGCGAAGCCGGACAACAAGGGTGCGTCGGAGAGTCTGGCCAAGAACTTTGGACGCACAAAGGCGTTTGTACCGTCGAGGAGTCATCCCAGTGCTGGCGAGAACCCGTTGTTCGAGGGCCCGATGGGCATGCTGGCTGCACCTATTGACCACATTGCCGATATCTTCCGCAAGTTTCCCGATAACACTATTAGCCCGAATCCGTCGAAGAAGTAAACCGTGGGCAGGAAAATCGATTCGAGCGATGTAAGAATTGGCGTGATGGATTTGTGCAGGTTCTAGCGAGATGATTAATGATAGGGATTGCCTTTGCAGCATGAAGAGAGGAATATGAAAAGCTTCACATGATATACTTTTGCTCTGCCGTCTACTGTAATTGCGTCCAAGTGCTAATCTCATATGCCACTTCACCTATATCACTGCGAATCTAGCAATGGTTCAACTGTCAGTTACCTGAAAACTCCCTAAGAAATTGTTAAAACGGTCAATGGAATCCGGCTATGCCCCGCGCCTCAACATACATAGTAGGCAGTATTAGTACGTCAAGAGAATAGAAAGCTAAGAGACGCAATGCCAATGCAACCCCTCAAAAAAAGGTTCTCCAACGGAGCCTCAACTTCCCACACCCTGCTCCCTCTCAAGCCTCTCCAACAAACCCCTCATCTTATCCAACAACTCCGGTATACGAAACGGCTTCCCAATCACATCATCCATGCCCGACTCCCTCGCCTCATCAATTTGGCCGCACCGAATATTCGCCGTGACAGCAATAATCGGTACGTGTCCGAGCACCTGCTTGCGCTGCTCCATCTCGCGTATCTTCCGACAGCACGTGAGCCCGTCCATTTCGGGCATCTCGCAGTCCATGAGGACCATGGAGAGCGGAATGCCGTTTGGGGTGCAAAACTGGGTTTTGGTAAGGTAGTCGAGGGCGTGTACGCCGTTGTCGGCGGTGGCGGTTATGCAGCCTGCTTTTGTGAGTTGCTTGCAGAGGATTTTTTGGTTGAGGTGGTTGTCTTCTACGACGAGGACGTGGAGTTGTTGGGTCGGTTTGTTGTTGGTTTGCTGGCCGGGATGGTTGTGGGCATTACTACTAATAGGCTGCGATTGATTGTGCATTCTAGGAAATGCTTGCGAGGTGTTACGCAAACAGTATGCAGGGATTTCGGTATTAGGTGATTTTCTTGCGCGTTCTTCAAGCAGTTGGCAGTCTTGAGGGGTCATTCGTCTGCTTTTTAGATAGAACCCGAATGTACTGCCGACGCCTGCTTCTGAAGTACAACCAATCTGACCGCCATGCAGTTCAGCTAACTGCCGCGAGATGAAGAGCCCAAGGCCACTTCCGCCATACTTTCCGTGTGTGCGCGGTGATGCCTGAGCGAACTTCTCAAACAAGAGCTTTTTCTGTTCGGGTGTAAGTCCGCAGCCCGTGTCTTGAACCTGAAACAAGAGGAAAACTGGTGAACCAGTGCCCCAGTCTTCTCCATTGCCACAATCAGTAAGTTTGATTCGTTGTGGGACAAACTCAAAGCCATTAGGAAGCTCAAAATCTGGTTTCTCGGCGCATGCGCGAATGTGAATAACAATGGAGCGTGTTGGCCGGTCTTGAGTGAACTTGATCGCGTTGGTGATGAGATTCACGATGATCTGTAGCAGGCGACCAGAATCAAGCATCGCCCAATCGATGTTGAGTTCTTGCAGGCTTGGATGCGGCTTGAATTCAAGATCGATACTTTTCGCCACTACTTCGGGACGAAGCCTAAATGCAGTGTCAATAACTTGGAGCATATTTGGGGATAATTGGAGAATGAGTTCACTAACATAGCAATGGCACGCTCAACGACAGCGATAGGCTGCGAAGGAATGGGAGTCATGCGCAAAAGGTTAGAATCTAGTTTCGATACGGTAAGGATGTCATCGACGATCGACTTCTGATGCTGAACACAAAGAGCGATGTTGTTCGCAGCTTCAATGCAATTTTTTGCAATGTTTCTGTCCTCATCACAAGAGAATTGATGAACACTGAGAGTATCTCCGATGTCATCGGCGGATATCAGAATTGCGGACAATGGATTGCGCATTTCGTGCGACGTGATATCGATGAACTCATTTTGTTGGCGCTTTGCCTCTTCTGCTTCTCGTAGTCTTCGTTCCTGGAGACCTTGCGCCCATTTTAGGTGCGATATATCCGTAACGGTGCTCATAATGCTTATCAGTTCACCGTTTGGGCTTAGCTCCGGCTGACAAGATACAAGAACCCAATACTCAATGGGTTCGCCGTCTATATCTTTTGCTTGAAACTTGGGATACGCATATTGAAGCTCCCGACTAGTCGGCTTGTGGGTTCTTAGCAATTCTAGAGGTTGGCATCTTGTTAGTGTACGTACCCCACGAAGGAGAGGTATTGTAAAGACATTACTTACCATCCCACATACTCTGTGCAACCTCTAAGCTTTGCTCTGGCATCATTTCGTTGGGCATGCATTTTCCAATTGTATCATGCGAAATTCCAGTCATTTCAAAGTAACGGTCATTCGCCTCCAATAAGTGCCCGTCTGCGTCGAACAAGCACATACCTAAAGGTGAAAATTCGGTCATTCGGCGCATACGACTGGTTTGGAGTTGAAGCTGCTGAGAGAGTTCCTCCCGCTGTAAGGCAGCGACTTCGGCTGCACGCTTGCTTCGCCGTACCTCGTCTTCGAAAAGAAGAACCGACGCTAACGAAGTCGCAATCTGTCGATTGAGCATGGATGTGAAAGATTCATACTCTTTGTCGTAAGCTCTACGAGGGTTGATGCCGAGGAGCAATAACGCACAAACATTGTCCGCGTTTGTTGGCCGAAGAGGTAGTATCATTGCTTCCCTGCAGGGATCCTTGTATCCCCTCCACTCAATGATCTCAAGTAATGACTGCGGGAGTGTTCCGTTGTCCACGTGTAACATCAAAGGCTCCAATGTTCGTGTCGCTTGAATGAAAGCCGAGATCAGAGTATCATCACTCTCCGTCAAGGAAAATCTTTCAGGACAGGCTTGATGTCCTCTCGGTACTCCAATGGATCCTTCAATGATGCAAGTCTTTACGAAACTCGGACTGGTATTAGGCAATTCCAAAGAGCTATGGTCGATGTCCTCCGCATCAACAATCGAGTACAAGAGCGCGAAAGGCACGTCGTAGTCGTTGTGAGCCAGACCGTCCAATACCCTGCCCCAAAATTCTTTTACAGTGCGTGTTGCGTTCAGGCGCTCGCCTAGATAGCGTAACAACTCCATTCTCCTACCTCTAAGCGATTCTACTGTCGTATCAAATGAATTCATAGAGACTAGATTCCGATTATGCGTCAGTAAGACTTTGCAAATCCAATTGTGTTCGCTAAAGGAGAACTTAGTTGATGTATTTGTAGTTTTTTGGACACTTGATATCATCGCCATCGCATCCATTCGACCTCAGATAATATTATCCGGTGGGTTTATCGCAACTATACTTACAACCAAGAATGCGGTCAGTACCGCCAAAAACTGGAACCTACAGTCATGTAAGCGACACATAATCGAGTAAGCCAAAGTGTTAATGCCCACAAAAGACCATGTGAAGAATGCCTCTTCCAGATAACCATGTCGTATGACTGGTAACATTTGATTGAGGTTGAACTGAGCCTGGCCAGTCCGAGCGCTTTCGCGCATCGTAGCGCGAACTGAATTCCCCCATAATTCGCGAAAAGGGCCTGTAAAACCAGTACCCATCAAAGCAGGGTGCTTATCGCCCGCAATGATGTTCCTATGAGACTCATTATAGATCATGGTCAAGTCCTCGCCCCAGAAAACACATGATGGATGGGGATTCCGCATGACTAAACAGAGGATTTCTCGGAATTGAATCGTCCATGTATTCATAGCGCCCAAGGGTGTCTTTGACCAGTCAATGCTTCTTACAAATTTTAAATGTTCTGAAAGAACACCTTTAGGGTGCGCAGCTGTCCAGTCTGGTACTGCAGATGAATCAAATGCTGCCAGGGGAACGGCGGAAACCCTTGATGTGCGACTTTTCTCCTGCTCTGAGCCAATGTTTATTTGTTGAAATTCGGGTTGTTGAACATTCTCAACTATTTCATGTATTGAGATAGCTGCAGCAGAAGCCAAGGCTTTCTTGTCGTCTCTCACCCGCACGCCATGCCACTTCTTTTGAGATTCTGGTGCAGACGCCGACAGCGGGCCCCCTCCCGGGATATCTTCGCTGCGAAAGACCGGATGGCCGGTGATCACTCTCCAGTTGGGCAGAATACAGAAAACCGTCCATATGAATTTGGCGTACTCGATCGTCAGTGGGAAGATGTCTCTGGAATCTCGGAATTTACTGGTAGTCGTTGCCCAAATTCTGAATTCTTCATAGTTTGTTCCATGGTCGCTTTCTTCAGGATCTTCCCGTGTAGAGCCAGTGATCTTAAGAAACAGTTGCTCCTGCCTCCTCAACGCAGCATTGCAGAATATTGGCCGCACCGCTAGTTGATTTCCATGGACATGGTTCTCCATGTTAAGCACAAACGTCGGTCTGTCGTCCATGTCCAACAACTGTGGAAGGCTTGAAGTATTGAGACGGTTGAGGGGGCCATCTTGTCGGTCTTTCTTCGGATGAACAGGAGGCGCCGTTCTCGTGGGGTTTTCAGGGACCTGGCTATCCATGGAGTCCAGCGCTCTAGGAGTTCTCATCGTATGCTATGGTGTGTCGAGATACATTAGGGATGTGGGTGTAGAAAAACTGAGTAGAGTGAGCCGTGTGAGACTGCGACATTTACGGATGGGCAAATGGAGGAAAGGAGTCCCGACACATGATCGGCAGCGACGGATCCTGAGACGTGGCTACCAGGGTGCCTTGCCAAGCGGAAAATGAGCTTAGTTTATTAGACAAAATCGGCCCAACGATAGTGATGTGTAGCAGAAATTGCAGCGTGATAGAATAGGGTACAGCACGAATGTAGACGTGTGCATCTTCTTTTTCGGTTTAGCGCATGCTGCATAATACGTACGTAAGTAGGTAGACTAGTAAGCCGCGAAGTCTTCAATCTACTTACAGTCAACCGTAACACTAGTCCGAGATAGTACCATACATCGAAGAATCGATGAGTTCTTCGCTATATTAAGGGCACGTGTCCCTGATACATGCATCTAGCATTGTTTGGACGTAGATGGTTATGAGGAACATGGGTCATATCCCGAACTTACAGAAGGGAAGTTTCTTAGAGAGCGAGTTTTTGGTCCCGAGGAAATAAGCGGAAAAATCTACCACGACTTTCGAGATTGTGGTGTCTTATCGGAACCAAAGCTTTCCCGTGAAACAGGTACCTCTTCCCTTTGCACGTAGGGAATGTAAACAAAAACCATGAGATGCTGTAACAGAACTAACCATACTATATTAGATAAGTACTAAATATAACAAGGACTTGACTGATCAAGTGATACACCATGTTGCTGCTGCATATTCCTCTGATTCAAGCGCAAATCTAACGGGATATTTTAAGCGAACTATTTCAACCTCAGGACTTCACCAAATATACGCATTTATAGCAGGGAAAGCTTATACGCTGTTGTGGGGGGAATAGCTGTTGGAAATGGTGATCCAGGTGATCTTGTATCGATGTTTATAGTATGAAGAACTCATGCTCTAGACTTATTTGAGCAAACTTAAAAAATAAAGCAATAATGCCAAGTGCGCTTGGTAAGCAGTATTCGGACTTACAACAGTTGCGTTATGCTTTTGCCAGCTCAGTCTAGCGAAGGTTATCACTTAGATTCTGAAGAAGAGCAATCGAGTTTCGGGTTGTACAGATGCTTTGCTGCAGTCTTTCAGCTTCTATCACCACACCTGAACCAGCTGCGTGACGTAAAACACTGCAAGATTTCCTTGACGCGGAAATGAGTGCAAGGCAACCACCGTCGAGCCAATCGATATCGAAATGCTGAACACAACAAGCAACTATGACAACAAGCTGATTAACTTACTTTTGTGTCAGCCTAAAGTATCAACTGGGTCGTTTTGGATGACAAATGCCTACACCGCATCTGCCTTGCAATGTCTCAAGTCCCTCAAAAGACTTACCAAAAATACCACCATGGATATGAAGATCTGCCTAGAAACTGATAAAAACCCGCAACAGAAGCTTCATCCCATACCGCCACCGTACTAGAGGGACTGTAAGGACCAACACGCACGGCATTGCTCCACCACCTCGACACTCGGTGCATACAGGCACCCGCCTTGTGTAACATCACGATAGTGGAAGTATCATATTGTTTGTAATCAAGCAGCACATCAGGTTACTCCTATCTACCCTGCAGTAGCGGCTCTCAAGTTGCATTTTCCCGGCACGTCGCTCCGGGATCTGATTGGCTGAGCGCTCATCTCCACACAATCAGGCCCACCAGCTTTGTAATCTAGGTCTCCAGCAGTCACAACTCTCGCGTCTCATGCAGACCGAATCAAGTTTTACAGTGGAGGCTGCGGAAACAATTGCGGCATGGTTGTTCGGGTTGATCGGTCGACCGACCGGTCAGTCGTTTTAAGGGTATGGGTGCAAGGAGAAAAAGGGGAGCATAAATACCTCTTGCTTGCTCGCAAAGTCAATAGGATATCTCAACAACAGGCAGCAGCATCTCCCTCTTCCTCTTTCTCTCTCAAAAATCCAGACGCGCACACACACTCTCCCCCTCACAGGTAAAGAAAATGGCTTCTCTAAGCTTCTATACCATGGCCATCGCGCCCACCATCACCGCCATGAAAAACACTCTCGCCTTCATAAAAAAGGGCCACGAACACGCCCTCTCCAACAAAATCGACCCCGAAACCTTCCTCACCGCATCTCTACACCCAGACATGAAGGACTTCCGGTTCCAAATCTACCGCATGACCGACGCCGTCAAGTTCATGCCGCCCCGCATTAACCCAGCCCTCGAAACCATCTCGCTACCAGATGACGAAAAGACGTTCGAGGAACTCGAGGCTCGCATCGAGAAGACGCTCAAGTATCTCGAGAGCTTCAAGCCCGCTGATTTTGAGGGCAAGGAGGCGAACGAGGTGCTAATGAAGTTTCCAAACGGCATGCAGATAAGGTTACCAGCCGTGGATTATGTGTACAAGTTTGCCCATCCAAATATGTGGTAAGTACACCAGACTTCTGATACGAGAGATATAACTGGCGAGAGAGAGACTAGAAAAATGTTTTGCTAATTCACGATGTAGGTTCCACATAACAACTGCATACGGCATTCTCAGGATGAAGGGTGTGGATGTCGGCAAGTTTGACTTTTTGAATGGTGCGAAAGAAATCGTGATTGAACAAGTGGAGGAGCAAAAATAGATAACAGATCATTGAAAGTTTCTATAGAAAGGAAAGAAAAGCATTTTCTAGTGACTCAAGTCCCATCGTTGTCATTGCTATAATACTCCCACTCCGTGACTACAGCACCAACTAGCGCGTCCATGGCGCTGCTCTGCGAGCTAGCATCCGCAGGATCGACAAACGGGCCATCCCAGTCCACACCGAAAAACGGAAGTCCTTCATCCATCTCCCTGTTTTTCTTCCAGATGGATTCGGCGTTTACGTGAATCGTCGCGGAAAACATGTCATCTGGATATGCTTGCTGTAGCCGGACCAGGTTTCGCATGAAGGCACCCTTGAACTGCCCACCATCAAAACCACATTCTGGCTCACAAACATCGTGAATGACTCCATTGGAGCCCGAGAGCGCAGAAATGGCTGCTCGCGCAATGTGGTGTGCAGCCTCAAGAAAGTTACTCTCCAAGGGAGAGTCGGCCCGCTGGAGTTCGACAAGGCCGCCCAGAATCACGCCTTGGTTGTATGACCAGACTGTCTTGTTATTGTTCTCGCAGTCCTCCGTTAAACCGTCATTGACAGTACCGTTGATGTTGATCATTCCGCTTTCGAAGAACCAGTCATGACTCTTCATCGCCCAATCAAGGTACGTCTCTTTCTTATGCTCAACCCGATTAGCTAGATGTGCTGCAGTGCTGAGGAAGAGTTCATTCGCGATGGCATTGACGTAGTTCTTTTTCCAACTCCAGTATATGCCGCCATCGCAATAAGTGCCCCATGTCTTGGCTGCCGCGAGAAAGATGCCTTCGGCAAGGTCAAGGTACGGTTGGTGGTTGGTAACATCGTAGGCATTGATCCAAGCCAGCGCCCACCAAAGATCATCATCGTTGAAGCCATCGAGCCAGTCTTGTGGGTCTGGACTCTCAATATGGTGTGCAACCTCTGTGTTTGAAATGTTCTTGGTTCCATCTTTCCAATTCGGCGGGAACTTGCAACGGGGCTCATAGGTTATCGGATCAAGTTCCTTGGTATATCCACTATCAACATACATTGAACCATCTTGATTGTCAGTTGTACTGTTTGATGGTTCATCTTCGTAGTTCGCATGAGGGTTCATGATTGGTGCACGAGCAAGTGCATTCGAGAAGACATCCCTCGTTAGAGCCTGCAAGTCCGCGTCCTCAGGAAATGCCTTTGCGTAATCACCAAACGTCGTGATAATGTTTCCTGCGTTCCACCATCCTGTCGTTTCCCAGAGGCCTGTGGTTTCATTGTACCATGTCTGGAGAGCTGACAGAGCGAGCTTGGCGCGGGATCCTGGGCCGATGTGTTTTTCACTGCCGCTATGTGCGTTAGAAGTTGCTGCAAGAATGAAAACTAGTTGATACAGATGGCAGTAGGAAAACATTGTAAAGATAAATCTGAGAGTAGGTTACTGGAATGAGAAGACTGGGGAAGAACTAAATTACATTTCAAACGCTGCCTGCAAACTGGGAATCGCTTGGGTTGGGGTATAAGCAGTAGTTCGTGGCCACGGTTGGCAGTGCCAATATCAGCGTAATTCTTTCGTATGCTTTGTAAACGTTCCGTTGTTCGTGCTCAGGGGCGGCTCGTTGTAATGATACAACCATACAGGAAAAGCAACATCGTATGTGCGCAATGTCTGACAATCGATAGATCGGTTCTCGAATCCGAGAATGGCAGCCAAGAAAGCTTATCTGAGATCGGATCCGTGGTCCAATAGCTTCTTATCCAATGTGGTTTGCCAGGGATGTGCATTGAAGATAAAAATAAGCTGGACCAGAATTCCTTTTGGAAGACATAACAGTCTGTAAACCTGGTGGCTCAAGGAATCTGGTCATGAAACAAAAACAACGCATGACTTGTGAACCAAACAAGCAAATTCTCAAACACATGTGAAGATCAGAAAATCAAATTGATCGAATCTCACCTCTTGCTTATGCTGACAGGCACTTGGAGCAGTCGAGCCATTTCAGGACCCGGACCTTGCCAGTCTCGCTTTGGCGATGGTGCTTCCAGGAGGAGTTGGGTCTTGCGGGATACCCATGTGCCAGAGGGGCTTGTTAGATGCGCCAGATTTGTTGAGAAAAGGAGCGATGTAAGAATGATGAATGTATACACATTGAACACGCTGTACTGGCGTAGCAAGAAAGCATGGTCATAGGCCATCTTCGAGGGCGTCTGAGATTGCGTAGAAGGCTGCAACTTCAGTAAAATCTCTAGCAGATAATATATGTATAGAGAATCGAGACATGTGCCCGTTTGTGTTAACGAGGCGTTGTATGCACATCCAGTGAGGCAGCGATCGCCTTTCTGTTCGGTCCAGAGCTTTGATGATCATCCACGAGACAACCGACTAGCGCGACACTACCCCACTCGGCGATGCGCCTTCTTGCTTGGGACACCGGCTGACACCAACAACATGATTGCTGATTTATGGGAGATCCACAAACACTATAGCTATTGGAACCTGTCCAACGATCTTACTAACGGCCCGCCTGTCAGCCTACCAACGCCACACCACTTTCGGAAATGCGCGCATCGATGCTGTGTCCACTTTGAAGGTTGGAGGTATAATTCTCTTCCCCCTTACGTTAATAAAGCTCTAGCGTGACGGTTTTGCTTCGTAAAGGCACCGGTCCTCTTGTTTCGACATGCGAGTGCCCAGCTGCTACCCTGCTTGCTGACATGGACACTTTTGTTTTCTGACAGCATTGCGACTAACATGATCAGGCAATCAAAATATCGTGACCAAAGTCTTTAAGCTGTTCCACCCAGCAATTCCCCGAACCAGGCCCGGCTTCATCTTTGAACTTCCATATCGCTTCTAGCACGCGCTTGGATGTGCGCAGGTAGCCCCAGAACATGAGACCATAGAGCTCGTCAAGTGTATTCATGATCCACTGGCGTTGGGCGGGATCTTCTGACTCTGCGCCAGCTAAGAATAATGGCCAGCAGATTGACTTGAAAAGCGGATCTCCCGGCTTCAGATGCGATATGTGATGAACCACGTCGTCGGCTAAAGCTGTAAGACTGACAATAGCAGTACCGCTTGTGGGGTCAAGAAGAGGGTTCGTAGAGGGCAGGACACGTGCGAGGTAGATACAAACGGCCGAACGATGCGCAGAGGCGATGCGGATGCGTTGTTGAATGTCTTCGAAGGGCGATGCAGGTACGAAATCGGATGACCATACAATCGGGTCAAATTCAAGCGCACGCCGCAGCAAGACACCCACTTGCTCCTCAATGTAAACGGGGGTATTGGTTCCGGAAGGGGAACTGTGAGAGTCTGGTAGTGCGAAAGACTCCAACATGATGCGAAGTAGCGGCCCGGGGCAAGAGAGGTAGTTGTTCGTCTCAGCGTAACGAAGGATAGGATCGAGCTCAATAGTGTCTGGAATTAGCGTAGGCAGTGTTGTGAAACTGAAAGTCGAGCCGAGAATGTGAAATACCAAGAGGTCTGAAAGTATGGTTTGGCGAAGTCTGCTCATCGGGCGTTGAAAATACGGCGGCTTGCCGAGTAGCTGGATAAGCTTGAGAGCACCGTCCATGTGAACTTTCCATTTATCTCGACCGGATTCTACAAGGGCGTAGTTGACGAACAACAAGATCGTCATCAGTATGAAATCAATATTAGCAGTGTTCACGGAGGTGATGCTCTTTGCAAGCAATGAAAGTGCCTGCTGTTTTGCTACAAGAGCATCCCGGTAAGAGGATTTGAGCGGCCCCCCAAAGCGGCTCACAGCTTGGTAATATGCCATGACAGTTGGACTCTGCTGCTCCTGGTAGGAGGATTGATCCATGGGGTTGCTGCTGATGTTGAAGACATGGAAGGCTGAATTGGCGACAATAATCTGCAAGAGCAATGGATACGCAGATGTTGCTGGTATGAGATCACGAATAGGATTCTGGCCAGGCCCATCGTAGACAACCATGACCTCGCAAAGCTGAGTTGCGAAATGATAAAGGTAATATCGTGAGTTCCGGTCAAGATCATTCAGCAAGGGGTCTGTCAGTGCTCGATGAACATCCGAAATCATCTCCCGTTGTTTATCTGAATTCATCTGCCATCCTTGTATGGACATTCGGTAATCATCTATTACCGAATGTCCGGAAACTAGCGCATAGCTAGACTCCGGTAGCAATGACATCTGTTGCTGCTCGTCTTGTTGTTGAGAAGGGCCCTGGTTGTCCCATACTAAGGCCGACATGCCCTGGGCCTTGGCTAGTGCTTCAGGCGGTTCTGCGTGTGCAATGTGGTGCTGCTCCATCTTTTCCTCGTAGCCCTTCCCCATCATCTTGCCGCGACTGGCGACACCGCGGTTCCATACGAACAACTTCCCATAACCCAGGCATTCGGTTCCTGCTGATAGACATTTCTGGCAGCTTGGTAAAGACCGGTCGCATCTCCAACGTCGCTTTCGGCAATTATGACAAGATTTGGTCGGCAGATTTAGGTGCGTTGTGCTCATTGGATGGAAGCCATGCAAGATGTGCTGGTGATTGACTGAATTGAGTTCTACGGGGTACGACGCGGGGTGGATATGTTCTGTTCGTGGCAGATGTGGCCCGGGGAAACAGTGGCGCGATGGAGCTAACGGCCTTGGGCTTGGCGTCGGTGGCGCCTTTCGTCACGTCAGCCTCCGTCTCCACTCATTACGTAGCGAGAAACTGCAGTGGACCAATCACATCCCATTCACCTCTGGTAGAGCCGTGGTCTTGGCGTTCTCTACGTTCACGTTCCACCGTCACCCTAAACTCCAACCAGCAGCCAAGACACACGTTCTGCGGCAAAGGGTCCATTCCGTCACGGCTTGATTCATCTACGTCAGATACACCGCTGGCGGTTAACGTTGTGCTTCGGCTGTACATTCTACATTAAGCCGTTGCTTAGAAAATGCCTTTCATTCTCATTACCACATCGTCCACGGGTTTTGTAAGCTCCAGTCAAACTCAAAGTGTCGAAAAGCAATGGAACAAGTCATATAACTATTGGGCATCAGAAGAGCTTTTTGTGCTTCCCCATCGCTTACTTCTGACAAGTGTCGCCACAAGGACACTTCTTTGGCCACCGTGCTTATTTCGCACAGTTCAAGCATGACAACGCCAACACCTCCAACAAGCCAGCCCACCTTGGACCATGGCAACCCTACGCCAGCATCTCCAAACTCGACAGACTTGGTGCCACCAACAACATTAGAAAAGGCCGAGGAAGGCATCAGTTTGCCCCATCGAGTTTCATACAGCGAATCTGATATCGAACGCCTAGGGCGCGAGCGCCCACAAGCATTTGGCACTTTTCTTCAGGAGCTGGGCTTCTGTTTCGCGCTTTTGGGTTCCATGTTCATGTCGGAATACATGATCTCTGGCTTCACCATCCTCCTACCCGACCTTGCTCGAGAGCTCGACGTCCCCACCAAGGCGCAAACATGGCCCGCTTCCGTCTTTTCTCTCGTCACAGGAGCGTTTCTCTTGCCATTTGGCCGACTGGGTGACATTTTTGGAGGCTACCTGGTCTTCAATGTCGGTCTTGTCTGGTTCATCATTTGGTCCCTTATTGCCGGCTTCTCACAGAACTACATCATGTTGATTATGTGTCGGGCATTGCAAGGGCTTGGTCCTGCAGCATTCCTTCCATCTGGTATTATGCTATTGGGCTCCATATATCGTCCTGGCCCAAGAAAGAATCTTGTATTTAGCCTGTATGGTGCATTTGCTCCTCTTGGTTTCTTTACCGGCATTTTCTTTGCAGGCATCTCTGCACAGCTCGCATCGTGGGGCTGGTTCTTCTGGATCGGTACCATCATCCTCGTCGCTGTAAGTGTAGCTTCGTATTTCTGCATACCCCAATACAGGGTCGAGGTCAATGAAAAGGTCAAGGCACCAGTCAATGTTGTCAAGATGGATTGGTGGGGCACCGCAACCGTAATCCCGGGGCTTGTCCTGGTGATCTTCGCACTTACAGACGGGAGCCATGCCCCACAAGGATGGGCAACACCATACATCCCTGTAACATTTATTTTAGGCTGGATCTTTCTCGGGGTCTTCGTTTATATCGAAGGCTGGGTAGCTGAGCAGCCTCTCCTCCCCAGTGATCTGTTCAACGTCAAGGGCATGAAACCTCTTGGGTTGGCTCTTTTTTTCCAGTACGGAAACTTTGGCGTTTTTATCTTCTATGCCAGTTTCTACATCAAAGACGTTGTTGGCGCGAGCTCACTCCTCACTGCCGCATGGTTCACGCCCATGTGCATCGGTGGCTTGATCTTGGCTACCGTCGGCGGACTGGTTCTGCACCTCTTGCCCGGTCGTATCCTACTTATTATCAGTGGAGTGGCATTCATTCTCTCCACACTTCTTTTCGCAATCATTCCTGCCCAATTCAATTTCTGGGCCTGGATCTTCACCGCGATGATATGTGCTACTCTTGGTATCGACATCACCTACAACGTAGCCAACATCTTTATAACAACCTCGCTACCAAAAGCGCGTCAAGGCCTTGCAGGTTCTTTCATGAACTCCATTCTATTTCTGGGTATAGCAGTGTTCTTGTCGCTTGCTGATCTAGCAGTGAGCGAGACAAAAGAGAGGGGCAAGAGGGAGAGCTACAAAGTCGCTTTTTGGCTTGCTACTGGCATAGCGGCGGCTGCCCTTGTCATCATGTTTTTTGGTGTCAAGATTGGCAAGGCAAAGAGCGAGTTGACAGTTGAGGAAAAGGAGGAGCTGGAAAATGAATTAGTTCGAAGAAGGACTAATGAGTAGTCGGTTGACCGTTCAGTAATAGAATACATGAGATTTAGAACAACTTAATTAACCAGATCTATTCCAAAAATTCGCCATTAGTCTTCGCAAGAATCTCATCGTAGTAGCTCTGGAAAGCCAACCACCCCTTTTCAGGTGTCCCCACTTGTTTGTATGTTTCAGCTGCTTCGCTTTCCGGTATGATCTTGGGCTTATGCCCACTTCCAGCTGCGGCCGCATCCACTAGAAGTTGTGCTTGACAGGTTTTATCAAGGGATAGAAACCAAAAGGCTGCCTCGTCAACCGATTTGCCTACAGTGAGTATACCATGATTTTGAAGTATAGCTGCTTTTCCTTCACCTGTTCACTGTCAATGGTGTCGGTATAGTAGTTTTGGAGGAGATACGCACCCAGCGCATCAGCGATTCTCTCGCCTTCTTCACTTGCTAATACCATACCACCGAACTGGTTGTATACACCGTGGCTTTTGTAAAAACGCACGCTATCCTGTGTAATCATATCAAGCTCTCTTCCAAAAGCACTAAACGCTTTGCCATGTACGCTATGAGCATGACATGCTGCATGTACTTCCGGCCGTCGCTTGTGTATTGCGCTGTGAATAGCAAATGCAGCCGCATTGATAGGCTGGTCACCTTCAACTACCTCCCCTTCTTCATTGACCAAGATCAAGTCGGAGACGCGCATCAGTGAAAAATGGGTTGAGAGCGGGTTAAGCCAGAAATGGTCGGTCATGATAGGATCGCGGACACTTATGTGTCCTGCGACTCCTTCGTCAAAACCGCGTGACGCAAAGACCCGGTAAGCAGCGGCAAGGTGCTGTTTGCGATACAGGCGCTCATCCTCGAGCCTAGTGAAAGTGGGATACTTGCGCACTTTCAATGATTTGCCAGCTTTGGTGCGACCCATAGCAGCTACAGTCTGGTTGTCGATTTCCTCAGCATGGTCGACACGTACACCTGCTGCCACTGATGCGCCATGTGAATTGGAAGGCGTGGCCAGGCATCGACTTGAGTACAATGGGGTCGACGCGCGCCGGAACTTGAAAGGGCTAAAAGCTCGAAGCAGTGGGCGGGATAGAAGATAGGCGGTAGACATCATGAGTGTGGTAGACGAGTGTTCGGTTCATAAGTAGTCGCGTTGCCGGTTGTCTCCCCGCATGAGAGCGTGACCATTTCCCCGCCGGGAATAAGAGCGACGGATATAGTAGTAAGTAAGCATGGGTACTACGAATGTACACCACGCGCCATTGGCGATTAGCGATTTCGTATGTGAGGAGAGGATGTATACAATTTGACAAGGGAAGTGTGTCAGAGCCTAATAGTTGTCGTTATAGCCAGTGTCGTCGTCCTAGCAAACTCGTCATTAAGCCTACACAACCACCGATCCAAAGGATAGCAACATGTAATTCACGCTTGGTAGATTCGATGATTGAGAACCACACCTTAAACCCAGCTAAGAACTAAGCCTCTCTCTCGTTTGTACAGTACCATGTTTTGGTCTAGTTTTCACTTAATATTTTTCTCACCAATGCCGCGCACCGCTACTGTACGACGTTTGAATAACCTGAGTCTGTAAACAGGCTACAAGAAGCAAAGAGTCACTGTTTGCTTGATTTTGTATAATTTATATCTGCACAACAAGCATCGCTCTGAAAATTTCACAGTCTAACATTGTTCCTGGTCGTTAAACTAGCTATGTACATTTACTTTGACCAGGACATAACAATGTATGCCAATGTGTGAACACGGTCATCATGAGTTTTCTCTATACTTTGACTCTAATTCGATATCATTCTCTACTTTAATTTATCAGAATCACCATGTGCGTCTTCGATAATGGACTCAGTGTCGTCGCGCCTTCCTCTCGTTCTATCGTGCTTGCCTTCACTGCCCCCCACCAATGATTTATTTCCCTCTAGGCTATTCCTTTCACTCACTGTTGCTGTGCTTTGGCTTTTCGCTCGCCTCGCCTTAGATGCGCTCTCACTTTCACCGCACTGTACCCTGATCTATATAAACTTTATCAGTGGCCTTCAGTTTTGCTTCTTATTCCACCCCCCAGCTGAAACCAAGGCCACAACATTACGCTCGTTGAGATCTTCTCTTTTTAAAAATCATCCGATATCGTGTCCACTGCCTAGCAAACACACACAATGAAGTGCTTCTTCGTCGCCATCGCGCTGTTGATAGCTTTCGCTGTCGCAAGTGCCCCGGACGACGCCGCAACTACCTTGGACTTAGGTAAGAGAACACAAAAGTGTGGATGAACCATTCGCTAAGAAGTACTAGAATCATCTCTCACCACCCTGATCAGCAATGGTGTACCTCTTTCGAATTCATCTAATCCTCAAATTGGGGGCACTTCTTTGGAGGATTCACTCGCTGGCGACTCACAGCTTCAGGAATGGTTCAACCAACTGAATGAAGCTACGCGTAGAAACGAGACTTGGTCTGCTGGGCACTATGCAGAGGCGGTCGCTGCTGATGACTCCCTCTACAATGCGACCACTGCTGCTGTTGCCGCTGCGAAGAAACCACTTCCGAACCTTGACGGCTACTACCGATTCGACGTCCGCATAGGCAAAGACTCAACTCACGTAGGCACACTCCGCAAAGGCCGCATGTTCAAGCGCATGTACTCTGCACTGAAGACCTGCGCTATCGCCCACAAAAACCCCTCGATTCCCGGTTTCTGCAGTGACGACCGCCCCGAATGCCCCGACCATTGCCGTATCAAGCAAATCGTCTACTCCAATGACGGTCATTGGGCATCAGACTCACACATCGAACTCAGAGTCAAGTTCTCGTACTTTGACATCAAGCATCACCCGAAGATCCAGGATCTCGGCGTACGTACACACAACTGCAGCGAGTGTTAAATACTGTAAGATGTGCTGACAAAACGACAACAGTTCCGCATCGTTGCCCGCATCTTCGAGCTCATGACTATGCAGGGTAATAATTGCCTTTTCTACGACTTCGCGTGGACGCGACGGACTTTATTGTGCAGCGTAGCCGACAAGGTGGAGCTCGCTTTCCCTATCAACGGCGGTCTCATTCAGGGTGTCCTCAACGTCGAGCTTATATGGAGCAAGAAGACGAGAAAAAACACTTTCACGTGTCAGGGCAATACTGAGGGTGGCGTCGATGTCATGCTATGGACGGACTTCCGCGACCCTCTTTCCGACGCCATGGCCTGGCCCGCGAAGCAGATCCTGCCCTTTGTCTTCTGTGCAGAGGATAATTGTTTTAAGCAGAATCTCAAGATCGGCGAACCGTGGCATGAAGGCAAGGGTTGCAAGACTCTGGACTGGCCGGTTGGATGCGACCCGGATCTTACGGGGCCATCTAACCCCAAACTCAACTGCCCGCCTCCAAGGCGGCAGTAAAAGGTGCTCTGGTTGTATACCAGAATCTCATGCCGTCCTCAGGAGAGAATGATAGAGCCAAATCTGGAACGATATGGGGAGGTGATGAGGGCGGTATAGAATGCCGAATTTGAAGTGTGGATTTCCTTTGTGAGCCTGATATGCATTGCACACCACCGGGTAGTTATCCGTAACTAGTACCTTAATTATGTGTGAATTACTCCTCATATTTTCACGATCCTCTCCCCGTGACTCTATATATCCCACTGCTCAAAAGTATCACAAACCGCATTTCCCTCTAACAAACCCCCCATCTTATCCCACCAGCATCAATGCTCGCAAAAGCAATACGTCTGTCCCTGCCACCATTCGTCACTCTTCCTAACAAACGCACTTCTCTCACGCATGAGCTTCAAGCGATGCTCATTCGCCTCCTGCACAGTCATCGGCAGCGCAAATTTATCGTGTTTTAGATATGCGCGCACAAGTTCCATGAGTTCTTCTGGGAGCCGGCATTCGCAGTTGTTACTGATGCTAGGCCAACCGAGCTCGACAAGCAGCTCGATGACATCCGGTGGCAGCTTTTTCAGCACAGTCTGTTGGGCTGATTCGCTGGTCTCGAAGATGGACTCTGTGTACCAGCTCATCTACTGAGGCGGAATGTTTGCAGTTGAGATGATGGGTCTTGCAGGATCAACAAGCCACAGGGCGATGAAGCGGCAATGGCCAGGTTTGGTGGGATCGATGAGTTTGAAAGAAGAAACGCGATGCTGGCTATCTGTTTGATCTGTCAAAATTAGACAACTTGTCAGCGACAAGGCGTGCACTTACAAGACATTAGGGAATGCCAAAAGGCGTCCCTGACGCGTCTGAACACTTGCATAGTTTTGTAGACGAGGGCCACCATTAGCGCACCCCAATATAGTGCCGTAGATCTGCTCCAGCCAGTGGTCGGAATCCTGTTCGACATCGAATTCAGGCCACCGCTCGATGTCCTCGGGGACCTGCATGCGGAATGAGAGGCTGTCGTCGGTTATATTGTCACTGTCCAAGTAATACAAGGAAGTGGCGCATATCTTTTCGTTCATTTGTCCTTCAACATACCATCCGCCAACTGGAAACTCCGGCTTTTCCGGCGTCAATTCGATTGAGGCCATCTTGACAATAACCTGCAATCCATAAGCAGCAAATCTTTCGGCCAGACGTTGACCGGATTTCGGCGCATAGTCAACGTCTTTGAAGGAAATCGCCTTTAATTTGCGGTGTCTCTGCCGGATGTCAATGCAGTATTTGCAGACCGTAGGCTTTGCTATTGTAGAGAAGTAGATTGCAGGAGAATGAGTAATACATCAAAGAATGGTGCCTTCCGTCTGATACTTAGCACCCCTGACTTGTGCATGCTCCATCTTGGCACACACCCCACGTCATCATGACTCGAGCTGGCAACGCCCCACATATGTACGTCTATCTGCATGGTGTTAAGCGACATAATCGTCCCCTAGGCAGCACCGCTACTACTCTTAAGTAAACGTCCATCATCCACTCCCTCGTCATGCCCTCGAGCAAAACCTTCCCAGCAATAACAGGAGGCTGTGTCTGCGGCACAGTGCGCTACCGACTCCTCACCTCGCCTCTCTTCTGCTATGCCTGCCACTGCACCGACTGCCGTGCCTTTAGCGGCAGTGCATTCGGCCTGTTTCTCAAGATAGAAATGTACAATGTCAAAGTTATGTCGTCCACACTGCCAGCATTTGTCAAGATGAATAACCGGCGCGGGGCCGTCCAAGTGCATGCGCAATGCTCCACATGCCGGGTGCACATGTGGGTGACGAGCGCTTCCCCGGATGAAGAGGCCGTGTACGATGTGAGAGTGGGTACACTGGATTTCCCGGATCTCATGGTGCCCGATCTGCATATTTTTACAGAGAACAAGCTGGGTTGGATACGCTTGCCGGATGATGCACATACGCTGCCTAGGGGAGGCGATATTCATAAGTTGTGGCCGAAGAGCAGCTTGGAGAGATTGGATCAGTGCAATAGATGGGCCGACAGGGTGAGAAAGAGGAAGCGTGCCGCGTTGGTGGAGTCAAAGGCAACTGCAAAGAGTACCGAAGAAGGAAGCGGAGAGGAAACTGGAGGAGAAGGAGATAAGACACCTACCGCTCTGGCGTTCAACAACGAAGATGATGAAGAGTTTGAGAAGAAGTTCAAAGAGAAGGAGAAGATTTTGCTAGAGCGGCTAGAGAAACTCCAGCTCAAGTTGAAGGAGGAAGAAGTCAAGGCAGGTGAGCAGAAAGCAGTGGAGTCTGCCGAAACAGATGCAAAATAAGTTCAAGTTAGTCCGTCACGTAAAAGGTGGGCACTAAATCATATGGACTAAGAAATGGCACTGCGCGTATCCGAAATCCTTGGTAGATTCGACGACAATAATCTACATAATGTACATCCACCCCTAGGCTATAGCGCTCTTGAAGGCATTCCGTACGGGCAAGAATGTCGGTATGCTACTTTTCAATGCCGGAGCTACACCTGATGGCTCAAAGCTTGACCGTAAGCCGTCGTGCGCCTGGCCTCTACTTTGCAGAGCTTCCATGATCCGCCCGACATCGTTGCTCTTTTCAATCTCATACTCTTCAGCCGAGAGCAACAGAGTTTCTCCCCGCGCCCTGTTGATCTCCAAAGGCTCGTGCTCAATAGCATCAGGCCATTTTCCGGCCGCATAGAGGGCGTCTTGCATGTCGGCCCATTGCACTGAGACACCATTGAGCGTGTACGGTCTGACAGGGGTCTTCTTGAGAGCCTTTGGAAGAACCGAACGAGCAATGTAGTGGTCACGAGATTCGGCTTGGGCCTTTGCGTCAAATGCCTGCTCAAGAAGGTCGATTTCACTTCGCTGTTGAGCGAGAAGTTGAGCATCCATCTCAAGGTCTGACGCGGACCGAGAGGGGTCTGGGTTTTGAAGTGCTTCGTCCAAAACTCGGGCTTGAGACTTCAAACTGTCCAGCTTGGCTTCAGCACCTGGCTCTTGAGCAGGCGCTGCCTTTTTTGCGAGTTCTTGTTGCAACTTCTTGAACTGTTCGGCTTTTCTGATTGCATATTGCAACTTGCGTAACCGGGTCTCGAGAGCTTCCTTGGTAGCCTTTAGGCTCTTCTGGTCGGCTTCACTCTGGTGATGCCTCATCTTGAGTTTCAGGTCCATGGATCGTATTTGGCCTTGCAGCCACTTGACGTTGTCAGTTGGCTTTTCCTTGGCCAGGCTCGCATTGGCTAGTGCGTCGATTTCTTGCCAGCGCCTGTCTAGCACAGCAGTGGCTTTTTGCTCGCGCTTTAGCAGCTCTTCTGCAGCCTGGATGCCATGCTCTTCTTGGATGCGCAGCACCTCTGCTAGATCAGCGCTCGTGTTGGCCCGCTGGTCCATAATCTTCTTGATACGCTGCTTGCGATCCATGGAAACCATTTCCGGGTTCGTCTTGTCCCACGCAGTCTCATGCAGTTTCCGGAATTCACGCAGCTTGCGGAAGGCGCTATGGCCCTGGGCAGAGGTGGGGAAGGTGACGACACAGTGAGGGACCCATTCGTCTGGGCGCAGGGCAGGCGGCTTTGAGTGCTTGCCAATAAAGGGCAGTTGGTCGAGGTGATGGTTCTGTAGATAATCAACAGCCAATCGATGTATTCATTGTGGGCGTCGTACATCTAGTAACTCCTGGAGAGAGTAGATGACCTGGTTGGTCTTTGTGTTGCGGAAAATGTAGATTATTTCGCCATGCTTAGCAGTACCTTCTGGGTCCACCACGTCGCGCAGGGTGTAGGGCTTGATGGGAGCATTCACATGCTGTCCCGTCGCCTGGCGCCTGGCCTTTTCATTGACGACAGTCTGCAGGCGGAGGTGCTTGGGGTTTGACTGGCGCTGGACATAGGCGGCGACCCGTTTCTGAAGCAATTCCTCGTGGACGGGTGTTGTGCGTTTTGCAGCGGGTGCAAAAGAGATGGGCTTCAGCGGCGGCTTATACCGGAGCCGGGCGAGTGAGCGAGGCATGGCCGCAGCGAGTGTGGTGAAGGCAATGGGCCAGCAGACAAGCCTACGGTGGGCATGCCATGGACGCAAGCAAAGATGCGAGAATCATTGGGATTCGACGCACGGGCCCGGTCCCGCGCGGAATTGCCAACGACTCGTGTGCAGCGCGACTCCTCCGCGTGCGTATGTCTGGTCGCAGTCAGCATCAACGTTTACAACACACACGTATTATGGGCTGCGCCGATGCCATTGCTGATGCGCCTGCTTTGCCGTCCCCGCCCTCCCTCGCCTTCCACCATGCACCCATGAGACGCCTGCTGCTGCTGCACTCGCTTCTCATCTGTCCGTCTTCGCGACAGGCTGCCTAAACATGGCTGGCGATCCGCTCACGACGGCTGGCCAGCCCGACCCTCGTCCACCACGCGAGCGCCCGTGGTTGCTGCCATACGTGTGTCAGACAGCTTCTGCCCATGGCCGACGTCGCTAACAAGCCTTCAGAACCGCAAGCTCAGGCATCTCCAAGGCATCACCATTCGCAACCTTACTCTGACCCCCAGCACCACAAAGCCGCGCGGAAAGACGATTGACGATGAAGCCGTCCCGAGCACCTTCAAGTCGCCGGCAAAGGCGCTGGCATTGCGTGAGAGCAGGGGCCTGGCGCATTCCCGCTCATCCAGCGATCTCACCTCACCCGACGATGCCGTGCGGCGCAGCAATGGCTTGCGCGACTCCACGACTTCCCAGAAAGCAAATAGGCCCGCGACTGGGAGGGGCCTACGTAGGCGCTCTACAATGGAGTGGACCAATGCGAGCCCATTGACTCGCCAGAAGAAGCTGGAAGATATCACTGCTGGGCGCATGGCCGACACCTTCTTTTCCCTGCACATCGAGGACCAAACGGACCCAATTTACGTTTCTGAAGTCGTCGACAAGGCTATGAACCCAAACTTCAAGTTTTTCGATCTCGCGCCCTGTGGACCGGGCGTCACACGACTGGACACGCTCACAATCAGGGTGTGGGCCAAGAGCGAGACAATGCAGAGCTGGCAATACCTGCTCGACTATACTGTACAGTTCTGCTCGCTTCAGTTCATTGGCAAAACGCTTGAAGGTTTCAGACACCCTCTTCCACAAAACTGTGTTCTCTTCTATATGACGGATGGCATCTACACTAGCTTCACAGATCTACCTGTGCAGCAAAGGATGCGACCAGAACTTCTTGCACCACCAAAAGAGAATGCTGATGGTCGAGTGCTTCCATCTTCCTCTTACGATGCCCTCATGAGACTCTCGACGCTCGACGACTGCATACAAGATGCACTGACTACGCGAGACCGGATTGCCGACGAGATTGAGGGTATACTCGTGGCGAATAAAGAGGATATATTCACAGTAGAATCGGTAGCCGAGACAGAAGAAAGCTTGCGGACAGTACAGGCCGCGGTGACGGCTGAAAAGCGGCGTGTTGCGGCTGCGCGAAGAAGACGTGATGAGTTGCAAGCCAACATCCTGGACCGGCGAGAGAAGATGAAGGCTGGACGGGAACAGCAATTGAAAGCGGAAAGTGAAATCTCTGAACAAAGAGCCAACATCGGCCAAACTAAAGAGGCTTTGGAAAAGACTCTAGAAGATATCGCGGGCCAACGACGAAGGGTATGCGAAGACTTGCTCAGGATATTCCCAATTGAGCCTGTGCCTGGCAAAGCTCTGACGTTTACAATACGGGGACTTTTGCTGCCAAACTCCATGTTCGAGGATGCAAAGGAAGACGTTACTTCTGCAGCACTAGGCTACGTGGCCCAAGTTGTCAGTTTGCTCTCGCCTTATCTGTCCGTCATGCTGCCGTACCCGGTATCGTTACACGGGTCAACGTCGACGATTGACGATCCATTGGCTATTTCACAAAATCAACAAAACCACCAACGTACTTATCCCCTTTACATGAAGAATGTTGTGAGATACCGGTTTGAGTATGGTGTGTTCCTTCTCAACAAGAATATTGAGATTCTCTCAAACTCACTGGGACTGCGGCCGCTGGACATTCGCCACACATTGCCAAACCTCAAGTATCTGCTATATGTGGCCACAGCCGGCAAAGGTGAACTACCGGCTCGCAAGGCAGGCGGCATCAAGGGCTTGTTGCGCCAGGATGGTGTTCTCTCGCGGAAGGGAAGCATGGATAGTACCATGACTGCGAGCAGTGTTGGCACGCCCACGATTGAAGTGAAAAGGAGTCTTGAAATTGCTGGGAAGAAATTAGAGCAGGTCAAGGCCAACGGCACACCTGTACATGGCGTTGGGACACCGCAGCACAAGACCAATGTGCATCCTGGAAGCCGGCTTAGACCGTCAGAGTGAGCATTGGGTGGCAGGGAACGTATTCATGCTGTACGATACGTGGCAACGAGGTAGGCCTGATGGCTGTTTAGGTATGCATAGCGAGAGTGGTAAACAGGCCGTGACTGTATTTTTTGTATCGGGCTAGTTTCCGATGTCCTTGGTTTTTTGTCCGATAGTAATACTCATTATCCTGGTCATGGCTTTGTGCTTTGGCTGGTATTGCCTACAAGTCCCCTTGCATGGCTCGTGGTAGACGGGCGGGCACTGTTGCGGGCCGGGCCTCGTATCCGGGAATCGTGTCCGGGCTCAAAGTGGTCAACTCCACTACTCACGATTTGTGTTTCGGCCACAGGCATGGTAGTTGTCAAGGGAGGATCTGGCGATGCCGATGCTGACATAACCTTACCCCTGGGCGGCATCGCGTAGTAGTAGTCGATCGGCGCAGATGCTTCGTATTGCTCGGGAGTGTCACGAGCCCCACTTGTGGCCGGGAAATTGGCAGGGAAAGGAGTCGGTCGCCCGACGACAACTTTTGCTTGCATCGTCTGTGCCCACAATAATAACTCCGGTGGATTGCTGGCGGCCTCACATTCCTTGCGTCCAGCGTCTTTCAGCCTTGGTCTTCTTTGCACGTGGTTGTTTGGACGGTACTTATATTCGCATATATAATCACGGGCTTACCCAATCCCTCCCGCAAACCCTTGTGCGCTGCCCTCCTGCGGTTGTTTATTATTGCTCCGGCTTCACGATGACGGAACCGTTTCCTCCGCTGAATGGCGGATTGCCGCAGAATCTTGCACCCAGCAGCGCACCTAGGCGCCGAAGGAAATCAAGTGCCCTCGGCGCTGACGTCCCTGGCGATGTTGACGTCCCGTCCCTGGCCACATATCGATCTGTCACCCCTCCGCTGCACAGCCCAGTGACCATGGACTCGGTATGTGTTGTACCCGTATTTTTTTTCCTGTACAGAATTGCCGTGAGGGGGGAACTCCACGTGTAACTGACAAGCCTGTCAGAAATCAGACAAGTCGGGACGCCGCTCAAAACGAAAGACGACACGTCGATACCTGTCAAAGGCAAAGCGAATGTGCATTCGGCACACATGGTTGCTCCCCCTCGTCCTCACTCTCACCATCGTGTCGCTATACCTCGTCTACCCTTACTCATCCAACCCACTGTCAGCCTGTCTCTTCTTATCATACCCACTCGCACGCGACGACCCCCTCATCCCTGCCCACGTGCGAGCCGACCCCAATGCGCCCCTACACTATGGCAAAGGCGGACGGGATTTTGCTTTCGTTGGCTTCTACACCATTGTCCTGAGCTTTACCCGCGAGTTTTGCATGCAGCGTCTCATCCGCCCCATTGCCCTTCACTTTGGCATCCGCAACAGGAATAAGCAGTCGCGTTTCATGGAGCAAGCATACACTGCTCTGTACTTTGCTATCTACGGTCCGTTTGGCGTATGGATCATGTCGCGTACTCCGGTGTGGTACTTTAATACCACTGGCATGTACGAGGGATTCCCGCACCGAACCCACGAAGCCGTCGTCAAGGCGTACTATCTGCTGCAAGCTAGTTACTGGGCCCAGCAAGCCATTGTGCTGATGCTGATGCTCGAGAAGCCGAGAAAGGACTTCAAGGAGCTGGTAGCGCACCACATCATCACCGTCAGCTTGATCTGGCTCAGCTACCGCTTCCACTTTACCTACATGGGCATCGCCGTGTACATTACCCACGACATTTCCGACTTTTTCCTTGCCGTAAGTCTTTCATGTCCCCCCCCCCCCTCGCTCAATCATGGCACCATGAGCAAAGATTGCCAAGAGTGTGCATACTGACATGAAGTGCAAAAAACGTAGTCGTCCAAATGCCTAAACTACATCGACTCGCCAATCGTCCCGCCGTACTTTTTCGTCTTCATGCTCGTCTGGGGCTACGCGCGCCACTACATCAACCTCAAAATCATCTGGTCCATCCTCACGACGTTCAAAACTGTCGGCCCCTTTGAACTCAACTGGGAAACGCAACAATACAAGTGCTGGATCAGCCAGTACATTACCCTCGGTCTCCTTGCCTCGCTCCAAGCCGTCAACCTGTTCTGGGGCTTTTTGATCTGCAGGATCGCCTACAGGTTTGTCGTCTACAAGGATATGGAGGATGATCGCAGCGAGTGCGAGCCGACGGATGACGAGACAGAGGCAAAGGAGAAGCTGATCAAGGAGCATGCGGCCGACAAGGAGACGTCGCAGATGGAGAAGGTGGAGCACATGGCCCCTGTTACGCCTGCGCCAGCGCATCCGGTCGCGGTGGAGCAGGATTCAATTGGGTCGAGGGTTAAGCAACGGAAGAGTGGGAAACAATGATTTTGAGCATTGGGGAGTGGAATATGAATGCAGGGGTGATGATGATGGGAATGAATGGGTTTGCGTTTGGGGAGGATTAAAGAGTATTTAATGGTGACGAGGAGGGATCTCTTTTTTTTGGGGAGGGGACGCCTTTGATGGGTGTGAAGGAATTCTTTTTGGGAGAGTAGACGAAGAAGGGCAAAAGGGTGAATACTGCTTCTTCCTCTTCTTTCTACTTGGTTTACAAGCACACGGTCTTGTGCAATGATTGAGTCGAGGTGGTGTGGGTGTTTACTTTATGAGAATGTAATTTAGAGAGTGCTGCCATGGTAGCATGTTTTTAATTCTGCTTTGGCGTCTTTTGCCTTGCTGCTGGCTTTGTCGTGGCTATGGGGATTATGTGCATGGTATGTGGTATTCGATTGGCTGGTATGTCTTTGAGAACTGATGAGGTATGGCGAGTAGTGGTATGTATATATATTCAATGGTAGTTTTACATGTCCATGTCATGTTGGAGATGATGAATACAATGGGCGAGTAAGATGGATAGCAGCAAAAGAATTTACCGTGTTCAAGGTGGTTGAAGTTGGATTGAGTGATACAAGCAAGTCAAGTAAGGATTTTCCATTAGGAAATAAAAAGGAGAAGACGATCTATCTACTCGCACAAGAAAGAAGAATCCTGACCACGCAGCAAGCAAAGGCAAGGCCGTAAAAAGACTTGCTCTACCACTTTTCGAACCGTCTAATTTCTATTCCCTCTCCATCGCTCACAAACCAAAAAAAGAGAGAGATGCGAAGCAGACCAAGAGAGAATAGAAAGGTGTTTACAAGTTAGAGGAGGAAGAAAAAAAGACAGACGTCCATCCAAGTCGAGGAAAGAAGGAGGAGGAAAAAAAGAGGTGTGTATATGTGTGTGTGAATGTGTGACGACAACAGGCCGGTAGTAGGTATGATATGTCGGGTGGGTATCGTAGAAGAGAAAAGTAGTTATGTCGTCATTATGTTGGTCGTAGCATGCTTAAACGATAAGCAGCTTCTCAACCTCGTGGCTGGCATTGCGCTCGCTGACGCGGTTCCAGGCGGCGAAGGTGAGGGCGCCGCAGAGGGCCCACATGACAGGGACTGCGACTTCGGTGGCGTCTGTGAGAGGAGCGGGTTAGAAAAGAAGCCGGGGAGGTGGTTGGGCGAGTGGAGAGTAACGTACTGGGTCGCTCGGCTTGCGCAGCCATTTCCATCATGCGGGCGGCGCTGCTGGAAGAGCTGGAGGAGTTGAAGCGCATGGCGGTGGGAGTGACGCGCTTGGCTGCGAAGGCAGCGGTGATAGGGGCGCGGGTGGCAATGCGGGCGAACATGTTTGGATTTGTGCGTGTGTTTTTTTGGTTGTTTTGGGTGGAGTGGTGTACAAGAGCGAGGGGTTTATATATATATATATGTATATAAACAATGGGGGCCACGTATGACTAGTAGAAGCGAACGGGGTCGGGTCGTGAATGTTTTTCCTCGAAAGAAGGTGACACTTGGAAGAGTAGAGTCCGTTTGAACGAAAGTAAACTACTACGGCAACGTCCTGTCCTTATCGATTGACGAGTGACTGAGTGGTCTGGGGGTGGGAAACTGAGTGACGGACAAAAAAAAGAGGGTGTGAGCAAAAACGTTTATATAAAGAAAGTGGGACGCCAACAAAACGAGGATTGAGGTGGGTCTGTGAAAGGAGGCGAGGCCGACAAGGCGGCGAGCAGAAACTTTTAGGGGCAAGCGTGGGCGGTGAGCGATCCGTGCCAGGGGGGTTAAAATGGGGGGGGCAGGGATACTTTGCGGAACAAGAAAATGGAAAAATAGAAATCCACCGCCTCAGAACTTGGGGTTGCGGGGGAGCATGGACCTTCACGATTCAGCTCCTAACCGCTTCCATGCTGCAAGCCTGTCCATCAGCCTGCCCCCCCCTCCCCCTGGCCTTTTGTCGGCGGCCAAAACACTGCGGATTGTGCTTTTTGTAAACAGCACACACGGGGCTGGACATGTACCGCCATGTACCTCGGTGTACCAGCTGAGGTTGAGCCTCTTTCACCCGTAATTTGCCCGGCAGCAGCGTGATGCAGATGCATGGCCGGGCTAAGAAAAAAGGGGACCCTGCCCGCCCGTCGCATCGGCACGCCACGGATGCCGGCCCTTCTAGACGAATCTACCGAGAAGATGGTACAGTAATCCTCTTGCTTTGCTCCGTCTGGCTGCTTGCCACGCACTGCCTCAGCCTCAACAAGACGGCTACCCAGCGTAGTGTGAGTATAGTGCGCTTTTCGTAATCCAGATCCCATGTTTCCGCGCAGCGCGACAAGACTTGCCAGCCATGCAGTTGTTGGTCACTGCGTGGCATCATCCCATGGTCTGCCGTCGGCGGAATGAGTGCTCCGACATGCCATGCCATCCCACTCCTCTCCCACACCCCACATGACATTCCGCCAACGTGTCACCAGGCTCTATCCTCGTAGCCATGAGCGGTCAGAAAAAGTCTGGTCCTCGTCACTCGTCGCCATCAGCTCGTTATCTGCGCAAACAAATAAACAAACAAGAAATACTCCGCGTTGCCAACACGTTGCTAGCGCCTTCATGCTCAAGGTAGTTTATGCGCCTCGTAAATGCATGACCAAGACCCCACCCCCGATCCATCCCCGATCCATGCATCCATAAGTACCTATTTCCAATCTTTCTTTACATGCCAGGCTCGTGACCATATAATACAACAAGTCATATACAACAGAAGAAAAAGAAGAAGAAGAAGAAAATACATGGCAAAAGAAACAAAACAACAGCCGCTGGTAGCGACTACAGATGCACGTCACCTTTTACCACCCTGCCGTCCTCACCGTAGGCCCGTTGCCAGGCGACGCATACTGGCTCTGCCACCACTCTGGCCTCTTCACACTCTTGTCTCTGCTACCTGCTGGTTCCTGAACATGCCCCCACCACTCTTTGACATCCAGGCGATGACCTATTTGGAGCAGCTCCGCCGCTTCCCTTTCTTCCTTTTCAATCGACGCCTTCGTCCGCCGAGCAACTGGCGCTCGCAGCCGTCTAGTAATCTCCAACAGCTCCTCGTCCGACGATGTGATCTGTGCTTTGACATAAGCAAGCGCCATTGGCGATGCACTGTCAGACCCCGACAGCGTCTTGATAATCGGCGTACGCGGTGTAAAGGCGTGTGTATATTGCTGCGGTGCTGGTGCATCCTTTGGCTTTGTTGATGATTTCAATCGTGCTTCTGCACCCTTGTCAAGCAGTGCCATGATATCAAGGCTCTCTCCGTGGGGTATCGCTTCCTTGTTGCTCGGCGTAATGCAGTCCATGTCCACTTCCTTTCGCAACACGCGGTCAATGTCCACTGCTGAAAAATACGCGCACGACTGTGGAAGCTCGTTGATGCCCATTTGCTGTGCAAACATGGCTCGTGTCCATACATTCGCCACCTGGAGCGCCATGGCTGCCTTGTACTTGTCCTTGTCCTTCACCAAATACCGGATCTCGTCATGTACCGTAATGGCGAGCCGACAGTCAAGATTGTACCGACGCGTAAGGTAGTCCATGGATACAATAAGCAGATGGAGATAGTCGACACCAGAAGACTGGATAGCCCAGTTGATCCGTGAAGTCATGAAGCCGCCTTTGGAAAGATACCGTCTCTGGAGCGCTTCGGTAATGGCTGCCCCAAGCACTGGTGTCCTCGGCCTCTCTTGTTCTGCAAAGTCCTCTAGTCGGTTGAAGACAAACGATTCCGTACCTCCGCGCCAAAACGGTCTTTCGCGTAGCACCTTCCGCGTCGTCTTCTTGCCCTTTGTGTTTTGATATAAATCATTTGCCGTCTTGGACGTTTCCGCGTCAGTCAACGAGGGATTGAACTGCCGCAGCAGTGTCGAGGCGAATTGCAGCCCAGCACCGTATATGCGACCGTAGTTGAACACCTTGGCATCGTTCCTCGAGATGCCCAAGATGGACGCTGTCCGCGAATGCAGATCCGTGCCTGCCGCCTTGGTCCCCTCTAGTGTCATAAAACCAACCGCATTACCGCCGTGCAGTTTGAAGGTTGCATCCCCGATCAAGCTAGCAATCCATAGCTCCTGTGAATCGACATCGGCTCCCACAAAGCAGTATCCTTTGGGTGCTCGTACCATCGATTTCAGCTCCGACCCCACTCGATTCTTCTTTGCATTGCTCGCAGTCAGCCATGTGTTCTCAACCGAGCGCCTCGTAATGGTACCCATGGGTATGATTTGTGGCAGTATGAACCCAACCTTGCCTCCCGTCTTGGCAGACGAAGATGTCAGTTTGGGTGCATTGGTTGCCTCCTTGTTATACACAACCATTTGCGACATGATTCGATCTCTCGCGCTGATCCAGTATGAACATGAAGCATTCATCTCCAATGCTTCCTTGGCGTAGCCATACTCGGACCCTAGCTTGCCCTTTTCAAAATATTGTAGATAACCCTTGGCAAGCGGGTTTGTACATCTTGCAAGCGGACCGTCCTTGTGTGGAATCTTGTAATACGCGTGCGCAGTATCGTCACGCAGCTTCAGGTTTTCTTCTTGAGACATGTCCAACTCCTTGATTCCCTTTTCGTTGTAGGCAAACACTTCGTCCATGGGTACTCGGTACGTCCACCCGTACTTGTCTGACCAGACCAGAGGGTGGCCATCCCAAGCCAGCCTCAGCAATATGGGCGTCAATCGAGTTCGCACGGTAAGATTCATGGGGCCATCACTCTTGGTAAAAAGATCTTTGTACCACTTGGGCATGCCTGGCTTCTTCTGTCGCGCTGCAGGTCGAGGCGGGTCGCCCTTCTTCTTTCCTTTGACCATCTTCACTTCCTGGCCTGACCAGTCCAGCTGGCTTAGCCAAGGATCGTTATTGTACACATTCGGTTGATCTTTGACCTCCAGTGCCTTTTCTGTAAGCGCTACCAGCCTTTCTTTCACTCCGTTGTCCAATCTATGGTACGTTGCCTCTGCGTTGTTGATATAAGCATCCCAAGTCTCGTCGACGGGCAGTATTTCGGCAGCCAAAAAGCGCAGTGCCGCAAAGCTGACCGGGTGTGGACACGTTTCGAGGAAGAGTGGAAAGACCTTCTGATAGACACGATGAGTGATTTCTACATCGGCAGCGCAATAGTTGAGCAGCTCATCCAGCATATCACGCACACCTGCGCGATCGAGTTCGCCAAAGTATTCTCTCTTTGCCTTGTCTATGGTGATGTTGCAATGAAACTGGGCTACGTCTCGTAACGAGTTGATTGCACTCCTTCCCATCCAAAGCTCTTCTTCATCCGGTAGTATGTCCGGATTCAGCACCGAGGACAAATCTGCATTCTCGTCAGCAGTAGCCGTCTTGTCGCGCTGCTCTCTGCTCTTCTGGTGTTTCATCCAGGAGGGACGTTGCCGCGAGCACATGCCGTTAGAAGCAACATGCAACGACATGGTATCAACAAAAGCGTTTTTCGACTGTAATATGCTGTACTCTTCTGCTATACGAGCCCTATCATAGCCTATGTTGTGGCCTACAATGACACGCGGTGTTGATGTGTCTCCAAAGGGAATGAGATGTCGATCCGACTCTGACTCTCCTAGTAGCCAGGGCGATAACCAAGCATACCACGCTGTCGGACTGGCGGCGCACGCCATGCACGCAAACGATGTCTCTTTCCACATGACTTCGGTATCGAAGACGAGCATCGTCTCGTCTGGCACTTGTACTGCTTCCGTCGTCCCGTCGCTGTTGTATTTGGTCCAGCCGCTCTGCCGCACCCATTGCTTTGGCCTTGGTGGTGGATTTGCCCATACTAGCCTCTTTGCCATGCCCAAATAGGGTTCAGCAGCGTCCATGCCTAGCTTGTAGAAGTGCTCGTCCAGTGTCGTGCCCTGCAGCTCGGGCATATCGAACCCGACAGGCGGGCTCTGATCCTGGTTCTTCCCCAGCAAATCATGGCGGGTGAGGTGATCCTTGGAAAGAGCTATGAGTTCAGGTGGGGGTTTGGTTTCTGCGCCAGGAAAGACTTGGTGGTGGATGTGGGAAGAAAGATGCTGAACGCCAATGGGACTGAAGCGGGCTTCCGAGGGGACTGGAGAGTCTTAGTATGCAGGAACTGGATCGCATCGCGGCAATGACATACCATTGAGACTGGTCTTCTTGGTGGTGCTGCTCTTGCGACTGGATGGTGGCGGGGCTGTGGCGAGGCATCGTCGCAGTGGGGGATTTGCAAAAGGCGTTTGCGCAGCAAAAGGACAGGACCTGCGGGCAGCGGTAGTGGCGGTCAACGGCCGTCCTGAGCAGCGCATCATCGCACGTCGATCAAGCGCATTGCTGTACCTCGTCGCATTCAGGCCGTGTCGCGAGAAGTTTTGTACAGTGTAGTGCTCTGGTGCCGGATTGTGTCGTCATGGTGCTGAGGCCCGACCAAACTATTCTTGTGCTTGGCGTTGCCTACTACGCCACAACCTTTCAGCCTCTCAGCCCTATGCGGGCGGACCACTGCATGCACCCCCGTTCGCCCATCTCTTGCTGTGCAGCACGCCCGGCCCGGTGGCCTCTGCGACACCATGCCCAGGCCCCTTGCTGGCCTCGCGATCCTGTCGGTGAAGGAAAAGGCTGCTGCCGTTGCTGCCGCCACTGCCGCTCAGTAGGTCGACGCCTGCGCCACCATGTCGGCCGACCACGCCCACTTGGACGACAATGACATCGCCTCACCAACACATTCGTCCCACACGCCCGACAACCTCGATCCAGACGGTCGCGCCTCGCCTTCGCCTTCACCCTCAGGCATCGGCGCCTTCTTTGACGACGAATACGCCGCTACTGCAGCCGCCACTGCAGCCACAGCCGCCGACCGCCAGTCCGAGGAGCCCTACCGCGCTCCGCCTCTCCCCTTCAGCACTGGTTTCTTTGACCATATCCTCAACCCGGCCGGCCTCGACCACGGCAGATACTCCCCGTTTGACTGGCGACCCTACCGCCCTCTACAACCAGAGATGCCTCCTACCACGCGAGCACATCCACAGGGGTCACAGGCTTCACAGCGACCCGACCGCCTGGCAAATGGCTACGTAGACCTGACCAGCGCTCCAGACTCGCCCCCTCGCACAAGGAAGAGACAGTCGCCTACACCAGGCCCCTCAGCAAAGCGGCGCAAGAGAGAAGATGGCACGGCCAAGGAGGCTAAGCAGCAGAGCGTGGAGCCTGTCACGGTGGAAGAAGTTGACTTGACTGAGAATTCGTCAGTCCAACAGGTCTTGCAGAAGCAACGCGAGGATGCTGTCAAGGCGCAAGCCAGGCCTGATGAGGCATTCACCACGTTCAACTCTTTTAATTGCGTCATCTGCATGGACAATCCCACCGACCTCACAGCTACAGCATGTGGTATGTCCTACTCTACATGCACGAATATTGAAATTGTACTGATTCCCATCAGGCCATCTGTTCTGCCACACCTGCCTCATGGAAGCCCTCATTGCCGGCGAGAACCGCACAGGTCCCCATGAGACTAAACGTTCGCAATGTCCCGTGTGTCGAAAGACAATCAGTCGCAATAAGCCCTCCGATGTCATACCCTTGCTGCTCAAGAAAGGTCTTTCGACACAGCCCCGGAAGAAGAAGACGGCTGCACCAGCCGCAACTGCTTCACCCAAGGTATCGTGAATGTACTTGACTTTCGCGATGCTTTCTTCAGTTTTGCATAAGAAGTCCGTATCTCATGCTAAGACATCTACTAGCTAGCTCGGAAAAAATCACAGCGCCCACCTCGAAGGTCTACACGATTCACGAGACGGATCTCCAGCAATTCCGAATATGCATAAGCCTAAAGGCAGGCCGATACATCTACAGTGGGCCGCTCGTCATTGCTACAGCTTCACGGAAGGTATGCAATGAGGTGTGGCGTCATGCAGTGATGCATAAAGATCGCATAAATTATTACAGGGCTATCTACGGATAGCATGGACACTAGTGCCATTAGAATGACGTAGGTCACAAGTTGGTTTAATAGAAGAATCAAGCTAAAAGGTACTCATTAATCCCGCCACTACGTTTTCCTTTGAATTTTACATTTCCCTTTTCTACTATGTCTGGAGATCCGAAACTCACCTCACAGATCGCTATTCTTGGTGCCGGCGATGTAGGTGCCACCATTGCCTACTCACTCATCATGGACCCGGTCGCGGGTGACATCTTGATAGTGGATCCAAAAGAAGAAGTTCGCGATGCTCAGGTACAAGACCTTTCCGATGCCACATTTCATGGAAACACCACAACGCGCATAAGATCAGGAACACACAAAGAAGCCGGGCAGTGCGATATTGTAGTCATAACCGCCGGCGCAAAGCAAAAGAAAGGTACACATCAATCAAGCATAGAAAAACATTGGCAATGTCTCAGGAATTCATCAATGCACAGGCGAGAGCAGAACCGACCTCATCGGCCGCAACAAAGCTATTCTTGAATCCGCTATTAGCGATATGAAACCTTTTCGTCCAGATACTGTCCTGCTTCTCGTCGCCAACCCTGTCGATGTACTTACCTACTTTGCCCAACACTTTTCTGGACTTCCCAAACAGCAAGTCATCGGCTCCGGCACTTTCCTCGACTCAGCGCGCCTCCGTGGTATCCTTGCCCTGAAAGCTGAAGTCGCAGCGTCTAGTATCGATGCCTACGTCTTGGGCGAGCACGGCGAATCTCAATTTGTCGCCTGGAGCCTTGCTAGTATTGGAGGTGTACCTCTCGATGAAGCCATTGAATCTAGTCAAAGCATTGATAAGAAGGCCATTGCAGAAGAAACCAAGAATAAAGCGACAAAAATTATTCAAAGTAAGGGTGCGACCAATTATGGTATTGGTGGGGTCGCAGCCAGTATCTGCAAATCTATACTTTTCGACCAGAGGAACATCCGGCCAGTTAGTCACTATCAGGATGATCTGAACGTTTGTTTGAGTGTGTTGGCGGTTTTGGGGAGGAAGGGAATTGTAAAGAGTGTGCCAATGCCATTGAGCAGCGAGGAGAAGGAGCTGTTAAAGAAGAGTGCAAAGGCATTGCGGGAAGTTATTGAAGCGTAGAGTTTGATGGGCACGCAAGTAGTCGATGATAGATATCGTACAAATGATGCAGGCCCTCACCAAGGGCGGTGGTTGTGCACTAAGAAGACTTTAGCAGGTTGAGTCTATGATTGTATTCCCGCCAACCCCTTTCCGTCGTACAAAAAACACAGCCACAACAGCTCATCTTTGCTCAACCACGACAATGGCCCACAAAAGGCCGCAAATAAGCGTCGACACCAAACCAAGCCGTGTGCATAAGACTGTAATCCTTGCCGAACTCCGGTTTCTATACTAGTTTACGCCTTCACAAGCTGAGAAGGTGTGGTACAGGGCGTCTGCGCAAGATTAGCGTCGGTTCGCCTCGCCCCACTACTCTACATGCGCTGCGCATGTATCATATCGACTCATCCCTTGTCCAATTGATTGGTCTGTGAACGCCTAACGACGTAAATATATGCTGTGGCTCCTTGGCCAGCGCAGAAACATATACATATATACATCAGGGCAAACTACCACCCCGCAGACATTACCAATTCTCAGCACCTCATCTCCGCATGACAAGGTTCCTCGAAACCAGCAACATCACACAGACCAACCATCCAGGCAAAATGGCAGCACCAGAATCCCCAATTGAATTCTTCGATATAGCCTCTGGCCCCCCAAAGCGATGCTACGCTCCGAATCCCTGGAAATCACGGTTTGTCTTTCCTTCAGTTCTCCTCTGTTTATGCCAAAAAAAAGAAAAACAACCAGCGAGGAAAGTTATGCCCAACTAATGATAATTCAGCTACACACTCAACATCAAAGCCGTCCCCTACAAAACCAACTGGGTCGAACTTCCCGACGTAAAAGCCACCCGTCTCGCGCACAAAGTCGACCCTGTGCGCAAGTTCCCAGACAACTCTGACTTCTACACCCTCCCCATGATCCGGGACCCCAACTCCTCCTCCGGCGACACCTGGGTAGGCGACTCTTTCGACATAGCCGTGTACCTCGACCGCGCGTACCCAGATAGCGGGGAACGCCTATTCCCCTCTCCCAACACAATCGGCGTCTACCGTGTCTTCAACGCGCACGTCGATGCGCTGTTCACAAAGCATGTGGTGCTCTGCTCGAATCATATGCCGTGGAATCCTGAGACGGCGGAGCAGACGAAGAGGGAGTTTGTGCAGCGCTTACACATGGACAGCTGGGACCAGCTATGTGTCGAGGGTGAGGCGAGAGAAAGGATTGTGCAGGCTTTCGAGGCGGATATGGAGGACTTTGCCAAGATGTGGCGGTTTGAGGATCAGGGACCATTTTTGGAGGGCGCAAAGTTGACGTATGCGGATGTTATTGTAGGGGGTTGGTTGCAGTTTATGAAGGCGACGCTGCCCGAGTGGGAGCGCATTTGTGGATGGCAAGGGGGAAAGTGGAAGAAGTTGGTTGATGCGCTGGAGCCGTGGGCGAAGCAGGGATAAGGAGGGAAATGTGTACAAAGGTTCGGTATCAGAAGCTCTGGAATTGAGTTTCTTGTATTTACAAAACAAATATTCGCTAGCGCAGACCAAGCAATTCATAAAAGTACATTTAAAAAAGGAATCAATCATGTATCACATACACTCGTGTACACTACGCCTGCTTCGTAGCTCGGACTACCCATAGTGGGTCCAAATGGTCTGGAAGATGTGGTGAGCGTATAAGAACCGTACCTTGGTCGTCTGTGACTCGCATGCCCTTTTCATCCCTCGCACAAAGATCAACGATTTCTACATTCTTCCACCCAGAAAAGTGAAGATAATCTATCAAGTCAGCAAACACCTCAGTAGCAAAAGCATTAGCACTCAACTTACCCCCCACAAACTCCAACCTCGACCGCTCATCCAGCATCAACCACCTCCTGACAACCTTATTGGGGAAACATCGGTTACTAATAACCAAGTGCACCTTCCCGCCCTCCTTAGTCGCCTCAAGCAACTTCCTACAAACCTCCAACGGTTCATTCAAATAATCAATACTGACCACACACGTCGTAGCATCAAACTGCAATTCTTCACTTTCCCACCCCGCTCTAACATCATGCGGCGGCGCATTCAAATCCAGCGCCCTCCACCGCTCCTCCTTGCCCAGAAAACACCCATTCAGCGCCATTTCCTCTCTATTCAGACCCACTCCATACACGGTAATTTCACCCTTTTGAATCGCCTCTTTGACAGCTGGCGGATAAAACGATTTCCAACTCGTACACATATCCAGCACCTCGCCCTTTCGCGGCAAAACCGTCTCGTAATATTGCGTCAACCGCGCAATAGCCGCATCATCGATATGCGTAACTAGCCGCGGTTGCCGGTAGAAGTCACCATCTGGGTTCTCGTCGTAGCGCTGGAAATCCGAGGCAGTGTACGGCCATTTGTCGTATTTTGGGGCGTATGGTGTTGACGGGAAGGGGTTGGTGGGCGATGAGGAGGCCATGGTGGCGGCGGTGAAGCCGGAGAAGAAGTTGAAGGGTATGCTGCTGTTACGATTGAGCGAGGAGTATGTGCGCCATGGGGTGGAGAAGGATGGGTGCAGAGAGCGGATGTAGCGGGCGAGGGACATGGGATGTTTGGTTGAACTTTGGGAAGTTGAAGGGCTACTAGACAGGTAGGAAGGCGCGTCTGGTGGTTTGCAAGGGTAATGGGTTGGTGACGTCAGGATACGCGAGCTCACGTGGTGACGCGAGGGTCTGTCTTTGGCGCATGTTGTGTTTGGAGGTGTGCTGACAGTAAGTCATGGGCAGCGCGCCCTTTGGTACAAGATGCCGTGTGTCAACCCTAGAGCCATTGGGGTTTCAGCCACGCAGTGTGAATGCAGGTACGGGTCACCTATTCCGAAGTCTCGGACTCCCAGTTCCGAGCTTGCGGGGTTGGTACGTATGCTTTATAAAACCCATTGGTTCCGGACAAAATCATTACTTGTAGTGATTGATATACTGTTTGAAAATGGCGTCCATACTTACTACTGCAAGACTTGTATGCAAAGACGCACAAGCCCGGCAAAAGGCCATCGAATCCTTTCAGAAGATCATCGACTACACAACACCAAACGAGCCCGAGGTGTTGCAGTATGTGTGTGCCCTGCCATACGATGATGAGGCAGGAAATGAGATATACATGATTGAAGAGTCTGTTTCTGTCTAAGTATACCAGGATTGTAGAACATACTGATGGAGACCAGATACGCAAACCAAGCGGCAAGCGATGCACATATGGTTGCCAAACCAGTACAAGACCTTATTCAACTATTCGCTACCGGAGAAATTCTCGCTCAGCCCCCTGAAGTGCACAATTGTCCTATTGTAAATAAAACGATGCTGGGCTCAACATTATCTATTTCTTCGATCCCTGTTATTGCTCTGCTGAACGTCCCTTCGAAGCCCAATGAATCCATAAAGTTAAGAAGAGACTGGGAGGGGTTCTTTGGGAAAGCCGTAAGTGATTTGGAGGGACTTGGTGCAATTCTGGTATCGGAAGACAAAGAAGCGAAGAGTATTCGCATAGAGGGTGTATTGCAAGATGACGACGCATTTACAGAATTCCAAAGGGTGGTCACGGCAAATAAGACGGACACGGTTGAAATGGTTAGAATCAGGCCAGTTTGTGGCTTTGTCGGTCGTGTGGCGAAGAGCAAGTTGTAGCGTGGTTTTGCAAAGATGTTTTTGGGCCAGAAAATCTGGATATCCTAGACTTCATCATACCAACTTGCTCAATTCTTGGGTCCCTGGATTGGAGATGGAACAGAAATTCACTGCTCACTCGCCCTGTAGATGTGTCTGCTGCTTGGTCTGCGTGACCCACATCTCCAGCCAGAAATGGTGTCCATCCGTGACTGTGTGTCCGTAGCTTCCCTTACACAAACGGCGCTGACCGTAGATGTGTACCCAGTAATCTCCGAGGTCAGATCTTGTGACACCGTGAATTCCCGTTCTTCGGAATGGTGAAACTCTGAACCAGCCGAAAAGAAGATAGGGCTGCAGTGCAGTGTTAGCAGAATGTTCACTGGACTGTGAAATAAAAGACAAAGTAGTTGGGCACCAATGGGGCGAGAATTGCAGTTCAAAGAGACAAACTTCCATAATGAAAAGCTGGATTATTGTGTCGAGGTTTTGGCGTAGGTGCAAGATTGGAGTTGAATGTGCCTTAAGCCATCGTACCCAATCAACGAGTACAAGATATTTTTGCTTAATCATTTCCCATCAACCGTTCCATCTTAACTCAAGAAATGTACTTGAAAGAGGTCCGGCGTTGGCGAAGCTCAGGGGTACTTTCGCGCGAAGCAGGTGGACAAAGCCACAAGTCAATGATCCGTGAAGCTCCGCTGTGCTCTACCCAGCATTGTAATCGGCGAGGTGAGTTGGGGCCTCGATACATGCGGTATCCGGGATGCCGAGTGATCTCAGGCCAGCTGAGGTTATGATTGATGGTCTGGTAGTTGTAGCCCGTAGCTCTTGCAATGAGCCATCCTCGCTGCGGTATCACCTAGAGCATATTTAGCTCTAAGCGCAATTTCCAGGCAGGAAACGAAGGAACTACAGCTCCGTTCTCTCGCGATGTAATACCAATGGCTTGCATGATTCGAACATTTGGTAATGTCGCTACCTTTTGATTCCGGCAGCCACACTTCAAGGGGTTATGCTGAATACATGCGGAACGCTCTATCCTGGAGGAATACGGACATTGTGATGGTGAGAAAAAAAGAGATACTAACTTACCTTGTTCCACTCAAGCTCATTGACTATTAACTGGTCATCTGGTCCGCCATCATAGTCCTCAGTCTCAGTGGTTAGAGATGACTTTCGCGGATACGTCTTCCCTGGATCGTATTCATTTACGACGTCCCCTTTTCTCAAAACCAGTGACTCTTCCAGCTTTTTACGCAGCCATAAGCCCTTTCGACTACCAGCTGCAACTTGCTCGTCACACCATTTGTGCAACTCTTCAGCGTAATGAGAATCAGTACTACGATTCCACATATTCGCTCCCTCCAATGTATCGTACACGACGGAGCGATCGCAACCAGCTTCTACGACAGCAAAATGCACTGTTTCCAAGTTGGGCGGTTTGCCTAGTCGCCGATTGTTATTAAACAGCTCTACTGCCTCCAAGTTTCGTTCCTTCATCGCCTGGAGCCTGCCTTGGACGGCTAATTGGGCCATCTCAGGGTTACACCAATCAATGTTCATGCTTGTAGTCCATAACAAGAACCGCAGAAACTCGATCTTGTCCTGAGACCATGGGCCTTGCAGCAATTTTCTTGGTAGCCGACCTTTGACAAAAGCAAGGCGCGGCAAATGACTTCGTGAAAAGACCATAGTCGTCGCATCATGAAAGTTCGGGGGCCACTGTGCATCGAAGCAGCCCTCCTCTGGCTTGCGATCACACAAGCAACCTCGAGGGCCGAACCGCCGCAGACACCACGACTTGAAGAAGTCCCATGTCATCCACTTGGAAGCAAAGATGTAGGTCTGCGCCGCGGACTGCTTGCTATGCTCACCATGCACCTCAGTCAGATAGTAGTCGCAAGTGCAGTTATAGATGTATTCGGACGAGAGCCGTGTTGCGATATACGGGGATGTTTGCAGCAACGCAAGGCTGCAATCTGCTTCAATGAACATGTGCTGTAGGAGCTCGACGGGTAGCTGCTCAATTGGGGAAAGGCCCATGGTGGCTGGAAAGATAGTAGAAATCGATTAGGTGCTGTCAGTTAAGGCATGAATAAACAAACAACTTGTAACCCAGAGAACGGCAAAGAGGATGAAAGAGAAGCCAAGCAAGTGTTGACAAGGTGGCGGTGCGTTGGGCCACCTAGGCAGATACGCGCAGCCCGCATTACCCATTTGGGTGTTACTACCCCACACGGAGATAGCTCGCATCCATGGGGTTTACTAGTCCGAACCTCGGTCCTAGGATAGCTCCCGCGCGCTCTGTGACACCTCGACACCAACACGAACAAATTAGTATCGGATCATGTATCGCTTTCCTCTCTCTGGCCTGGTCCAGGTAACCAACCCTATTACCGTGAGGCGGATCCATACGGGCTATGCCCGCTAGCCGACCCCACGCCCTAAGCATATACTGCTTCCAATCTTCAGACTATGTAACTTAGAATGGCACCCATTTGGACTGAGCTGTATGCTACGAACATCTAAGACGATGATTTCACTTTGGATACCCTGGCCCCTACTGACCAACGGAGACTTCGATACCCAAGGGCGCCTGCTTTGAGAACTTGGGCGATTGACGTGGTCGATCGGACGCATCACTTACTACCTAGAGAGTGGCACTTGCAGATACCTATTTGTGCCTAGCAGATTCGCAGCACACCATACTCAGCCCGGTGCACTGCCGCGGAGCTGTAATATTTTCGCAATGAGATACTAAATGGATACAGGTTAATCTCAAGGCAAGAGCCGCTAATTCAGGTGGGCCCGCTTTTGTAAGATTCAAAAGCCTTCTTAGATCTTATTCTAATTATGTAGGTAGTCCCTCTGTGAGCGTGATGGTATCATGTGATGGGAAGTGGTGAGGATATAGGATGCAAAGTCGGATGCGTTGGCACGGGGTATCTCTCGGCCTTATCTACAGCAGGCGAAGCATGTCATCTACTAGTAGTAGCGCGCAGCCGCATGATCCGCATCCGATTCCTCCCGCACTTTTAACTGAACCTCTTCAATATTTGTACCGTGTACAACAATAGGCCAATCTCGTTCCTGAGCCAATACACATCACGATGGCGGATATCGACGCGGGCAACCTCTTTAATGTCAAAGGCTTGGTAGCCGTCATCACTGGCGGAGGGACAGGTAATGCTCCTGGACCGTTGAGTCATTTGCTGGACTGACCAATCCAAAGGTATCGGCTTGATGATTGCTCAAGCTTTAGAAGCCAACGGCGCAATCGTCTACATCCTCGGACGACGAGAAGAGGTCTTGAAAGAGGCTGCGGCTACAGCAGTAAGTTTCATTGCTTCACAATTGGATGGTACTTCTTATTGCACTGTCATGTTTGCTTGCTTCCGTCTCTGAACCTCCTCGGCGATTCAACTCCACTGACAATCATCAAATTCACTAATCGATCTGTGCAGAAACATGGCAACATCCATTACTTCAAAGCAGATGTAACTTCGAAGCCAGATCTTGCCGCAGCGGCCAACCATATCGCTGAAAAAACTGGTTACGTCAACGTTGTAGTCGCAAACTCTGGCATCATTGGCCCAACAATGCGTTACTTGAAAGAAGATGCAACGCTGAAGGAAACGCAAGACTACTTGTGGAACTGGGACTCAGACGAGTTCAATCAATCATACAACGTCAATGTCAACGGAGCCTTCTTCACTGCCATCGCTTTCCTTGAATTGCTAGACAAGGGAAACAAGGCTGGCAATGTCGAGCAAGATAGCCAGTTCATCTGTGTCAGTAGTGCCGGGGCATTCAGTCGGGTTCTAATGTCGGGTTTCGCGTATGCGGGCTCAAAAGCAGCAGTTATACACATCACGAAGCAGCTCGCCACTAAGCTAGTGCCATTCGGCATCCGCTGTAACGTCCTTGCGCCGGGATGTAAGTTGCACATCTCTCACTTTATATCACCAGGAAGATTCTGGAGTTGCCAGTGTCATGAGAGCTGATGGGCTGTCTGTGCCACATGCTAACAACATGCAGTGTACCCAAGTGAGATTACAGCCGACATGAATTTCAAAGAGTCTTATCCAAGGGAATACATTCCACAGAAAAGAGTTGGAGACCGCAAAGATATGGCGGGAGCTTTGTTGTTCCTGACAAGCAGAGCGGGTGCCTATATTAACGGAAATGTTTTGCTCACAGATGGCGGCCGACTAAGTGTCCTACCAGCCACGTACTGATCCCACTTAGAGTTGTGTAGAAGGGCTTGATGAAATCAAGTTTGTTCAACAATTTCTCTCTAGCGTATATGTGACACGGAATAAGTATAGAAATCCGGCCTAGGAACGGCATGCTAGATACGTTTAGATTTTGCTAAACATTGCACCGAATCACCCTAGATACAATGAGATCTTATGTTGACGGAATCCAAGTCCGTGGGGTTACACATAAACGCTTCCGCATGCCAAGATGAGCGGGTCGGCTAAATATGAGTGAGATGCTTTTAGCGCCCTTGTTTGAGTGAAGATTACATAGTATGTACACCTCGACAGTCGGCCCTTCCCCACCTCCTAGGTCGTACCATGCTGCTCATCACAAACAAGCAAGATTCTCTGATCAAAAGACAAGATGGGAGCAATCCACCTAAGCACCGCAGTGCTGGTGCTTTGCGGGCACTTTCTAGCTGCTGCATTGGGTTACGTTGAGAAAGTAGCATCGCGTCGCGAGTACTTCTACGTAGGCGGCGAGTATGCAAATCTCACGGCAAGTAAAGTAAACTCAACCAAAACCACACCTTTCTAACAAAATGTGTAGGTGGGAAACGAAACAGCGCAGTACATGCTCAACCAGATCTACGTGGAAAAACTCACACCAAGCAACCAAACTCAAGACACGCCCATCGTCTTCATCGCCGGAAACGGCCAAACAGGAACAAACTTCCTCGAAACACCCGATGGCCGTCCGGGCTGGGCCTCCTTCTTCCTCTCCCATGGCTACACCGTCTACCTAACCGACCAGCCCTCTCGCGGCCGCTCCCCCTGGTTCCCGGGTCTCGGCAGCATGGAAATCGCCAGCACGGCGCGTGTAGAGTCGCTCTTCACAGCCATCTCATCACACGCGCGCTGGCCGCAATCCAAACTGCACACGCAATGGCCCGGCACGGGCAAAGCAGGCGACGCCGTCTTCGACGCCTTCTACGCCACCCAGGTCCAGCGCCAAACAAACGTGCTCATTCTCGAATCGCAAAACGCAAAAGCGTATACCGCGTTGCTTGATAGAATCGGTGTGGCGCACGTCGTGACGCACAGCCAGGCTGGCGCGTATGGTTGGCGTGTTGGTGATGCAAGACCGCATTTGACGAAAAGTATAGTCGCGCTTGAACCTTCGGGTCCGCCATTTATCAATCGAGTCGCGGCATCTGGGCCTGCGCGGGCCTGGGGTGTTACCGATTTGGAAATCGCCTATGATCCGCCTGCTGGCCCCAACGCTTCGTTCATTGAGAAAGTGGTAGTGCCGGCCAAGGATGCGGATCACGTTGATTGTATCATGCAGGCTGAGCCGGCAAAGAGGCTGGTTAATCTTGCGCAGGTGCCCGTGTTACTGGTTACGGCCGAGGCGAGTTATCATGCGCCGTATGATTATTGTACGGTTGGGTATTTGAGGCAGGCGGGGGTGCAGGTGCAGGATTTGGAGTTACCCGACGTGGGGATTCGGGGGAATGGGCATATGTTTTTTATGGAGAATAATAATGCAGAGATTGCGGAGAGGGTTTTGGAGTGGTTGGTGAAGCATTGAGTGGGGGGGGGTTGTGGTGGAGCTGGAGGTGTGGCATAGCGGTGAGCTGAGGATTTCTTGGGTATCTGAATGTCTCGCATGAATGTTTGCTGCTTGGATCAGATAATGCCAGACAATGAAGTTTGCCTATCGAACATTTCGTGTATTTGTCAATGGTCGTGTGAATTTTCCTCTCATTCAAGCATTCAGTACCAACTCCAACAGGAATGAAGACCTCCCTGGCTGTGAAGCCACAACACCATTCACCTAGCAAACGCACGCTTACTGTACATATATCCTCCCTCCAGCTCTTCCACCCCTCGCTTTCTTACCACCCTACGCAAACCTACTAACATCTCCATACACTTTCCTTCCCTTACTCACCTGCCAAGATGTGCGAAGTCTACCAAGTCGAATACAAATGCGGCTGCGTCAACCTAAAGTACAAGTGGACATGCAAGAAACACTGCGTCGGCTCTAGTATGATTAAATGGCCGGGCGTCAAAGAGAAGAAGGATCAGAAGTGTGATTTCCATGGTGGACCATATGATTCTGAGAATGAGTATGAATACTCAAAATAAAGAATGACGAAGGTAGGTGCCAGGAAAGAAAAGGGAGAGAGATTGGGAATGAGGGTAAACATGGGAAATGGGTAGATGGGATATAGTCAAGGTGCAGAGTGTGTTGATATCTCATGTCGGTAGGGGGTACGAAGAATATACATTATTGAATCTTCTGGGGTAATGGTTTGAAACGGCCTAGTCTGAGTTACATGCCTATTTTTGATGGCGTGTGATATGTGCGCAGACGCTGAAAACGATTATCAGGCTTTTCTTCGTATGGCTCTATCACTAAGTTGGTGATATCAGAGAGAAGTGCTGGGCTGCTCTTAAGCAACACCGACGGCCGTTACGCTGCATACAGTATAGTTCTTGCTTGTAGCCCCAGACTGTGTCGCTCCCATACTAATGGCCCACATATATACATGTTTTTGGCCTACCATAATAGTAGATCAACCATACGAAACCTATAGGATAGTCGTATGAGCCGGAAAGCAGCTCCCGAATGGCACAAAATGTAGAGCATGGGCTCTTGATCATGAGAGCCAGGCAGGGCAGGGACCACGGGTGTATTTGTCAACAAAGGTAAGACCAATCAGGGCATTTTCACTTGGCGGTACGGGTGAGAGACGCCTAGAATTAATAGCTCAGTGTACCAAAGTAGAGTGCAGCAGGGTTCAAACATAATCATCCAAACGCCTGCTTTTGCACTCACTACCTGATCCAGTAGCAAAGGTTTACTCCCTGAGCAAACAAGCGACTAGTACTTCAAAACCCCCCATCTTCGCCCTGATTTTCCACTTTGTGTGAACTCCAAGATGGTGATATCCGACGAAGCTATTCCGACGCCTCCTGGTAAGTAGTGAACCCTTTGATCTCATTCCGAACAAAAGAGCGTTGGAGTAGACCAGTATCGATAAAAAGCAACTTGGTCAAGGCTAACAGTGTACAGAGGGAAACGAGTACTACGAGATTCGAAAGATTCCTGGAAAAGGCTATGGATGTTTCGCGCTTGCGCCGATCCCGCGGGGGACGCGTATCTTGGAGGACGACCCACTTTTGGCCATACCATTTGGGGCATATCTAAAATCTGACATTGAGGATGCAGCTGCAAGGTTGACGGCGGAGCAAAAGAAGCTCTATTTTTCGCTCCACTCTGGCCATGGCCAGGATCCAAGGCAATGGCCGTCTAAAATCCATGATAGTGTAGGACCCAGAGAACGGCAGCGCATCGAGGAGCAATACGCAACTCGAACTGGTCATGAAGCAACATGGATGAGCATCTTTCAGACGAATTGCATGGAAGTGGGTAAGGGTGCGGCTGTATTCCCACATGCAGCACGATTCAACCATTCTTGCAACCCCAATGCTTGCTTCTCCTGGAACCCGTCCATCAACAAGGAGACCATCCATGTTATGAATGACGTGGCTGCTGGCAAAGAGATCACACTTTCGTACTGCGACATGATGCATGACAAGCCATCCCGGGCATACGAGCTCAAGCACTATGGCTTCGTCTGCGACTGCCCAGCTTGCGCTGGGGACGAAAACGATGAAGCGAGCTTCGCACACCAGAGTGCCGTGAGGCGCTTCCTACTACAGGAACTAGAGCATGAGACGCGTATGTGGCGAGGTGCTATGCTTCTGGAAGGGATCCAGCAGCCTCAATTCGTCAACAAATTGCTTCAGCTAGCCGCACTACACGGACTCGAAGGAGACTATACCGCCAGACTGGCTGCTGTGTAAGTAGCGACATGAATCATCCTTGCGACCTGGTGGTTCTAGGTACACTGGTTTGATGAGAAGAGAAGGAAGTGAGGGCAGGAGCTCTATGAAGGTCCCGCGGAGTTCCCAGCTAATTCTGAATAGATACCTGGATATTGCGCTCGTCTGCGAGCACCAAAACGACCTTGGAATGGCCAAAGCGGCCGCTGTCAAAGCTGCCCAAGTGAAGAAGGACTGCCAAGGTGTTGATTTCCCCAACTACGAGCACTACGTAGAGGTGCTAGACCGTATCAAGACGAAGGTGGCTTTGCGAGAGACTGAGCATGGTGCGTAGGGATGAGTTGAGGTGGTGGATGTGCATGTGAAAAGAAAGGCAAGATACAGGCTATTGGATGAGTAAAGTGGCTTAACAAAAGCACGATGTGGTGGCTGCTTGGATGCGGTGTGCGTGTGTGAAGGTGCTGTGAGGGTGGCTGTCATGATGGCAGTGGCGCCCTCCGAGGCGTGGCTTAGCGCCAGACCCTGCGTAGACATAGGAGACCCTGAGACACGTCAGGCTTCATGGCATCTCCACTGCCAACAACGCACAGGCTCACCGGATTAATATTCATTTTGTGTGTGTGTGTGTGTGTGTGTGTGTGTGTGTGTGTATGCGTGTAGAAAAGATGCAATTGTTGGATAAGTGAGCAGGGAAGCAGACAATGCACACAAATGCCACACCAAATGGCGCTATTCCCAATGTGCGCAAGACCAGCACCCCGGCGGGCACCAATGGCAAGCTGCAACAGCCGCTGACGTCGCTGCGTGTACCTGCATCGAGCGTCTCGAACCGTGTCGCATATGTGGCCATGTTTCGCGTGGCCAATGAATAGATAACATGGCTTGCTAGCAGGCCTACCTTTTAACACCTGGTTGTCCGCCATAAACTTGGGACACCCAATCTTTGTATACAGAGCACCACGCCCCTCCCAACGCCCTCTAGCTCCGGCCGAGCTGGCTTCCGGATATTGATCAGCTACGCAACTGCCACAGCTGCGCCATCGACTGTCTATTTTTACTCTTCATCCTCTACTCTTACTACTAGTACAAGAATCACCATGGAGACTTCAGAAGCCAAAGCAACTGTCGCAGTCCCTCCACCCATTATGACGTCTACGCCAGAAGCGCTCGCAACACAGGTACCCTCACCACCACACTCGCAATCTGGACATGCGACAAATCCCAAGGCCTCAATAGACGTGGCCGAAAACACCACACCTCCATTCTCGCCATCGAGCCAAACGCCTGTCTTGGGCAGGGAGCAGGAGGAGTTTGAGGGCACACTCGACATAAACAATAACATACCAACAGAGAAGGAGCTGAGTGCAGTGGCGGATATGCTGGTACTGGATGCGCAGGGCCAGAGCAGGCCGTTCAAAGATCTCTATCAGGCGCCCCATGTCGCTTCGAGGCAGCTCATCATCTTCATTCGACATTTCTTCTGCGGCGTAAGTAGCTGCAACACTGTCCCAACTCAATGTTGCCTTTGACACTTGGCTAACGCTTGGCAGAACTGCCAGGAATACCTGCGCACGCTCGCCTCATCCATAACACCCGACGACCTGCTCGCCCTGCCCACGCCGACATTCATCACGGTTATTGGATGCGGGCGGCCCGAGCTAATACCTATGTATACCGAAACGACTGGGTGTCCTTTCCCCATCTACGCCGATCCGACGCGGAAGCTCTACGATCATCTAGGCATGACGCGCACCCTGAACCTAGGTGCCAAGCCACAATACATGCAGACCAACGTTCTCATCAACTCGGTGCAGTCGATATTCCAAGGTCTTAGCACGGGCAAGAAGGCGCTCAAGGGCGGCGACTTCAAGCAAGTTGGTGGCGAGTTTTTGTTTGAGAATGGCGAATGCACATGGGCACATAGGATGAAGACAACCCGCGGCCACGCCGAAGTGTCGGAGATCCGCAGTTTGATAGGCTTGGATTCGACAAGACCGCCGGTCAGGAGGAGGTGGAGTCACGAAGTCAAGGGACCGGAGAAGAACAGGAGGAGGACCATGAGCTGGGGAAGGCTACGAAGCAAGAGCAGAGGCGGCAAGGACGTGTCAGTGACCAGCAGCAAACAAACGACACCAGACAGGATATTAGAGGAAGAAAGTGAGGCTCTGACAGGTACCTCAAAGGCGTGAGAAAAGGCAGGGCAGAGGACTTAGTAATATGGCGTTTTTTCTACTGCGTATTTTGGTTGATGAGCGAGACCAGGATGTATTTGCAAGGTCTATATTGTTAGCAGTTTGTTAGAAGATACCAAGATATTGCGTTTTTCTACATGCATAGGCATGTAGCTATCCTCCGGCTGGTTCCGCGTAGTAGTTTGTCTTTTCTTGGTCCAAGTAGCCGATGGGCAGGCATCCGGTCCAGAACCATCACGCGCACCACACAGCTGACAAAGACAAAGGGCGGCGGTTTGGCAGTGCAGTAGTGTGGGAGACGTTTTGCTGAATGGCGCATATCTACACACTGGGCCGTCGTGTCCGTCACCCCGAAGCGGCAAGCAGTTCCGCATCGCGACTGCCGAGCTGGGCTTACAACCAACATATCCACATCTGGCTAAGATGCCCGGACAGCAGCGGCCAATAGCCAGCGGCCGTGTCGACAAGACCAGCCATCCAGGCATTTCCGAGCCAGCTACGAGTTTGAGCCTCAAAGGGCGAGTATCGCGCGACATGCGCCGAATCGCGCCCGCAAGTGAGGGGCATGGGCCTTGGACGGCCTTGGAGGGGCAGCGGAATGACGCTGGCTTGTCGCTGCTGACCCCACATCTTCAAATAAAAGCTACCGGAGCCGCTCTACGGGGCTGGAGTAGCTTGTCCTTTCCCCTCTTCCCCTCGTGCTATTTAACTGCCGCTGTTGCTGCTGCTGCTTTGCACTCTCCAGATACACAAACCTCCTCGACACTCAATCCACAATGTCTGCAGACACCGTTGGAAAGGTACGTCCCACCACGCCCAGCTATCTTGCTCAAGTCGCCTATATGCTACACCCTCTGACATTGTTCTCAACAGACAATCACCTGCAAGGTATGTTTAAGCACCAATTGCCTCCATACAGCACAGTCGCCCTCTCCGCCAGCTGTCTTCGTAGCTGGCTGCGAACCTTGGCATGCGGATCCGCAAGACGTGTTGTAACATGCATGTAATCCCACGGTTACTAGCGGACCAGAGGCGTCGGAAGCGGAAGCCGAAGTCGGCAGATGACGACGCAGTCTGTAACCACAGGAGGATCATTGCTGACGGAAACACAGGCCGCAGTAGCCTGGGAAGCCGGCAAGGACCTTTCCATCGAGGAGATCGAGGTCCTGCCGCCCCGCGCGCACGAAGTCCGTATCCAGATCTACTACACTGGTGTCTGCCATACCGGTATGTTGAAACCTTTGGCCTCTTCTGCTACATCAACAACTAACAAAACACACGCAGATGCCTACACACTCTCTGGCAAGGACCCTGAGGGTGCTTTCCCCATTGTCCTTGGACACGAGGGTGCCGGTTATGTCGAGTCAGTCGGCGAGGGCGTCACCAATGTAAAGCCAGGCGACCACGTCGTTGCGCTATAGTACGTGAAGCTACCCCCCATGTGATCTGAACCCACCTAACAGTAAGATAGCACCCCAGAATGCAAGGAGTGCAAGTTCTGCAAGTCCGGCAAGACCAACCTGTGCGGAAAGATCCGTGCCACACAAGGAAAGGGTGTCATGCCTGACGGCACATCACGCTTCAGGTGCAAGGGCAAGGACCTCCTCCACTTCATGGGAACATCCACTTTCTCCCAATATACCGTTGTCGCCGACATCTCGGTCGTTGCCATTACCGAGAACGCCCCCATGGACCGCACCTGTCTGCTTGGCTGTGGTATCACCACCGGTTACGGAGCTGCAACCATCACTGCCGGCCGAGGTGGTGTCGAGGCTGGATCTAACGTTGCTGTTTTCGGTGCCGGCTGTGTTGGTTTGTCAGTCATTCAGGGAGCCGCCAAGAATAAGGCTGGCATGATCATCGTAGTCGATGTCAACGATGCCAAGGAGGAGTGGTCAAAGAAGTTTGGCGCAACACACTTTGTCAACCCCACCAAGCTCGGCAAACAGAGCATCCAGGAGAAGCTTATTGAAATGACCGATGGCGGTTGCGACTACACCTTTGACTGCACAGGTAACGTCAACGTCATGCGCGCTGCTCTCGAGGCCTGCCACAAGGGCTGGGGAGAGTCCATCATCATTGGTGTTGCCGCCGCCGGCCAGGAGATCTCCACCCGTCCCTTCCAGCTTGTCACTGGTCGTGTATGGAAGGGATGCGCTTTCGGCGGTGTCAAGGGTCGCAGCCAGCTTCCCGGCCTCGTATCCGACTACCTGCAGGGTAACCTCAAGGTCGACGAGTTCATCACTCACCGCCAGCCACTCGACAAGATCAACCAGGCCTTTGGTGACATGAAGGCTGGTGACTGCATTCGCTGCGTCGTTAACATGCGCGAGTAATTGCATTCAATGCTTCCAGGTCAAGTCATGAAATTCAAGCTCTAATAGTTTGAGCGATGTATACCTTTGTTTTCCTTTCCTTTTTTTCTATACCAAAACACGGCGTGCTGCTGGAGACTAGACGAGCGGTGCATGGCGAGGTGTTGGCGGTAGAGGTGATGATGAGCATGAGATGGCGTTGAAGTTTTTGTTGTAGACGCTTGGAGACATCTGACTTGGGGTGTGATGTATGTATCTACCTATAAAAGACAAAAATAAAAAGTAATGGGTAACTCGATGTTCGTACTCCTCTTTTTATTCTTTGCAAAAGTTATTTGCTCATACAAAGTTCAAGTTCGGATGTGTGGATTTGCCATGCATTGTAATCTTGTTGGATGTGTTGTAGCGAATTGGCAACAGAAGGTGACTGCATCCAGTGAGCTTGAGTACTACAATAGTATGTGGAATTACATCCAAGGCACTTAGCATGTGCTTGGAGGTATGTTAAGCGCAAAGAATAGCGGAATGCAAATACACACTTTTCCGGTTGATGCTTGCAAGAATTGACATAGTTTCGTTATCCTACCTGCCACTTGCACATCGAGTCAGCAGTCCAACATATATTTCAAATCCAACTGCTGTCTTTATATTCTTAGCCAACGTTTCGCATCACTTTGTGTTTCTGAAACACAGACATCATGTGCCCACTCCGCCTGTCACAACCCACAACAAACCCCCCGACCATCAGTTCCCCCCTTCACACTCCGCACGAAGCAACAATCAGTATCTAATTTCATCCTATATTATGCGTCTCCCTGTATATATCAAACGGCACATCAATCCTCCTCTCCAGAAAAAAAATCGGGGCCCAAGAATCCTCCTCAGCCCCAACCCGCTCGTGCCTGAAACAGCGCTGCAACGCATCTTCCGGCACATGGAGCACCCATGTCCTTTCCTCCGCCCAACATCTGAAACCGTACATTCATCCGAAGATTCCGCACCGCCACAGCATTCCGGGTTCATGCGCATGCCCAACCCCCCCTAAAAATAAAAAAGCAGGCCACACACACGGGCTGCTAGCGTGTAGATATCCCGACAGCCCTACTTAGTACCAAGAAAAGCTTAGCTAGACATCACTTGCCTGATTTGCAAGGCTCAACGTCGGGAAAGATGAACATTGAATAAAGACAAAGTGGCCACACCACACTTTACTCTGGGTTGAACAAAAGGGGGGGGGGGTTAGTGGCAAGGAGGTTTTTGCGGGGGGAATGAAGTAGTAGCTGAATTAAAACAAAATTACGTCCTAGTATTAACTGGAATTATAGCAAAAAAAGTCACTTGAAGTAGCATTATGACATCTACAAAAGTGCTACAAGTTTAACTTTACAAATTGTAACATTTATTTTACTTTTTTTTTTAAAAAAAAAATAGCAAAGCAGTGTGTAGTTTTAGTATTATCAAGAGGCTTGCACAGCTGTGTTCGGAGGCCCCTTGTGTGGTTCGCCTAAAAGTTGCAAAGAAAAAGGAGCAAAGAAGAAGAAGAAGAAGAAGAAGAAGAAGAAGAAGAAGAAGAAGAAGTTCATCACAAGGCAAAGAAGGAACGGAAAAAACAAAGGTTATGTTAAAAAAAATATATTGTAGCACATCTACAATCCCTCGGGCGATTTTATCTACTGAGTAAAAACAAACCAGAGGGGGTCCTACGTAGAACTCTACAATTAAGGAGCGTAATCAGACTCGGGTTCCCAGGCCCAAGGCAAACCACAGTGAATAACCAGCGAATAACCAGATTCCATCCTACTTTTCTCTCCCTCTCATTCCCCTGCATCCCTTTCCTTCACACGAGCACAGCTCAGATGATCCCGGAAAGAACAAAGAAAAAGAAGAAAAAGAAAAAATACACCTTCACCCCCACCCGTTAATTTTCCCGTCTTGTAAAAGATCAGGTGTTTTTGTTGTTGTTTTCGGCCATTATTGTATACATCTTTCTCATATCTCTCCCCCACATCTTGACATTAAGTTTTCGTTCGTTCGTTCGTGATTAGAGCTAGATAAAACCCCAAAGGATTCTTCCCGGCTCGAGGTCATGATCGTATCGGAGAGGCGCCGTTTGATTGATTAGTCATTGATTTGGAAGATGCAGGTAGGTGAGCAATTTAGTCGCGCTCGTCACCGACAAGGTCGATCTCCTCCTCCTGGTCGTCGTTGGTAAGAGCGGGCTGAGTGTTTTGCTTGCGGGCAGCCTCGCGCTTGCGGGCAGCGGCACCGGCAATGGGAGCAGTAGCACCAGTGGCAGCACCAGTAGCACCAGTGGCACCAGTGGCACCAGTGGCACCAGTAGCACCAGTGGCAGCACCAGTAGCACCAGTGGCACCAGTGGCACCAGTGGCAGCACCAGCACCAGCGACGGGAGCGGCAGCAGTTCCAGCAGTGCCAGCGGCAGCAGGTGCGGCGGCTCCGGCAACACCAGCGGCAGTACCGGCGGTACCAGTGGTAGCACCAGTGGCAGTTCCAGCGGTACCAGCGGTGGCGGCACCAGCAGCAGGAGCAGCAGTACCGGCAGTGGCGGCACCAGCAGCAGGAGCAGCGGTACCAGCAGCGGCGGCAGCACCGGCAGCGGGAGCGGCAGCGGCAGCACCAGCCATCTGAACAGGAACACAGCCACCGAAAGGTCCAGCACGAGCAGGGTTCTGGCAACGGACCATGCAGACGTTAGACTGGCCAGCGACGGTACCAGTGCACTGCATGCCAGCAGGGACAGTGGCAGTAAGAGGCTGATCTTGCAATTGAGTGGCCCGGTTGCGGCCACGGTCGTTACCAGGAAGGTTCTGGGTGACAGTCATGGGTTGCCATGCAGTACCGGTACCGGTGGCGTCGATCATACAGGTGTAGGGACCAGCACCGTCGGAGTTGACTTGGTGAACAGTCATCATAACTTGACCACCGGCGGTGACCTGAGGAAGAGTAGCGCCGTTGAGTTGCATGACCTTGGCAGTACCGGCCTGGATGTCGTTGGCACCTCCACCAAGAGTCTCACCGCAAGTGGCTGCGGCATCGCCACGGAAGCGGGTAGAATCTTGCTGGAAGGGGTTGCGGTTGGTACCGTCACGAGGAGTGTTGGGGTCGACACCGATGGCAGAGCCAGCACCACCTGCATTACCAGTGGCGGCGATGATAGCTCCGTGGCCAGCCACGAGCGAGGAAGAAGCCAAAAGGCTGAAGGAAACAAAGGAGGTCTTGGAGAAGTACATTTTGAGTGATTTTAAAAAAGATGTCTGAACCGGTCAGAGTAGATTAGAAAGTAGAGTAAAGGGTATTAAGTAGAACGGAAAAGTGGTTATTACTGTAGTTGCTTTGGTTGGGAACCTTTGATGCTGGATGCCCTTCTTCAGCGGCGGCACTGTCAGTCTTTATACAACTTTGGAAGCCATAGACTCTAAGCACATATGAGCTGTCAAAGGCCCAACTTGGCGCGGCCATGCCTGGTCCCGCCGTAGTGAGGCACTCCGGTTTGGCCAAGACGTGCGACGGTCCTACGTCCAGGTTTCAAAACTGTGAACAAACTCCAAAAACAACTCTAGTGTTAATACCGATGCTAAGAACAAGATCACGAAACGCCATTGAGGCAAGAGCAGCCTCGGGAAACAAGTATTGAAGACTCCTAGCTTGGAAATAGCGGCGCCTTCGCCACCGCAAGCCCAGACTAGTCTCGCCAAACCTGAGCGATGGATGATACTGGTAGCCAGTGATGAGACGTTGGCTTGTAAGCAAACGCTATAGGAAGGCTGCATCCACGGAAGACGGGTGGAACTGAAGCTGATCAGTATCTTTTGGGTATATTGTGGAGCAGTGGGCTGGTCGCCATTGGTTCAACCGGCAAGCAGTTCGAGACCTGTGATAACTAAGCACCTACTAGTGTACATATCAAAGCTTGGCGGGTATCTCAAATGACTCTCCATAACGCCTGTGATATCGTGTTGTGAAACGGAAAGTGGCTGAGGCTGTAGGATTCTATGCAGGCCGCAACAGGAAAATTATTACGAAACAGGCATAGGGCCCACTGTAATTGAAGTAGTTCTGGTTCTCAGGCTCCTAATCAGTACACAGCGGTGAGGCTGCAAAGAGACGGTCGCTCTGGTCAGTATTGTGGTGCACAACTGAACTCGGACAGCGCAGCAAGCAGCGACGAGCGCCATCAGCTGCAGTGAAGACGAGTCACGATTGTCCGGTGAGTGCGGAACATCTGTGCAAGCGAAGATCAGGGTGGCGGTCAAATAAGGTTGGCTCTGTGTTTACAAATGGTGATGCACGAAAACGTGCAGCTAGGGACCTGGCTGTAGCTGTTTTGGGCGTAAAATTGAGTTTGGTGTCGCATCGTCAGTTTCATCGGTGACTAAACGAAATGTGGTTAGGATTCTGCCACCGGCATGCGCACGATCCGGCCTGAGCTGGTCCTTTGCGGCTGTTGGTGCGCGCGAAGGATGCGGAGAGCGTGCTGGTGGAGGAAGAGAGATGGGGCACTGGTGGTTGGTGAGGACAACGGTGAGACGCACGCCTTAGTCACTCTCTTGCCAAACACGTGCTCTGGCGATTCAGGCACGTGCAGCACCCTAACTCCCCCGCCAAGCACCCAACACCAACGGACGTTTTTCCAAGAGCAACTCTTTGCCCGGCGCAGACTCTATGCAAAATCGGTCCACCAGTGTGTCTGGTCACGATGCGCATGAGGGCTGCTGGAATACTGGAAACAAAATTATGCGACTTCGGAACAGTTCCTCCTTGCTGAGCAGACAGCTACAACAAGCGAATGGGTATGAAAGCAGCTGTTTCGTCCGCCAATTGAAGCTCTTTGTTCTCTCTGTTACATGTGCCTTTGACGTCTGAGTCTCTTACGACAATCCCAGTCGCGAGCGGAACGCATGGCGCCCTCCCGATCTGTTCTGGCTTTGGGCGAGCAACTGTACGCGAATGGGACTTTTATGAATACCCTAGTACTTCATGCACTCTTTTCATTCTGCGGTTATAGAATCAGCAGAAAAGGGTATGGAACCAAATGGCATAGTAGCGAAGCGTATTCCAGTACGCATTCTGTTGCACTACTGCCTTTGCGCAAAGAGTTGTTGTCCCCATGTCGGGTGTATAGCCTACATATTATCATGCATTGCAATCAAAAAAGAAGAGATTCTCTAGGTAAAAATCGGCCCTTGAGATCTCGCAAAAGAAAAAAGGACAAAAAACACTTGAACCAATGAGGCAGGTGGGAGTATTCGGTCTTGGCAAAAGACGTCATTCCGATTTC